TAGCTTCGTTGTTAGCTACTTTACTAGCTACAATATTTAGCTAGTATACTAGACTGTCTTTTAAAAATTACTTCTACTACCTATATAGACGTTCTATAGCTAGTTATAATACTCCTCTTTAGCCTATCTATATTCTTTACTACTATATCCCTTCTATAGGTTATACGCCCAGCCTAGTATAATAATAGAGCTACCTATACTAGAAACAATTCTAGACCTCCTAATTACCCCGAAAATCTACGAGTACTATAACGTAGAGTTTTTTAACCCTAGAAAAAGAAAGTGTCCCTCGAGTAGAAGCGAAAGGACTAATGTCTAAAGCGAAATATTTGCGATTACTATCTCTATAGAGATAGTAAAGTTAGCCCCTCGTATCTATCTAGATAGCTCTATAGCGTAGGAGAGATAGCTACGCTATTGTACGATAAGTACGTACGCAAATATGTAAGCCTAGAGTACGCCGCTCTAGTCGTATAGGAGCTTATCTACAAATCATCTATTATTATAGGTCTAATCTACCTAAGATAAGAATATACTCTAGAGAATAAAGAAAGAGAAGGGGAAGAATAAGAAGGAGAAGGAGCTATCGTTTCTAACTACACGTCCGACAGGTATTACAAGTCCGTTCCTAAGCGATTCCGGGCGTCGTCCGAGTGTAGGGTAGGCTGAATGTTAATTATTAGTCGCTAAGTGCTCTACTAGGGAAGCAGCCCGGCCCGCGTGTAGTACGCGCCCGGAGTAGGCCTCTACTTCTAGCGACAGCGAGGTCGCTTTTGAAGATCTAGTAGCGCAAAGCCTATAATCGCTTCTTTAAGGCTTTTAGATCTCGCCTATCGCTATTTGAGATCTATTCCTTCTATATCTACGAGTGCATCTTAATTGTAAGTTTATTAGCCAATTAGATACCGGACAGGCAAGTAATACCGGTCGGACGTGTAGTTAGAAACGATACATAAACGTAGAGAGCTATATAAACGTCTTCTAAACTTGGTTATAAGGACAATTAGAAAAGAGTAGATACTTAGTACTAGGAAGAGAATCCTATCGCTCAGAAACTCTATTACTTAATTAGACCTATACTAAATATCTGGATCACAAGTAAGCTACTACACCGTACTAGGATCTATAAGTTAGTAGAATCGCGGGTAGGATAGATTAAAGTGAATCTCGCTGTAGAGATTTTCTATATATCTAGAGGATACCTTTTAGACTTTAAGTGACTCCCTTTCCTTAAACTAAAGGATATCCCTAATTACGAAGTACAGCTACTCCGTATATACTCTCTACTTATATACTTCTAGAAAAAGGGATAGACTAGTACTAGAGTATATATACTAAATAAATAGCGGTCCTGTTACTAAGGTACTAACCTTAATTCGCTTAGCTATAGAAGATAGCCTCTTACTTTAAATCTAGTACTATGTTACTAAATTAGAAGTGAAGGCCTCTCTAAGGACTCTTTACTCCCCTAAAGACTTTTATAGTAGATATCCTATCCTAAAGGATTCTTTACTATAAGCCTAGAGTCTAGCGATAGTATAGAGACTTAGATTCATAATATACGCCGTTACATAAGTAGCTTAAAGCTAAAGGTATAGACCTATCTAGATAGGTCGCAATTACCTAGACTCTAAATAATCCTATAGAGGAATACGAGAGCTTTAACTACTATTACGTAAAGCTATAGAGCGGATAGTAATAGTCTTACTATAAAGAACCGATTCTTTAATCTCCTAGACGAATCTAGGCGCTAGAATACTAGTAATACTATCCTTTTCTTACTTAGTACTAGAGATTTCTAGAGATAGGCCGATAAGAGAATTAGGATATCTAAATAGCGAGACCGCTAGTAGCTCCTGTCTCGGTAGACTTACATTAAGCTACTATAGTAAGTATACGCACCTGATACCGCTTCGTAGGAGCTATTACGATCTAATATAACTCTAGTTTTTATCTATAGTCGTCCGAAAATATATTACTAATCTAAGAAGAAGATATAGCGTCCCTTATAAGAAGAGAATTAAATTTTCTAGGCTTTATACTAGGGCTCGTCCTACCTAGTAAGAGTATTTAGACTAATCTAGGATTTACAAATCTAATCGACTTAGCGATAGTACTAGAATTAAGAAAACTAGTATAGATAGTAGGTATTACGTATTTGTTTTATAAGAGTAAGAACACCTATTATATAGGCGATAGTATAGAGAACGTTACTATTCTAGTTAATCTCGCCTTTAAAGCCTACTTAGTACATAATAGAAAGAATAAAAGCGAGTGTTACTTTATAGGGTATCTAGGCTAGCTTAGGGTTATTCTCCTACGAAAATTTACTAACACTCGGGAATAGTTAACGCGAGAGAATAGTTATTACGGATACCGCTCGAGACAATAGGGCTAAAGAAGCTAAGTAGGAAGTAATCTCTCTCTAGGAGCGCCGTAGCTAAGAGGAACCGGCTACATACTAAAGTACATTACTAGTAACTAGACAGACGATAAGGGCGCCGATACCCGATCGGATCTTGTTACGCTTTTTCTGTATAAAGGACGACTTGTCTTGTATAAACTATGTAAGAAGGAGCGTAAAGTCCGTATATTTAGGTAATTCCCCTCCCTAAGAATGCGTACTTCACAGCGAATAGCGTCGTGGGTAACACCGTGGTGTAATAGCGAGAGATATAGTAGAGACCGTAGGTATATTCCAAAGCATCCTTAGCAATCCAGCGCCATTATAACCATTCCAACATCTTTGTAACGCTCTCCTTAGCACTGAACAGTAACCGTTCTCCACTTGCCGACCTTGTTCGCTCCAATACTAAGAACGATTAGCTAGAGAAAGAGGACCAAGGGATGAGTAGCACTTACGGATGACAACCCGACGTACCCGGGCTGAACGAAGCCGACCTCCTCACGACTTGTTCGCATTGACTGTTCTCGTCTGTGTATACAGTGACCTGACAATTGTCCGGCAGATCGCTAATATCTACAGCCTTCGCGTCGAATCTCGCCGAAAGGCCTGATGGAGTGGCACATATGTCAGAACCGAGGCCCTTAAGTACGTGAGTCTCTCCACCGCAGTCATAGTGGTCGGCGAGCTTGATCTGCCATGCAGAGGCAGCTGCGACTAGGGAGGTGAGCGCGAGGAGAAGATGCATATTAGAGGTATTTTGCTTGAATAGTGAACAGAATGAATGCTCTGAGACCTAGGGCGGCCTGCCTCTCCTTATTTATATGGCGAGAGTGGTGCTATTCATTCATTCAAAAGACGTAACAACTTTCCTCTCCTGCTATCTCCCGATTTAGAGACTTCGTATTCCGAAACTGGCTGGTCTTATTCTCAGGCAGGTTTCGTAGGGGCCCGCACGTAGGTAGCAGCAGCGCAGGATTCGGACCCTTCCTCACTGAATCGTCGTCGTAAGCCGCTGTTCGCGGCACTCATTCACGCACTCCACCACTTCCTTCCTCTTATCGCCGCCTGCGTAGTCTTCGCCATTAAGGTCCGTCTGGCATTGCTTGGTGCATTTGTCTTTACTAAGGCCTGGATCCCAAGTTCCACGAAGCGCAAGGCTCGAAACGCCTACGTGTTCGGTCAGTGATATACGAGATGTCGCGAAAGCAGAAGGTAAGGGGACCCACGACGTCGTATAGGCGGCGAGTCGATTTCCGCAGTAGTAGCGGCGGTAGGCAAGGCTGCTGCGATGGCCGAAGTGGCCAGGAGTAGCCCAGAGGTGAGACTTGTGAGACGCATTATTGCGACCTTTGTAGGGATGGATCCTTCAGAGTGACTACCGGCTGTCAAGGAAGGGAAGAGAGGTGAATTTATAGAAGTTTCATCTTGAAAGATTACGAATGTGTGGGCGGAGATGATAATGACTAGCTCTTTCAGGCTCGATTCAAGTGGTAGGAAAATAGACGTCGAATTAGGTTGGTTATATTAGCTGCTCTTGGTAAAAGTTAAAACCCTCGCTGCCAGCGTCGAAGTGGCCACGGTGCGTGATCGTAATGTATGCGCGAGACGGCCAGGAAGAGACGTGAGGGCGTCCGAGCTATTCTGCAGACATCCCAGGACGCCATCAATTTTCATTCCTTCGCAGCAGCTGCAAGAACCTCGGGTGCGTCTTGCGTCCCGTCGACTCCTGACTACGGAAGCTACTAATGCTCTGGACACCGTGACAAATAAGCTACGGCTATTGGTCAAGCCTCCTACGGCTTGCTCAAGGCTTTTTCGCTCCTCGGGAGTCCAGAGTTGGACGGTATTTCTCGTTTAAGCAATTAGAAGTTTGCAATTCATCGACTAATCTGCCGCCCGTCGAGTTGGCAGCGGTCGCCACGCCTGGTCATGTGGGCAATTTTATGACCCGATTGTTCTCCATGCTGACCTTCTCTTCTTTGCCCTACCTTCCTCGCGACAACAACCTTTTAGGATGCCAATCGATCTGGATACCCCACAGACTATGTGGGAGTGGCTTCAGGCGAAGCCAGAGACGGACAAGTAACTCAGCCTTTTTCTTCTTCCTGGACGGGCCTGCCATTAACAACAAGAGGCGGCGAGTACGATTAGAGCGATGCCTGAGTTTCGCGATAAGAGTTGGTGATCGCGCACGACATGATGTTAGAGCACAGCCAGTCAAAGGTGCGTCCTCTCACAAATCTCCAAGGCAAATCCTCGCAAGAGCCCAGGTGTGCGAGCCTGTCATTTCCGCCGAGTCCGGCGCGATCATGACAACAAAGGCCGCCGCAAGTCTCGCGACGTTCTAAGCATGGAATCAAGGACTCTGATCCATAGCGTTATTATCGACGACGTGATGCCTACAACACGGTCAACCAGACAGAATATCGGCTTCGTGCGTCTGATGGCTGAGAGAGAATGGGGAGAGAGAGTCAGGTGAAGCAGGTTCTTCAGACTTACCAACCTGGCGTTGACAAGCGGTCGATAATCAAAGCAGGTCTGCAAGCTTCAATGCGCTCAAAATCGATCCGTACAAGCCGTATTCAAAAACCGTTCATAGGATTCTCGCAGTAGCTCCGTCGTGAGTGATGCTGATGTCTTTCACGGTCATCTCACCATCGTGTCGCTGCCATCTGTTTCCAGCAATCAACCATACTCTGGTTATCCTTTTCGGCATACGCGCATTCCCAATGTACTTCGCGTAATCGTCGTAGAGATTTCTCTCCTCGCTCAGCCATTCTCCAAGATAATCTGTCCCGCTTCGAATAACGACGTGATACTCGCGATCCGTCCATGTCGCTTGCGGACACCAATAGCCATGTTCAAGCGGTAGCTCCCAAGACGGATGATACGTGATGTCTCTTCCACTCTCGAATTCGAATGCAATACTCAGGTAGTCATGGCTCATGGCTGTATCTTCGCGCAACCGCGAGGGGATTGAATCAAACTTCCACCGCCAAGAGGCCACGCAATCCGGGCCAAAGTTCAGAGTAGGACTAATGTTCTTCTGAAGAATTCCAACGTTCTGATAGGGCTTGCAGTTGATGCAAGGACTCCCACGGTCATCGACTTGTCGATACATGGTAGATTGGCCAAGGAACCACAGCTCCTGCCAACCCGGTATCTTTGACAATTCTTCACTCTGCGGCCGCTCCTTTTCTTGCTTGAGCAAAGACCTGCAGCTTGCATCCGTCTTGCTGTCGTCGAGTTGCGACAAGAGTTCTTGTACGTTGGTGTCGTTCTTCCACACTACGACCAGCATCTCTATCCGCCCCTCCACATGATCGTAGGCGCCAAGGTCAGCCACCAGTCTCCCTCCGGCAGGATTAGCAAACATGCCCGGCGGCTGAGTAGCCAGAAAGAGCTCTCCACCAGATTCAGCCACACGAAACGTATGTGTGTCTCTTGTGGAATTGAAAACCTCCCCATCGACTCCAATCTTGCAAAACAACCCGGCCTGCGGCCGCAGATACATGTCCAGAAGACGAGAGAACCATACTCTACCAGCGGTGAAGACGCTCACCACCTGGTTAGCTTGGAGTTGGATGTCCGTAGGCTGCCATGGTATCCTGTTGCAAGGAACGGTGAGAAACTTGACTTCGAAAATGTGCGGCGCAAGGGTTTCGTCCCCAAGAAATGGACTTAAGCTCGTCTGGAAGCTGTCTGCCGTGGGATCGGAAGCCTCCGATTCCGTCTGATGCTGTGGGGATAGGATATGATTGTATCTTTTCCATGCAGTCTCTTGCTCAACCGGGTCGCGAAAGCCCTGAGAGCCGATCCATTGGTGGACCAAGTCCTCGTATGTTTCCGGCATTCTTCAACACTCGAGATCTTTTGATAGGGGCGAAGGGTGGTAGAAATGCCAGGACGCAAAGAGCACTTCGACTATATCCATGTGACGTAGTAGAGCTCCGTTGAACCGAGGGGGGGACTATACCAGGCTGACTCAGCGCGTATGTAGATCTTAGCCATTGGAAGTGGCGATAGATTGTGCCTGATGGTAGCTGGATTCCGAGCTCCAATTCGAATATTTGTGTCGGTCTCTTCTTCCATTAGCGAATCATCTGTACGGCCAGCCTTAAAGAAGTACAGCGTGCAACCACCGGCAGCAGTGAGACTCACTACTTGTGTGGGTGATCGATCTTGAGCTTCCACAGTCGTGACGGTTGGCGAGTATCACATCCTATAGAGAAGCTGATGAGGAAGACGTGAAGTCGGAGACCATGCCTCTCGGTCACAGGCGCTTCGAGTGAGCGAAGCGTCGACTTGAAAGTGCCCCCGGCTGAATGTTGACTTGCTCCTATACAAGTGCGGACTTGTGAGTTGCTGCTCAAGTTTTGAGATGCTGTGTGTACACAGGATTATCAGAGTAAGAGACATCTATAAACATACACTGGGCTGGTGACTATACCGTGCGCCAGATCCAGCCCGAGTGGTTTGTTGCTTCGTTCAGGAGAACCCACGCAGGCCTTCGTCCTCGTCTATCTTTACAAGCGGGTTCGCGTCGAACCACCGCAGCAGTTTCTGGTATACAACCAGCATGGTACCACTCTGGATGCTCGTCCATACTGCCCTCGGACCCACACCGCGAAACCAACCTGCCAAGCCTTCCGCTCGGTATATGATGCGAAGCGCCTTCATCACTGACTCTGTATCAAGGGATACCTGGCCATGGTGCTTCAATGCCGTACCTGAGCCGGCGGTAGATACTGGCCGAGATGACAAGGGATGGGGAGGTGAGGGTGAAGGTCGGTGATGACCTCCGTGGGTCGGTGGAGGATGCGACGGGTTTGAGGCTGTGTTGGAGGCAGTTCGGGAGGTCGCGCTGCTCGCATTGGATTTACCAGCCTTCTGTCCCCTGGCCTTTGCCGCCAGTTCGGGATCTAGCTCGGTCTGAATCCTTGTCTTGACAACATCCATAGGACAAGTAAGGACTCCCGCCATCCCTCCCGCCGTCGCACCTGTGAGTATCTCCAAGGCCAGCCCGATTTCTTTCCCTGGGCCCACCCAATTCTTTGCAAGCTTTTGCTCCTGCTCGTAGAATGCGAACTGTAGGGCGGAAAATGGCAAGTCGCGGAACAGTGTTGCCTTGTAGCCTGAGAACAGCTCTGCGAAGCCTTCGGTCCTGTAAATAGTCTTCAATGCGTTCAGGGTGGACTTGTAGTTGTATCCGGAGGTGAAGAATGGATTATTGAAGCGCCCTTGCAGCTGCAACCTCGTCTTCAGCACTTCCGTGGGGACGTACAAGGGCGATGCGGCCAGATCTGCGCACCATCCCGACACGAAGTATGCGATCCAGGGGGATACTCCGTGATCTATCATCATCCTCTTGCTGCTCTCGTAGCACCCAAAGAATATCACCGTGCTCGCAAACGAGCCGATGAAGGCAGGCGTGACTCCGCTGTACAGTCCTCTCGCAACGCCCTCCTGGCGAAAGATGGTGTAGTAGGTATTGCCCATGCTGGTGTACTTGGGAGGCATGCGCGGATCACCCTGCTGGCGGGTCTTGACGGTGTCGAGACTGTGCATCAGCATGTCGCCCATGGTCCCTCCCAGGCCACCGGCCAACATGGCGTGGACATAGGGCGGGCGGTAGGATGCCTGGTCGACGTCTACGGATTGCGCGGAGGAGAGGCGGACTGCGGAGGGAGTCGAGGTATCCGTTGGTGATCTTTCTGCCTTCCGTCGCGCACCCTGAACTGACGGGCCGTCGCGGCCATCATCGAGATAGTGGAGCGCAGGCGCTTGGTGCGATGGCCAGAGGTATTCAGCCACGCGGGCTAATACCATAAGGAATATGCGGTCCTCGCAGGAGGTGGCATGCGATGGGAGTTGGATGGAGGGAGGGGGGGACGACAGGCGAGATGTAGAAGCGTCTTTCTCGTGACTGGGATCGCGATGTTCTGTGCTCCTGGTTGGCGGGTGTTGTTGTAGTGTTTAGTGATGGGGGGAGATGGATGTCTCGTTTCCCGCGTGAAGGAGAAAGACTCCCTCCGCAAATGATGGAGTGGAATGCCGCTCTTTGGCACCGCCGTCGGCGTGCCAAAGCGACGACTCCGATGACGTTCGGAAAGCCCATCAAGATTTGGTGAGGACATCCGTCGAATATTGATGAAGGGCCGAATAAGCCGGGGCGAGCCGCCCGCGCCGGCTACCTTCCCTCGGTGTTGATGTTGATCCGTTGTTTACACGGGACGGGAAGGCGCGACTTGACTTCCCTCAGCAACTCCATCCTCGCGCGAAAACAGCCGACTCCAAGCACACGGCAAAGAACGGGTTCATATGGGCTTGATCACATCGATTGTACAGACTTACGCGACTCCGAATATACCATCCGCATCCCCTTGACATCATGTCGCATTCCTGGTTGCAACGCCAGCGCAAGCAAGCACTCATCGATCTCGCAGCCGAGGCGGGTCTGAAGCAGTACGCCCCCCTCTCCACGCCGTCCGCCAGATGTCATACTAACGGACCACGATGAAGGGACGAAGACCTGCGCAAAGATGAGATTGTCGAGAATCTGAACGCGCACCTGCAGCAGAATGCGACGGCCCTCTCGCGCGTGCGCGCATTCGAAGACTACTACGGCAAACGACGCGCCACGCCTGGGCGCCCTCCGCGCGAGAGCACCGCCGCCTTCCTGCCCCGCGCCGACGAGGTCGAGGTCGAGGCCGAGGTCAAGAGCGTCGTGAAGAGGGGCGGAAAGCGAGCGACCAAAGTCAAGCCGGAGCCAGAGTACGCGCCCAGCCCAATGACACCAGACACACACACACACACACACACACACAGTGGAAGCACACGTTGAGCGCGTCTAACGCATCGTCTGACTCTCTAGGGATGAGGGCCCAGTGTCGTCGCCCATTCGCGCTGCTGCTGCCGCCGCTTCCACGGCCAAGAACGCCATCGCTACCGTCTCCTCCGCCCTCTCGCCGACCGCTCTCTCACCCTCTGCCCAACTGACCTCCACCTCCTACACTCCAGCTCCTCGCATGCGCAGACGATCCGAACTTCCGGGCCCGCCGTCTCCAGCCGACGTGGCCGACATCGTCGAACACGAATCCTCCAAGGTCGTTGCCGGCATTCGCCATCTCTACGCCCGCTCCGGCATCACAGAAAACATCGAATACCTGCGCGAGGTCTGCTCTTCCGTTGTCGCGGTCCAGTTTACCTTCCTGCTCATCGAAGCATTCGCTCTGCAGAGGCGCCTCATGCCTTGGCGCTTCGCCTTCAGCATCCCCTCGACTGGCTTCACGCCGACCATCTCCGTTCAATATCCGGATCTCTTCATCCTCCTCACCGGCTTTTACTGGAGCACCGCCTTTCTCTGGTCGGCGACCTCGGTGTTTATTCCCCTGGTCTTTGCCTACTTCTACAACCTGACCATCCGCGACGTGAAACGCGGTAACCTGCGCGTGTCGGTTGCTAGATACGCCGCGGATCCACTGACCTTCAACGTCGTCAAGGCTCTCGCTACCTGGCTCGTGTACTCCCGAGGTGTCAGCTTTGGATTCATAGACGCCGAAGTCTCCGAGAGAGTCGACCTAGCCATGTTCGGGGGATCGACCCTCGTGCTCATCGGGAGCGGAATTGGTGCACTTGCTGCGCTCTATGAAGCCGCGCAAAAGAAGGGCTTGTGAAGTCGGAATCAGATTTCGGCCTGGTGCTGTTGCTGTTGCCGAGGTCAGCGCAAGAGGTGTCGCCGTATTGCACGTCCAATGTTGATGCATGTCTGATCGGCTGGATCGAATCGATGGCTCTGCTTTTGTGGCGACACTCGCTTGCTGCGCAAATCGACAGGTACCCCTAGTTGGTGCGCATTGGATGTTGGTACTGGACCATGCTACGACCGTTATTGATTCACGAAGGGACTGGGACGACACCTGGCGTACTGTGGTGATTGATTGCTTGTATTGCCCACTCGAATTTGTCATTAGTCTGTCTCCTCGTTCGATATCCCACGCAACTGGCTAGCCACTTTCTTCTTAGCGAGCGGACTTCGTCGGGCGCATCAGCGCTCGGCGTGGACAACAAGCCGTTCCGCTTGATTACACCGACACTTTCGCGTCGATGCGATTCAGGTGAAGACGATCTGAATAGGCCACTGCCACGTCGCAACTGGATTCCTTTGATCGGCAGAGATGCATTTTATTACATGCTGCACACTTCCGCTTCCCAGTGTCGCCGAGCAGTCCGGTCGAATGGGGCGATGGGTTCGACAACGTGGAGCAACCATGTCCCTTGCCCAGATGTGTCAACTTAGCGAAGGAGACATTCTCCTTGAAATTCATCTTCGGCCCCATCATCGGATTGTCCGGTCCTGCGACAATCCGAGGCGTGCCAGCCGAGAGCTCGGATAGACGATCAGCATATCGTAGGTTCGAACAATATTCATGCCGGTCCAGCCCGTCGAAGAACTTGAATTGAAGCTATCTAGCAGAGGATGAAGCGTCCCTTGCAACCACTCCGCTTCTTCCTGCAAGAGCATGTGCTGTATGCTGCCGTCACTTGTAGTAGATTAGCAAGATGATCTCCCTCTTCGGTCGAAGACGAGATCTCTCCAGTCAGTAGCTGCAGACGCACCCGCAGCGCTAGGCTGCGTCGAGGAGACGCAGAATCCCATCTCATCGATGTGTGATGTGTTGAACAATATTCAGAACTGCTGGTCCTCGACTAACAAAAGTCTCCGGATGATGCCACCATGCGAGCGCCCGGTAGCTTCCGCCGTTTCCGAATGCGGCAAGCAGAGTGAACCAGTCAGAATAATGCTGGAGCGCCGCAGAAGGTTTGCCAGCCATCTTACCTACTCGTTGTTTTCAAGATTTCGCCGTGAGATTTAGTTCGTCGGCAGTCTCCCTCGGAAGACCGGCAGCGCCAATCAAAGGGCCTCCTTGGCGATGAGCACTGCCAGACACGGTATGAGGAAGCTTACAGACACATTATTTGCCAGAACGCCGCCATGCACTGCAGGTCGCTGGGTGACGGCTTGTGACATATACATGGGATGGCACTACCAAACAGACGCCGCCGGGCTCTATTCTACTGTAGCAAGACACCTACACTGTGGCCGAGGCCGGCCTTGGGGACGATCAGCGCTGGCTTTTGCCTCATTCTGAACGCTTTGGCAAAGCTTGCAGTCGGCAACTGGGCGCTCAATACTACTTACTACCGCTCGACGTCGCCAGTGACGGGCCGTCGCGCTGAAGGCCAGGCCTGATTCAGGCTTGGGTCGATACCGTTATGCATATCTGCGCGGAAAGAATGGAGACCTATGTGGGTATACCTTTCCGCCTCAAGATCCTTTTCTGGTGTCCGCACGGCCATCATCATTGGCCTTGCGTCTGCGAGGGATCGCGTCTTGATGCAACCAGAACGCGCGACTGAGACGGACTGAGGCCCCGTGGGACGTTGGCAAACCCACACTGCTCCGTCTGTAAGCCGCCTACGTATCGGGACGTTGAAGAGGAGCGTGGTACATGATATATCAGACAGAGTCTTCGTCGGTTCCGATGGAGGCAGCACTATCTCCTGCTTGTCATAACCTACCCCAGCAAACCACAGCCTAACTCCACGCTCCCACCGCCAAAATGCTCGCCAACGTTCTCACCTTCGCTACCTTGGCCGCTGCCTCCTCCTATCCCCGTGGACAGTACATCGACGCCAACGTAAGAAACACGTCTGATTCTGAGTCTGCCGGTCTTGCTGACATTGCTCTTGCTCTAGTACGACGACATTGCGGCCGTTCCCGCCGTTCCCGCCGCCACCCCTTTGGGCGTCTACAAGGGACTCAACTACACCGGCTTTGCCGTAGATGAAGGTGGTGTTGATGGAGCTGGCGTTGTCGCCGGAGTCGCAGCACACAGTCCCCCCAACCAAATTGTCACCGGCTTTGAGCAGACTTCCTTGACGGGCGCCAATGCTGGCTGGCAAGTTGAGAACAAGGCTGGCAGCTTCGACCTCTACAGCTTCTATTACGGCTGCGCTGTCAACTCGGTCGAGGGAGCGGAGGGTGTGCCGCAACAGTGCACCTTCAACGTATGTCACTGGGACTTCGGTTCCGCCCACCTTTGCAGCTCGTTCTGACACGAACCATAGGTCCGTGGCTACCGCAGGGCAGCCGATGCCAACCCAGTCGCCCAGCAACAGTTCTCCTTCACCCCCAAGACGACCGCCGTGCTGGCCCAGGCAATGCAGGCTACCTTCGAAAACTCCTTCTCCAACATCCAACGGGTCGAGGTCGTGCAGCTGGAGTCTACCAGCGGCGAGGAGCTCAACGTCATTCTGTTGGATGATGTCGTATACAACCTCTACAGCAAGGCTCAATACTAGTTCGACTGAAGCGTTGGCAGTGGTATGTGTCTATATAAGGGAGCAATCGATCCGTGAACACGTGATCGATCCCTTGGTCGACAAAAGCATTAGAAGATTCGTAATGGAGTAACGAGAATGGATCTTGCATCTTGCATCAAAAACGTGAATAAGTTGGGGATGTCGATCAAGTGAAGCACAACGCAAGCTTGCGAATCTCTGACGTAGACGGTTCCTTCTCACTGTCCAACAGTTATGCAATGTTCCACCTTGCTCACTCCCACATGCTGCTCTTCCTACCGCCAGATATTCACTTGAAAGGAGCATTACTGGCACCACTGGGCATCATATCGGCGACGTAGTTCCTGCACGTCGCAGAGAAGTTGCCTCTTGGCATGAGGTATCGTCCAACGAGACCAGCGCAAAGTCTAAAGCGGTGCTATGACGACAATCATGCGATTGCGGCTTCGTTCAGATTGGTTGAGGCGAAGTTGATTTGCCAAGTAGGGAATGGAATGGGATGGAATGACGCGAGGCTAGCACATGGTAGCCAAGCAGCGTGGTGGGTAGTAGGTAGTAGGTAAGTAAGTCCCTAGACCAATTCTCTTCTTTCCACTCCCCTCTCCAGCACCCGAACTACGGCCTCTCATGACGAGCCACGACTCCTCTGCGACGGGGAGAGGAATCGACGAGAAAACGAAAGAGGTCAAGTTTGAAGAGAACGACGCCGGGAATCCTCAAAACTGGCCAAGATGGAAGAAATTGCTATCATTCCTCCCTCTAATCCCCCTAGACCTGGTAGTCAGTTTTGGAGCATCCGGCTACTCACCAGCTACCAAGAGCTTCACCCAGACATTTGGTGTCTCCAATGAAATCGGCGTGCTGGGACTCTCTCTGTATACTCTGGCGCTGGCGTTCGGCCCTCTGGTCAACGGTCCTGCTTCCGAGTATTTTGGCAGACGACCAGTCTATATCGTCTTCTACGGCTTGGCCATACCCTTCTACGCTGGCTCCGCTCTGGCACCCAACGTAGGCGGCTTTCTCGCAACTAGGTTCTTCTGCGGCTTCTTCCAAAGTGTTACGATTGCCGCTATCGGTGGCACTATAGCCGACTTATGGACCCATCATAATACCGGCATGCCCATGTCCATCTTCTTGTGGGCAGCAACAGGTAAGCAATGGACTTTCTCATCGTACTCTGTAGGCTTCATACTAACTCGGACATCTCCTTGCCCATAGCTGGCTCTAGTATTGGCTTCTTCTTATTGTCCTTCGTGGCACAGTATAGAGACTACCAGGACGTCTTATGGACCATCATGGGCATCTCCGGCCTGGTCTATCTTCCCGTGGTCGCGGCAACTCTGTACTGTGGCGAGACCCGTCACAGCGTGATTCTTCGCAAACGAGCAGCCCGACTCCGTAAGGAAACTGGGGACGACACCGTCGATGTCGCCCCTGAGTACCGCCGCAAATCATTGAAGCAGATCTTACTCGTCACACAATCGAGGCCCTTTCGATTCCTCGCCACCGAGCCAGTTGTTCAACTCGGTGCAATCTATAATGGTTATTTGTATGGCATCAGCTTTTTGCTCAACGGTGCCTTCAACCTCGTCTTCGGTCCCAAAGGTCACGGCCTCAGTACCCTCCAAGTCGGACTCTGTTTTCTGGGAATCGCGGGTGGGATCACGTCTGGCCCTCTGATCAACCTCCTCCAAGAACGATACTATCAGAACCGGGTCGCCTTGGCGCCAAATCCGCACAATCTCCCCGAGGCCCGGGTCATGATGAGCAAGTTCGCCGCGATCGCACATCCAATCTCCCTCTTCTGGTTCGCCTGGACGACATACAAATCCATCAATCCAGCCGTACCCGTGTTAGCAACCGCGCTCTGGGGCTGGTCCTTCTACAACCTCATACTCATGACATACCAATACACCGAAGATTCCTACAAAGAGTATGCGGCTTCCGCATTAGCCGGTCTGGGATTCATTAGGAACCTGGCAGGAGCTGGCTTTCCTTTGTTTGGCAACCAAATGTTTGAGAACGAGGGCTACCAATGGGCTGGATCCATTCTCGCGTTTCTTGCACTCGTCATGGTGCCGATACCATTTGTGCTGGATCGATACGGGGAAAGATTGAGAAGACGAAGTCCTTGGGCGGCGCAACATATGGATGGTGTAGACTGAATGCATTCGTTTTCCCGGTGTAGACAGACACTGCGTCTCTTGTAGCTGACGACAACATCTGTTGCCGAGAAAGGGGCAGAGGGGTACGATGACTTGCAAATGTGTGTTCGATGCCACGGCCGATGCTTTCCAGGTGGATGGGAGGAGGCCGCAGTAATCAGCAGAGATTAACAGACGTTGTCATGCCGTTAACCAAAGGCCTCCGCCGCCTGGTCGTCAAGATGCACTGCCTTGTTGCGCAAGACAAATGACACATCAGTCCTGCGACGGCTTCGATGTAGCAGGCCAAGAGCCTACTTCAACTACATTCCACACCCGGTGTAAACTGACCTGATATCTTGGCATATGGGGAAATCTTGCACCCCATCGACGAGAGCCCGTAGTGCTGACCTTAGATTAACGTCTCTTTGGGTAAACAAGATTGGGACGACTGGCACGGTAACGGGTAGGCGAAACTTCGTTAACTAGCAATGGCTGTGTTTGATCATCGGCGGTCAGTAAGCATAGATCAATGACGATTCACAGTCTAGCTGCGTAGCATTCATGTTGCACAATCATGCTGGCAAATTTGCGCGCAGTGCAATGTGACGGCACTCCTCAGTCGGTTCGTTCGACTTGGTCTCTGATCAGAGTCTTGCTGCCTGACCGGTCATGAAGTTCTTTGTCTTGACAAAACGTCTCCCTGCGTCGACTGCCCTCGTCGCCGCTAAATATAGCGTTGCAGAAGAGGCAAGCAAGTAATTGGGCTAGCCTTCATCGTGAAGATCGTTGGACGGGTTGGATTGCTGATATGATATCGACGCTCCATAAGTGCTACAATCGTCACGTCCGTTGTGCGCGATAAATCTAGTTGGGTTCAGCTCAGTAGACTTGTTCCGCTTTATTTCAGCTCATCGGATCACAGGACAGTCAAGAATTGCCTGGCAAGGGGGAGTCTTCTAGTAGCCATCATCATGGGTTTGATCGGAGAACCAGTATTGCGCGTTTACTGGAGGGCCGGCAGCGATCTTGACAAAGCTGTGAAGGAACTGCCACCGAATGTCATGAGAGGTAAATTTCCCTGGCCTTCCATTGCAAAACAATCTCGCTGACTCAATCTAGTAGCTAGCTGGTCGTAGCAAAGCAAGCACTATAGAGCCAGCCAGAATGGCACATGTAGACTATAGTACGAAAGGTCTCCAAGAAACGCCGCATTGGTGCAGAACGGAGATGGCAGCGGTAGCAAAGCCTGCGCTTGAAGTTGATGCTGGCAAAAGTCCTCTGAGGTATGCAGCTTTCAGCGGTTGGGTAAGGCAGGTTCTTACTGTTCTCCAAAGCATTTTCCACGAATGCGGCGTCCACTCCAAAGCATCCAACCAGATCGGCTTGTGATGCTTGGCTGGCGACCCGTGAATCAATCGGATATGATTCCGTCCTTCTCTCGTGTCCTAAGTGGCATAAGAGATGGCGGAGGGTCTTACCGCGAGGGTCTGTTGGCGGCGCCGCGGAAGAATTCGGCATCGTATCGACGGTACTGGACAGTCTTTGCAGTGCTAATCGAGGACTCTTGAAGAGCGAACCAGGCGGTTGCAAGGACTTAAGGCAAACCTTTCTGAGACAGGGAGTTCCTGAACGTGTGTTTTTCCGCTCTTCTCGGTGACACAGGCGCATTCCTGGCCACGGGAATTTGGAGGCAGAGGGCACAGCTCATGACCTTCAATGAAGTCTTGTTTCTTCATTTTATCACGCCCTGATCAGCGGCATAAGCACCAGCAAAGTCCATCTGTACCAGTTGCCCTTGTATCTGGTCGATCTCCCGTGATAGATCTTCGACATTCTGCGAAAGTGCAGACACCTCATCGAACCTACGACGCTTGTTGGCGTTGGCTATCATCTCCGAGACGAAGAACTTCTGCTCCTCCAGCACAATGAGCCTTTCCTGGAGCTCCTTCTCCTCAGCTTCAAATGCCGTCACCGCGGCAGAACTTTGACTGCTCGTTCGGCTGCTTCCAGGTCGTGATCCATGCCCGTTCTCCTGGGCGAGGGAATTGTACTTGAGTTGTGACAAAGCTCCCTGTGGCTTGCCATTTGCGCTAGTCGGCGGGCTGCGCATGCTGCTCGAATTCGCGTGTCGCATGATCTTCGGGAGAGATTTCAGTGGCAGCATGTGTACGTGCAGAAAGCCGAGCGCTTTCTGATGAATGGCTTTTTGCAACTGTTGTTGTGTAGAACTTTCGGTCGGCATGTCACGGATCCTCCGCGACGCCATGTCGTACTGGGTAAAGGCATCCGTGAGGCGCTTTCGTACCTTCGAGGCTTCTGCGAGCTGCGCTGGGGATGGCGGGCTCTCTGGGTCCTGCAGAGGCGCGAGCAATCTTTGGAACTTCGGAAGCAGCAAACGAATACCCTGTTCAAACTGCACAAGATTCTGGTAGGCGCGCTGATCTGCCGTGTGGGTGTTTAGTTCGCGGGCGAAATCGGCTTTGCTAAAGATAGTGCGCTGGCAATCCTTGCACATGCGAACATCAACAGCAACCTTGTTGCCGTTCTTCTCTGAAAGAATGTCAGTAGCTGTCTTACATCAGTCGCTGCTGAGTTCGAGAGGACAACGCCACTCACTGCTGTCCACTTCGAGGCCAATCCCATTTGAGCACCCGGTGTTTGGGTCACCACACACTACACGGCCACAAACGCGACAGTGGTGGCGCCGTAAGCTATACTGCGAGAAAGCTTGCTGACAGAATGGACATTCAGACACAGTCGTATCATCTTCCCAAGGGACCACCGACTGCTCCAACGCTCTGATTTGGGGTTTGGTTCCTGATATTGAAGACCACAAGAGATTTGTTGTGCTCTGGTTTTGCTCCATCGGGCGCAGATCAGCAAGCAGCTGTGTAAGTCTTGTCAGACGGGTCTCAAGACGACTTGTTTCCAGTGCTTGCTTGTCCACAGTTTTTCGCCTTGCGCTTTTAAAGAATTCGTAGTGATTTCGTTCGAAGCCATTGTGATCATTATATCCGTCTCGACTTTTGTAGCAAGTCTCACAGACGCGACACCACAGTCCACGAACAGGCTCATGTCGTGCCGCGCGAGACAGCTTCATCTGATACATGGTGTGCTCCTCACAGAATAACTTGCCACAGTGTCGACAGTTGACCTGTCCGTTCACAGGGCCGAGACGCTTCCCACACAGGGGGTCAGCGCAATCATCATAACCTCGCGGTCGTTGCCAGTGTGCTCGTGTAACGACCTCGTCCGGATCGGGAGCCTCTTGCTCCTTGGGCGCAGGAGCTGGTGAGCCTTCCCTGCGTCCAGTGACCGCCTGCACAGCCTGCTGAATGGGCACAGCCGCTTCATTATTAGACTCGAACACCTCCAGGCCACGCAATTTCTGGTTGATAAGGGCAAGCGGCTGAAACTTCTTGGCCTTGGTCATCTGTTGTTTGAACCACGTCTTGGCTTCATCTTGCTCCATCACTTCCAGATTCGCATGATTGTCATCGATATGTCTACACGCAAGTCAGCACGTACCCCACAGCCTCACGTCCAGCCGAGTATCCATACCTACCTGTTCAACTGTAGTAGGGTGACCTAATTTCAGCGTATCATATCAGCTCCGTCCATGTTTGCTGGTGCTGCTCAGGGCTGGTGCGCATACCATCTCTTCATTGCATATTGGGCAGACCATGCGCGAGCTGGCCGCTGCTGCCGCCTGGGCCAATCCATGCTCGTCGAGGGCGATACGCGATGTGAGGTCCTCGTTCTCGGTGGACACCGGGGTGCTCGATGTCTGCGAACCGAGAGAGACGGAGCTCTCTGAGGGCGACAAGAGCCCTGGACTCCGGGCCGCTTGGACTGGTCTGGGAGGGACTGGAGGTCGTGTTGGCGGCGCAAGACCTTTCCCGGATCCCAAGACTCGACCGCCTCCCAGACTTCTTCGAGCGGACATGGCGGATACATGCGGCAGCTACCAGACGCTGCAGTGTGCTATGCTGGGCTATCTTCTCAGCGTCTCGTCTAGGCTCTCGCCGTCCATCTTGGTCGCGGCGGATGCGGTGGTAGCGGCGACGAGTGTTGGGTATCCTCTTGATGTTCACAGTCGCACAGACGCGTCGGTGAGTCGATATGTGTCCAAGTTGTAGGTAGAGGAGAGAGTGGAGGTGCGGTGGGTGAAGTCGCTAGATGGATCGCGTCGCCGTCACGTGGGACACAGCACGTGCAGCGGCAAGTCCCGTCCCGTCTCTCCCTGCTGTGCTCGGTCTCGGCTCCGGTCTGGTTCAACGCTTTCCACCCGCCAAACAACAACAACACCGACACACACTCAAACACTGTGCACAGCTCCATGTGTTCAGGATCGGCAGATGCGTGGCCAAGGTGCGTGGCCAAGATGCACATGCGGGTTGAGGAAGACGGCAGTCGCTCGGCTCACTCGTACTCGTCTCGTAGGGCGAGATGGGCTGTCGACATGACATCTCCGCGCGCCAACACAATGACCCCCAACGCGGCTTAGTCAATCTTCACATGCTCTCGTCTTTTCCTCCATCGCAACACCACGTTCCTCTCGCCATCCTCCTCTTCCTCTTCTTCTTCTCCCTCTAGCCCAATATGCCTGAGAAATTCCCCGAAGTCGAGGGCGGCGGCTCCCTGATCCTCGCGTGGCAGGTAAAGAACAAAAAGGTCCTCATCGTCGGCGGAGGCGAGGTAAGTCCACCAACCTAAAGCACCCCTCGCCTCGTCTCTGCATTGACATTGACACCGCAGCCCAGGTAGCCGCGGGCCGCATCCTCAACCTCCTCAATGCAGACGCAAAAGTAACCGTCATCTCCCCCCAAGATGGCCTCAACCCCGAAGTCGCCTACCGCATCTCCCACCGACAGGTCCATCACGTCGATCGGAAGTTCGAGCCCACCGACCTCGACGACCCCGAGATAACGATGGTGCTCACCGCCGTAGACGACCCCGAAGCCTCGTCACAGATCTGGAAGCTGTGCAAAGAAAAGCGCATAGCAGCAAACATCGCAGACGTGCCGCCCGAATGCGATTTCTACTTTGGCAGCGTACACAGAGATGGACCACTGCAGATCATGGTGTCTACAAATGGTAACGGACCAAAGATTGCGAACATCGTGAGAAGGAGAATCGCGGCTAGCTTGCCTCCCAATATCGGCGACGCGATAAAGAAGGTGGGCAGATTGAGACGGAAGCTGAGGGAAGTTGCGCCGAACATAGAAGAGGGGCCGAAGCGGATGCAATGGATGTCTAAGGTCTGCGTGGACTGGAGTCTGGAGGATCTGTGCGACATGGAAGAGGAGGATATGGAGATCCTGCTACAATCGTATGCGCCGGACATGGTACCGAGTTTGAATGAGGTCAGGGGACCGTGGGAATTCGACGGAAGTTACGGCTGGGCCTGCGTTGTCTAGATACGTTTGGGAAACGCAGACAGGCGCTCGCTATACCCTGTACTATTCGAGGCTTGAAGTTACGTTTCGTCATATCATCATGGTATACTACAATTTGCTCTTGCTTGCGTCTGGCGAGATCTCAATCACCAGCTTGCCCAGTTGTGTGCCATTCTTCATGTCTTCAAACAGGCTGTCGATGTCCTTGAGATTGTCAATCCCTTGCACCGTCCTGCTCACAAGCGGTCTCAGTCCTCTCTCGTTGACGAATTTCACCAGGTCGGCGAACTCTTTCCGCGAGCCCATTGTGCTGCCGCGAAGCTCAATGTTCTTGAGCACGTCTGGCATGATCCAGGTCATCTTTGGACCGACCGTCATGCCGTATTGCGAGATGATGCCTCCATCCTGGTATATTCGTCAGCACAATTTCCAAGCGATGAACATGACGAGACGTCTTACCCTCAACAGCTTCGCGCCCTTCTCGGCAGCATCTCCACCCGCACCGTCAATGATAGCGTCCAACTTCTTTCGATCCTTCGGCAGCATTCCCAGCAGTGTCTTGTCCCAGTTCTTCTCTTTATAATTCACACCACCCTTCGCACCAAGGCTCTTCGCCTTATCAATCTTCTCTTGACTTCCACTGCTCACATATACGTTCGCACCAGCAGCAACACAGTACAGCAGCGCCATGACAGCGACACCACCACCGATACCCGTCACGAGAATGTTTCGCCCAGGCCTCGCGTTCTGTGACTTGGTCATTACTGCTCTCCAAGCCGTCAAGCCCGCCAAAGGCAAAGCAGCCGCCTCCGCAGAGGTCAGGTGCTTCGGCGCCTCTTCAATCTCTGCCGCATCAATGCAGACCATCTCCGCCGCCGTTCCAAGCGGGTTCAGCTTCGTGCCTCCCAGAATGGCATAGCCACCTGCAGCCTCGGGTCCATCGGGATCATCTTTCCATCCATGGCCCGGGTTGAGAATGACGCGCTTATCCTGCCATTTCTTTGCTTCAGCCGAAGAGCCCGTCTTGACGACTACACCACACCCATCTGCAAGGAGGGGGACACCGAAGCCAATGGCGCCGTAGAGAGCTTGTCGGATGAAAAGATCGCGGTGGTTGAGGGCAGCGGCAGTGATCTTGACGACGACTTGGTTATCTTTGGGCGTGGGCTCGGGCTGCTGGATGGTCTTGAGCGGGTAGTAGACCTTTCCCGGCTTCCCCTCGACTTTCTCGATTACGAGGGCTTTCGGCATGATGGAAGTTACGATGGGCAAGGAATCATGAAGTCGACCTACATGTACTGTCTGTCAACAACTTGAATTCATCATGGAACGGGTTGCATCGACCAGCCGCACGCAGTTGATCTTGCCGTGACGCGGGCAGTGGAGGGAGGAGAAGCCGAGGGACGTTCGGGCCTTCGGCTGTGAGCTGCCCGACTCGTGACTTCGACCTCACCTTCTGCCCCTCCACTCTCCCCTCCAACACCTCAGGCATTACTCGTATCCGTGCCAGCAACAACACCACCACCTCCAAACGCGAATCTCTCGTCCGCTGCTCCCGGATGACAAGCAAACATGCCGCTACATCTCGACAACAACGCTTCGGTGCAGAAGGCTCGCTTCCTCCCGTCGCGACACGCCAGCGAAGACTGCAGGCTTGGGGGAGCCCAGCAGAGCCGTCGACAATGAAGTGGCCTCGTCTCGACCTCCCCGGCCGCAGTCGCATCGATGCAATAGCTGGACGATGATGATCCTTGGCGCCTCTACGCGTACAGTACAACCGACGTCAACCGTACCTGGTCGTCGCCGCGATAACGACAGTCCCCGGCCTCATGGGGAGTGGATCTCCATGGATTAGCCGAGCGCGTACCCAGAAGGCCGTTTTTTAGTTGCACACACAGATGCTTCATCCCTGCTGAGTTTCAATCCTTCTGGGCGCCTCCCACAACAGCACAATCGTGCCTTTCACGTGCGCCTTGGCAAATCGACTCTTGCCAGAATTCAGAGACTCTCCCGGCAGAGCCAGAATCCTGATACCCGGAGGATTCACCGTGCGAGAACTGGATAATGGGATCTATCGACAACCGCGCCCATGGCACGTCGACTGGCAAGGTCGCCATAGTGACCGGTGCGACCTCTGGCATGGGCCGCGACCTGGCAATCCATCTGCACAAGAATGGCTGGAGGGTGGCTGCTGTCGGCCGCAACGAGACTGCCGGCAAAAAGCTGATTGTGGAGATCGGCGACGAGAATGCTCGGTTCTTCCAAGCCGACGTTGCTAGTTATGAAAGTCAAGCGTCCATGTTCCGCGCAGTATGGGAGGCTTGGGGCCGGTTAGATCTTCTCTGCGCCAATGCTGGTGTCGTCGATAAAAGCAGCATCTACATCTATGGCTGGCGCGATAAGGATGTGTACGACATTCCACCCAGACCAGACCTTTCATGTACGGACATCGATTACAAAGGCGTCATATATGGGACGCAGCTGGCAACTCATTTCATGCGACACAATGACCCCACCCCGGGAGGCAAGATCATCGTCAACGCAAGCATCGGCGGCATCTTTCCGCACCGAGCGTATCCTGAGTACTGTGGTGCGAAAGCAGCGGTCGTTCAATTCGTTCGCGGAGTTGCACCTCTGCTTCGAACCAAGGAGAACATCTACATCAATGCTGTACTTCCCGGCGCAGTCGAAACTCCTATCGTCCCACCAGAGATGATCGCTGCCGTCTCTCCCGAGTGGTAGGTCCAGATGAGGAGAGTGTTCTTCGCCCTGGCTGACTTTAACTACAGCTTGACGCCTATTTCCACAATCATTGATGCGCACAACAAGTTCATCAACGACGACACGGGCATGTCGGGACAAGCGTTGGAGGGATCCTCTGACCGGCTTGTATTCTACGATATGCCGCCGTTTGGCAATGGCTACAAGACCGAGCGAGCAGTAACCGTCTGGGAGCCTCTGTTCCGCGCAATGCATGGCGAGGACTCGCAACTTGAGGACGCTATCCCATGAACAGCGCCAGCCACAGCATATGATGCAGAATTCATCGAGTATACAACAAATCTCAAATCGACTTAGTCATAGTCTTTTATGACCGCTCCCTTCTGCTTCTCTGGATCAGTCGCCTCCATGATTCCCCGCATGGCATCATCGCAGAACTCTGGGATGGTTCGAATGTAAATGCGGTCCAGATTAATCTCAACAGACAGACCATACAGCTGATCTGCAGGCACCTTCGAGCCGTTGGCGTCCACAAGGTCTTTCTCTCCGTCGACTAGATGCAACACCGTGTTGGAGACATTTTCGACTGGAGTGAACAATCCTGGTGGAAATCCAGCCCATCCGCCTTCGCCTGTCAAGTTTGTCTCGACTATACCAGGGCATATCATGTTCACTCTAATGCCTTCCTGAGATAGTCGCTTGGCCGTTGCACGGCCAAATCCGAGGACGCCGTCTAGAGAGAATTGGGTCAGAATACCCTCTTCATACGATCTCGGATGGGCTTACGCTTCGCAGCCGTGTACATCGGGCTGTAATGGCTCGGATAGAAAGATCCACAACTTCCAGTCAAAATCAGACTTGCACCCTGACCTCCATGTGGGCTGCGACGGAAGTAATGCTGCGCCAGATAGCACGTCAAGATCAGACCGCTCAGGTCTACATCGACAGAACGCAAATCTGGAGGTGGAGGCGGGTCGGTTCGTTGGACTTTGTAGAAGTCCTGCGATTCAATGAGGCCGGCATTGGCGAAGACAAAGTCAACGCTACCGTCTCTTGAGAAGACCTCGTGGAACACAGCCGCCAACTGCTCATAGCTGGTAACGTCGGCCTTGTGGGAGCTGATGTTCTTGGACGTTTGTTCGACGTCCACAAGTCGTTTGTCGCTCACGTCGACCGCATGGACACGCCAGTTATCCCGAGATGCAAGGGCCTGTACCACAGCTAGGCCCATGCCACTGGCTAAGCAACTCCATCAGCACGAGCAGGCATACCGTCTGTCTGGAATGCTTACCACCGCCCGTCACGATCGCGACCTTTTTGCCTGCCATTGCTTTCCCAATCAACTGACCTCTGGGATGTATGGTTCGATCTGGACGAGATCTCGTCACACCAGCTGCACATAGCTCGATGGGTAGCTCTTCAACATGATATGATGATCGGCCGAGGAATCAGATGCCGCACTTGAGCCGTGCTCGGCGAGAAGAGACTTTTTGATTGACCGGTTCCTGGATGTCACCCATCAGCGCACATTGCGCCGGCGTCTCTCGCGATGCCGACGGCAGGACCATGGGCATATTGAATCGGCACGCACGTCGGCGTTGGCCGTCGTCTTGGATACAGCCGTGCACACCCCGGACGCACCTCCGAGATATCAGTGGATCCCGCTAGCACGAGCCGAGCTACGATTTAGATTTACCGGACTGCGGTCCGACAAGTCGAATGCGCAATGGCACACGACGACTTCACGCTTGGTCTGCGGGCTGGAACACAGCCAAACAGGGCCATGTATCGAGACGTCCCCTCAGCGGCGGCCCAAATCTCCTTCACATTACCATGGGGTGCTAGCATCGCCGACGCCTACCATTTGAGCAGATGTACTGTAAGCCAGAGATCTGCCGGTGCATCAGACACAGTGTAGGCAACTTCTTCGATGAATCTCGCGCTGGTAAAGGCGGTCTCCTCCGTTGTATATTTCGTTCGTTGTCGACGTTCAAGGCCTCACCAGCGTGATGGCGCTCGACCCCGCGTTGAATATCGAAGTATGGACAGAATATGCGATTAGCATCTGCTTCTTCTTTCTGCGCTTCTTCACGAGATTCAAGCTGCTCGGCTTCCGCAACCTCGATGGTACGTTCGGCCTCGATCCCCGAAAGCGAGCTCCATGCTAACATGGAAACCAGCCGGCGATGCATTTGCTCTCATGGCCATGGTACGTCTGCGTCTGTATAGAACACTCTGTCAACGCGATGCTGACACGGCGCTCGAGATATTCTACTCGCTGGAGACTTCCGGGATATATCTGCTTTGTACGTCTCTCCACAGGGACAGCCTGAGTCGTCCTCTGGGTAAGACCCTCGCTAATGAGACATCCAGCGGGCTTTGGCTACAACGTCGGTCTCAACGCCCAAACCGCTCTGGCTGTACCAGATGACCAAGTTGCCAGCCTTGCCATGGGTTCAAAATTGGCGTAAGTATCCCATTGTAATGGTGACCGCAGCTCAGCTGAGTCTTTCATAGCTTCATCAACTGGATATGGTACATCAACTTGCTGTGGTCCCTCAAGGGCGTACTGATGGTCATCTATTTCAAGCTGGGGACGGGCGTACCTAGACAAGAGGTTGGATCCCGTCTCTGACCATTTGAATGACTTCAACTAACACTTCTCAGCTAATTGTCAAGCTCGTGGCTGGATTGGTCGTCTGCACGTGGCTTGCTTCGCTCTTGACGCACATTTGCGGATGCACGCCTGTATACAAAGGTTGGCAGATCAAGCCATATCCTGGTGGTGCGTTTTCTCGGATGTCCCTTTTCTGACTTGTTGCTAATCATTCCATCACAGACCGCTGCACGTTGCGCCAAGCCAATTACATCGTCATTGGTGTTCTGAACTGTGAGGACATGGCTTTCCTGACACAACGACAGCGTGGAGCAAGGTCACTGACACGAGTCGTTGTAGGCGTATCCGACATGGCGATCATCCTCGTGCCGATGCCGCTGCTCTTCAAGGTCAAAGTACCTCCCCGGCACAAGCTCGTCCTCATTGCACTCTTCTCGCTCGGTCTCTTCGTTGTTGTTGCGACTATCCTCCGCTCGTACTATTCGCTCAGGTCTCTCGACAGTCTGACAATCGCACTGGGCTGGGCGAGCCGGGAGACCATGGCTGCAACAATCGTTGCCTGTGCACCTGGAATCAAGCCACTTTTCTCTGGCCGCCGATGGTACAATTCGGCTTCCGACCACTCGGGCAACAAGCTCTCGTACGAGCCGAAGAGCATGTCGAGAAAAGCGTCCGCCCGTCGAGCAGATATTTCCGTCACACAGTCCGTAGATGTGACGAGCACGAAGAACCCTATGGCGTTTGATTTCGAACTGAACAACTGGGTACGCCCCCACGGCAGCTCCGGCGAAAGCGACGAAAGGAGAATCATGTGCGAAGAGCGCGCCGAGAGCCACAAGGCGGACGATGTCAGAAGCGCGACCTTCACTACGGAGCAGGTAGTGAAGACCAAAGACCAGGTCTGAAGATGATGCACAAATCGAAATGTGCCATCAATGTTATACGACTTCTATGCTATACTGGATAATAATATCACGGCCTCTGTTCGATTCCGCTCACGCTCGCTGCCGAGCTTCCATTGTCTTGTCTTCGCATCACGCCTAGAGCACAGTTTCGGGCGCCATGGTATTGATGCAAGCGAAGAAGGGGATCCCATGATGGACTCCTTGTCGACGCGCCACGTACCATGTCGAACTACTGAGCGGGTCACTCTGGCCGGTGAGACGGATTAATCCGCCAGACCAGGACCGTTGCCATATCCCTGCGCTTTCGGTCTCCGACTTTACTCTCCACGACCCACTTCGAGGTGCTCGTGCAATCTCAGACGGCTCGGGTGAGTGTCTATCACACTGTACTATCAAGATCATCGCCCTGGTCTCCCCTTGGGATGTATTAGTACAGGCCGGCCAGCGTGCTCGACGCAAGGTATACTGCTCCAATAGGTCTGTCTCCGATTCGTCTCCTCCACTGCAGCAAAAGCCCCACCAGTACTAGCGGAATATGCATCACTTTTTTCCTGGCGGCTGTCTGGTATGAAGTTGTTTCAGTCGTGTAACCATCCCCTTGTTTTGCTTCGCGTGGGCTTCTGCAGACGAGGAGTAGCTGTTCACGTATCAACATGGCGACTGCGACTGAGGAGTCTCATGTCCCTGCTAACTTGGACGAAGGGAATGAGAAGGGCGCAAATGCTGCCGTCTCGTCTCCAGGTAAAGGCCTTGACGATGATTTGGCTGAGCCAGTCGTTACGTTGAAGACGTGGATTGTCTGTACTGTAAGACTCCCTGATTCTCCCCAACATCACGATCGGCATACTGAATCTTGAATCCAGATCCTTTCCATAGGCTATGGCCTCTCTTTCTGGGCAGTACCGGTCATGTCAGCCATCGGTAGCGAAGTATGCGCAGACCTAGGAGACGCCACCGCCTACAGCTGGTACATTCCCGCCTGGACGATCGCCATCACCATCTCCTTTCTCTGGTTCGGACCGCACACGGACACTCTAGGTCGACGATGGTTCTTGGTCGGGGGCAATTTCGTCACTTTCATCGGCCATCTCGTTGTCGCTTCCGCCAAGTACAACACCAGCAGTGGCGCAGGCCAGATTACCGCGGGCATGGTCATTATTGGCTTCGGAGGAGCCAATTGCCAGATGGCCGCGTTTGCCTTGCCAGAGTTACTACCGAATGCTTGGCGCCACATTGGAGTCGTCTTTGCCGATCTTGTGGTCTACATCACTGTCATTGTGGCTCCGGTGACTGCTCGATTTGGATATCAATTCGGGTCGTGGGAGTGGAACTTTTGGTATTTCCCCCTCAACCATCACATTTGATCTTTGAATTCTGTTTTGACTATTATACAGGTCTCTTGCCATTTTCCAATTTCTCTCGTTTCTCGGCCTGCTTCTGCTATACTTCCCACCAGCCCATCCGTAAGTCTTAAAGGCGACCTATTAGGCATGCTTCGCAGCTAACAGTGCCTTTCTAGAGCTGGTGAGCCAGTGATGCAGGTCCTCAAAGAGATTGACTGGCTCGGCATGTTCCTGTTTGCAGCAGGCGCAGTCCCAGTCCTCATGGGAATTGTATGGGCATCACTCTTCCCGTCCGATAACGCCCATGTTGTTGCTCCTCTCGTGGTGGGCTTTGCTTTCCTCATCTTCTTCGCGGTCTGGGAACACTTTGGAAAGCTGAAGCGTCCCTTGACGCCTACCTACATCTTCACTTCCTCCTGGGGCCGGGACTTCACTGCCCCGGCTATTGCTCTTGGCGTCATCAACATGTTCTACTACTCCAGCAGCATTCTTTGGCCGACAATGATCTCCCAATTCTACACTACAACCGACTGGCGATACGCAGTCGAGCTCTCCCTCCCGCAGGGTTTCGGAATCCTGTTTGGTGCCTCGTGTCTTACCCTTCTGGGAAGCAAGCTACGCCACTGGCAATGGCAACTTTTCGGATCCTCGTTCGTCATGGTGCTCTTTGGCTCGCTTCTTGGTATGGTTAGCCCAACCAACAAAGGCACCATGATTGCTTTCCTGTTCCTCAGCCAGGTTGGATTCGGCTGGGCCATCTATCTCGCCATCGCTCTTACTCAGATGGGAGTGGAACATAAAGACCTGGGTATTGCGGGAGGTATTAGTGGTACATTCCGCTTCGCAGCCGGTGCAGGTACGTGGAGATTTTGGGTAATATTGTGGTGCTAAAGCATACTAACAGAGATACAGTCGCGACCGCTGTATATCAGACTGTGTTGAGCAACGAGCTAAGCTCCGAAACGTCGAAGAAAGTGTCCGCGGCTGTCCTCAACGCTGGTCTGCCTGCGGGCGAACTATCACAACTGCTTTCCCAGGTTGGAACTACGACACTGGCGTCGTCGTACCCTGCAACTATCGTGGCAGCTGCCAACGCTGGCCTGGACTCAGCATACTGTCGAGCCATCTTCGTCGTGGCAATGGTCTCGATGGCATTTGGTATTGTCGGTCTGATTGCATGCGCCTGCTGCAAGGACGTCGACCACAAGATGAACAACCAGATCGAAGTCTACCTGGAGAACGACAGGCTTGCTGACCGAAACAAGAATCATTAGGGATTGAAATCCAATACAAGGCCCGACGATCCTGCCGTACGGGTAAAGTACCTCACCAAATTAGAGTGCAAGCAACAAAACAAATAGTGTCGGATCCAAGAACATTACGCGCTGAACTACAGATTTGAGACTTTTAAAACGACCATCTCAACGCTCTCTCTTCTCTCAAACAGGGCCATCGAACCATCCCTTAGCGCCACAAGCGCGTCACAAGTCTCATACCGATCCTCCCTGTGCCGTCCGAGAGGACCTGAAGGATCGCCTCCGCCCAGGTCATTAGTCAAATCCTGCTTGATCTCGAATCTATCAATCATTAACAAACATCAGTTCCATCCAGGCCAGGTTTTTGACCACGCATGCTCGACCAACAGCAAAGCAAGAGCAGAAGCCACTTTCAGTAAGCGCAGGCTTTCTTTGTCTGCCAGTATCCACCATTCTGGCCGGAAAGCGAATGGATCGGGGGTAGACGTCTGGATTGTAACTCAGGCAATAGCAACTTGTACTCACTTGGAACCGTCATGAAAATAACAATCCTCCACACGCAGTCCCGCCGCCAGGCAGAACTTGACGAGTCGGTCCAACGCCTACTGGAGGCGCTTATCGTCCCCCAGTTCCTCCGCATCAAAAAGACTTGCCAAAGCAAAGATCACCTACAATGTCAATATCAAGAGCCATGTTGCAGCGATTTGGTGTCCTTTTGCCGGCGTGTTCTTCAATCAGATCCAGCCAACGGTCTGTATTCGAATGGACGAATGGTTGCACAGATCTGAGTGCCCTTTTCGGTGAAAGCCTGCTGCATGACACGCCTGTTCCGTCCACGCGAGGGGCATGTCCGTCACGTCTCAAGTGCTGGTGATCTTCGCATTATCTACGGGGCGTCACTACTCAAGAGTGGTTGGATTCCCTAAGATTTCCTTTCAAGCCAAAAATTCGTCTGTAAGCTGTTAGAAAAAGAAAAAGTTTTGAACGTCTTTAATTTCCAATACCTTCTGTATTCTCGTTGTTGCAGTTTCCATAGCCAGATACGTCGATGTGCCAGAGAAATAGAAAGCTGCTCAAGCGAGGATGGAAACACACCCTGTAAATTGCTGTGCCTAGAAAGTAAGCAAACGGGGCCGTCAGTACAGCAGCTCCCAAGTTGGAAATACAGCATGATCGCTTCGTAACACTTCCAACTCACGCAGAGAGTACCAAGCGAAAGTCAAGGCGCATCTCTGCGATCCTGAACTTCCGATAGGGAGGGGAGCGGAGAAAGCACGCGGCCACCGGTGTATGGTTCGCGTGCGAGAATTCCCGCATCGGTGCATATCCAATGCCGATAGGGCGGACGGGCCCAGTATTCATTCCATAAGAAGCAATATCACTGATGAAACTGTGGTCCCGCTTGAAATAGGCTGCACTGGGTTTCTCAGTCTGGCATTACGTTTCGTATCTTTGTCATTCGGCCGGGCTCATACACATCCTGACGGTCAGGCAAGGCAGAACTGATTACTGGCGCCGAAAAATAAGCGTCATTCCGTCGTTTCATCATCCCATCGAGTTGTCTGGTCAAGAATCAACATGGAAGAGCATCAACCGTCGTTCTCGCGCTCGTCGAGACACACGCAGATGGCCGCGATCAAAGATAAGTCGACGTTGGCAGCAACAGTGACAAAGTACTACATGTTCTGGTCAGTGCTGACCATTCTGCCTATTGTGCAAAGTTTTTACTCACAGTCTGCTTGTCACCAAACATCTCCCTCACATTGAAAAACTTGCGGGCGATGTGGGCAACCGGCTTGTCGTTGAGGGTGATGTCCGCCTTGCGGTCGAACCAGTCGCCCTTGATGTTCATCTCGATTTGTTGGCCGTCGGAAGCGTTCTTGAAATGGATCGTGGACTTGGACGATCCCAGGGAAAAATGGCCTCGGCAGTCAGTTTAGCTGTGGATTCCGTTGTTCTAACCAGACTGCGCCGACATACCTTTGACCGTGAAATTGTGGCCGTTGGGACTCTCGCCCTCAAAGGTCTTGAACAAGGCTAACGTCTTCTTCTTGACGGTGAAGAGCTCATTGCCTTGCATGTCGGTAAACTGCTTCTTACCGTGCAACGACATGACTTTGCCCTTGCACTTGCAGACTTCCATGCCCTGGATGGTGGTGACAGTGAAATCATCTCCACTGAGCGAGAAGACCTGATGATCGCATACGATCTCAGCATTACCTTTCGAACCGCGCTCGGGCAGACTTACCTTCTCTCTCATCTGGAGTGTAACCTGCTGAGGTGCATAGAAGGCTGGATCGGGCGGTCGGGGTCCCAAAGGTGGCTCCGCTGGAGCAAATTCTGGAAGTTCGGCCATTGTATCAGTGTCAGGTGTGAATCTGGAATGTCTACAACGTAGAGGACAATTCGTATGTGATATGATACAATGATGTATTCGAAGAGGCCGACAAGCTGAGAAACCGGTTGATTGATCGACGCACATCCTCCACGATCGATGAGTTCATCGACGGTCCGTGCACATATGGGCCCACTTTTTCCTTGGCAGGTGGATTGTCACGTTGTCGCCGACGCCGGAGCCTAAGGTATTTCACCAAAGATTACAATGCAATGCAGTAATTACGATGCACCATTAGTCGGCGCCCCAGGCTTCACAGGTTCCACGTTCCAGATCATCTCTGCGTACTCATCGATACACCGATCAGAGCTGAAGAAACCCATCCTCGCCACGCTCGTGATGGTCTTGGTCAACCATTCTTCCTGGTTCTTATACGCCTCATCGATCAGCTTCTGAGTGTCGAGGTAGCTCTTGAAGTCGTCCGAGACGAGGTAGTAATCGCCGTGGTCGACAATCGAATTGACGAGGGCAGAGAACTGGCCGGCATCTCCGAAAGTGCCCTTTTTGATTTCCTCAAAGACTTTGACCAGCGCTGGGTCGAGCTGGAAGTCGCCGTAAAAGTGTGAGTGACGGAGATCTTCCACGTCTTCGGCGAGGTTGCCAAAGAGGAAGATGTTGTCTTCGCCGACTTCGCGGGTGATTTCGATGTTGGCACCGTCGCAAGTTCCGATGATGAGACCTCCGTTGAGCACGAACTTCATGTTTGATGTACTACACATTGTCAGTACTGCGTCTGCCTCAACGATCTTCTGTGTGTGTAGACTTACCCAGATGCTTCGGTACCTGCTGTCGAAATGTGCTCGGAGATATCACTGGCAGGAATGATCATCTCGGCCTTGCTGACGTTGTAATCCTGCAAGAAAACGACCTTGAGCAGGTCGCCGATTTCCTTGTCCGAGTTGACAACCTGGCCGACTTGGTTGATCAAGTGGATGACAGTCTTGGCCATCCAGTACCCTGGAGCTGCCTTTCCACCAAAGATGCTGACTCTTGGTTGCAGCTTCTTGCGCTCCTCTGGCGACATTGCCTTCAGCTCCAAGTACCGGTGAATGACACCGAAGATATTGAGCTGTTGTCGTTTGTACTCGTGCATGCGCTTTACTTGGATATCGAACAGGCTGGATGGGTTGACCGTGATGCCCTCGACTTCCTTGATGTACTTGGCCAAGCGGACTTTGTTGGCGTACTTGATTTCCTGAAACTCTTTGCGGAAGTCCTTGTCATCGACGAAGCCTTCGAGCTTGTGGAGTAGAGTGAGGTCCCTCAAAAAGTCGTAACCGCCAAGCTTGCTTGCGATGAGCTCGGAGAGGCGTGGGTTGGCCTGATGCAGCCATCTTCTCGGCGTGATGCCGTTAGTGACGTTGGTGAACTTGTCTGGGCCGTAGATCTTGACAAAGTCCTTGAAAATGGTGGTCTTGATCAGATCGGAGTGCAACTCAGCGACACCGTTGACCTTGTGGCTACCAATGACAGCCAGGTAGGCCATGCGAACCATCTTCGGCTGAGACTCCTCGATGATGGACACACGAGAGAGCATGTCGCGGTCCTTCGGGAAGTTCCTCTCCACGTACTGCAAGAAATGCAGGTTGATGTCGTAAATAATCTGCAGGTGGCGAGGGAGTAAGTGCTGCATGAGAGGAACATTCCACTTCTCAAGCGCTTCAGGAAGAACGGTGTGGTTGGTGTAGCCGAACGTCTTCTGGACGATGCTCCAGGCCTCATCCCACTCCAGACCTTCGTGATCGATCAAGATGCGCTGCAATTCCGGAATGGCGAGCGTGGGATGAGTGTCGTTGAGCTGAATGGCCACTTGGTTCGGAAACTCCGACCATGCCTTCTTGGACTTCTTAAACCGACGCACTATATCGAACAGCGAGGCAGCACACCAGAAGTACTGCTGCTTCAAACGAAGCTCCTTTCCGCGCTCCAAGCTGTCATTGGGGTAGAGTACGGCCGAGATGGTCTCAGCACGCTGCTGATCTGCTACCGATGCCTCGTACTCTCCGGAGTTGAACTTGGTGAAGTCGAACTCGCCGTGGGAAGCCTTGCTTGACCACAAGCGCAGGTTGTTGGTTGTCTTGGTGCCGAATCCCGGAATAGGAGCATCGTATGCCACTGCAGTGACAATTTCGCCGTTCTCCCAAACGCTGTGCTTCTTTCCCTGATCATCCGTGTAGTTCCTGACATTGCCGTAGAACTGGATGTCAACCGTCACATCATGACGGGGGAATTCCCAAGGATTGAAGTCGAGCCAGTAGTCTGGGATCTCAACCTGATAGCCATCGATGATCTCTTGCTTGAAGATGCCATATCTGTAACGGAGAGCGTAACCCCACGCCGGGTAGTTTAGAGTCGCCATCGAGTCCAGGAAGCAGGCAGCGAGTCGACCGAGACCGCCGTTTCCAAGAGCAGCATCTCGTTCCTGGGAGATGATGTCCTCCATGCGGAAGCCGAGGTCCTTGACACCCTCTGCAAACCCACAATCAGTGTCCAGCAGCTTACAAGCCTTTCTGATCCTACGTACCACTTGCAATGTCCTTCATGCCCGTGTTCAACATGGCATTATCCAAAGCTCTTCCCATCAAGAACTCCAGCGAGAGGTAGTAGACCCGTTTTTGATCTGCCAACGTCTGGTTCTGCTGTGTCTTGTTCCATTCGATGATCAAACGATCGCGGAAGGCCAATGCCGCTCCGGCGTATGCGGCGGCTTCATCGCAATTGAAGAGAGATCTCGCGAGAGTGGTCTCGATGTGCTTGACGACTGCAGCGTCGAACTCGTCCTTGGTCTTGAACTCGGAGGCCGAGTACTTCTTCCATCTGCAAGATGTGTTAGCCGGGAGAAGAACACTGTGTTTCTCAAGAGCTCAACACGATCTCGACCTAGCAGACCTCGACGTCGCCAACGCTGAGTCCTTCGAAGCCTCCGGATGCTTCTCCCCACTCGAGATCAAGAGGAGAGATGTAGGCACCAACTTACGCAGCTCTCTGTCCCTCCGGAATGCTGGCCTCAATACTCTTAATCTCCTGGGGCCCAAATCCCGTAACCGTCCTCTTGTGTTTTGGTCTCGAAATGCCAGCAGGGCCAATGGGACCCGGGGAATCGGTAATGGGCGCGGATGAGGAGGGTTTCCTCTCGCGAGGTGCTCGTTCGGCCATTGTTGCTGCCATGTGGTCGACAGTGTGTATGGGATGGGGAGAAGGGTGAGGAAGGGAGAGGATGAGCTGATTGCAGTCGTCAAAGTATTGGGACTGTTTGGGCGCGTGGAGCCAATTTGCTGATCCGTGGACGTGAGGCGGGCGAGGCGAGGCGGGGTAGCTGCAGACGCGTTAAGTTGGCGGTGGGACTGTGGGACCTCCCGTGGGCTGGGGAAATGTACCTTACCTTAAAGTACCTTATTCTCCATCCGGTCCTCAAGCGCCTTAACACACAACAACGACGAGAGATCATGGATATGTCCATGCATCAATCACATATACCTTGTTATCCGTTCCGGCCTCTACACCACCGCCTCAGCTCCTCCTTCGACACAATCAGTCAAGCCATTCACTCGAGTGTCGCCCTGGTTGGTACTCACTCACTTCATTGCACCTCGCATCCGAAAGCATCCGCTATCGAGCATCTCGCATATGCACCCAGAACATGCCGTACGCCTCGAGTGCCGCCCACTTGCCTGCCATCATCAGCATCATTTGGCCGTCACCGTTGACCGCCAGATCAGGTTGGAGTGTTTCTCGCGTGATACATGGTATGACATTGTCAACCCCAAACACTCGGCGGATCAGCTTGAGTTGGCTTGAGGCAGAAGCGAGCATTCAAGACAGTTGATGTCGATCTTCATTGTCGGATTAGTGTAATACAAGGGAGTCGAACAACCCAACATTGCCGGCTTTTCACTCGTGCCAAGCCTCCCACTGTGGCCTCTTGTGCACTCTCTCTCGCGCTCGGTACGCACCCAAATGACAACATCAACACGTGAAGGAAAAGGTAAGCGGGGTCGCTCATCTCTTGGAGACCATCGTCTTCAGTTCTTCGCCCAGATACTCAACCACCTTATGACTGATCGATCCCTGGTTGTAGAGATGCTGTGCGAGGCCCTTCACCACTGCCATTTGCTCCTCGTGTGAGAGCCCCGTAATGGCGGTCTCGATGACACTCCCGACGGATGCCTTGTGCACAGCGATGAAGGACTGGTAGTACATGAAGGCAAAGAAGCCCATGATGAACTGGCAATCCATGCGGTCGGTCATGCCTCCATGACCGGGGATCGAGTCACCAAAGTCCTTGATGTTGAAGGTTCGTTTCAGGCCAGACGCGAAGAAGCCACCAAAGGGGGCGATGAGGGACGCAAAGGAAGCCATGGCCAGAATGTGGAATTGCATTGGGCTGACCGAGATGTGTGTCGGTAGGAATGTCCAGGCGTGCGGGATGAAGGGAATATGGTAGATCTTCGCGATGAACACGGGGTTGACCTCGCACTCCAGGCCGGTAAAGATGTTCGCACCCAAGTCGTTGACCGGACAGATGAAGTACTTGCTACGCATGAGCAAGTTGGTAAAGAAGAAGCCCATGATGATGGTGCAGATCCATGCTCCCACGAAGCCTGTCAATGTTAGCCGAGTTTCGTTCGCGACCAGTCGGGCTCGACATACCTTCCACCGTCTTCTTGGGCGAGATCTTGATCAGCTGCGTCCTGCCAAAGGTAATGCCGCAGATATACGCAAAGATGTCGTTGATGATGACCAAGCTCACGGGCAGGAAGAACCAGATCATGCCTTCAAAGATGTTGTTCATGATGAAGTGCGCTTGCACCACAATCAGGTAGAGCGCCATATGAGTCCATGCAAATTGCGTGAATTGGAACTTGTAGTGGCCTTTCTGGAGCGATCCGACGAAGAAGACGAAGCCTGAGCGGGCAATTAGCGGTGTCTGAAGACGTCGGACGAGGGGCCTCACCTATCACGTAGAGCATGAAGCTGATGAATCGGTGATGCGTCGCAAAGGGCAGGAGCACGCGGTCGATGAGCACTACATGCTTGAAGTAGTAGATCACGCTCTCGCCGTACAGGAAATACATGGTCGTCCCGAGAAAGTACCAGTTGAGTGTTTTCGTGAACCGTAATGATCTCGCTCGGCTGGGCACGTTCGAGATGGCGATGACTTCCTTGAAGGAGATGATCTGTACTGCTGTAACGATTATGATGATGTAGATGTGGCCTGCGAACATGGAGCCGAAGAAGATGCCAATCATGACAAAGGTCCAGATGGCGCGAGTGATGAAGGTCTGCTTCTTCTTCTCGAATTCGGAGATTTCGGGCTTCTTGGGCTGTCCGCTATCAGTATCTCACATCGTATCACAGTGCTCCTCTCCTTCCCGTACACACCTTCTCGTCCTCATTCTCCGTGGCCCAGCCGCTAGCTGTGGTGTCTGTCCGGTCCATGCTAGGCTTAGGCCCATCCTTCATCCTGCTAATGTTGCCATTGCGCGTCGGGCTCTTGGCACCATTACTTCGCGTAGGACTCCGCTCGTCGGTAGGAGAGTCGTAGTTGATGTCCGGCATACTGCTCTTGCTCATCCTCCGCTCACGATGATTGAATTTGACGTCCCTCTTAGGTTTGGTCATGCTTCAACGCAGCGAAGCTGCCTGGAGGTCTGCAGCTCCTCGATTTCTGGGTCTATCAGTGCTGTAGCGCAATCGATGGGCGAGACGTAGAGGCTTGTTTGCTGTGCTCGCGGACAGGCGCGGAGAGCTGCGACAATCGGTACCTGAAGCACGTGGGCGCTTCGGCAGTAACGGTGCAGGCGAGATTCGTTCTTTTCACCAGCGCAAAGGGGTGTACGCGCTCATCCCGAGATGGCGTATGGCGAGTTCGGCGATTGGGACGGGAGGTGGTGAAGGTAAGTTGGTAAGGTGTCGCGTAGGCGGCAGAGAAAGCATGGAAGGGAGTTAAGGGTCAGGCAAGTCAGGTTGATGCCCAGCGCACAGAGGGGGTTCGTCGTCATGGCGCGTTGCTTGGCACAACACGTGAAAGAAAGATTGGCGGGTCGCGTCCACATTGCCTTTCGCCGATTCGGACGCGAACGCGGACACGACCGATCATCCTCCATTTCGTCGCTTATTCGCCCACAACGGCAATAACACCACCACCACCACCACCACCACCACCACCACCACCACTCGTTATCCATAACAACACGATATTGGAATTACTTGCTGGATTGATTGATTGGCGGGAAAGATATGGAGAAAGGCGGCCGGCGAAACCATGGCCGAGGACGAAGACTTCTTCTCGGACGATGACCTCGATGCCCTCCCGACCAATACCCTCGACCAACTCGAGCAGCAGGCCATACTCACTTCCCAGCACCCCAAGACGTTCGATGCGCCTGCGAAGCCCGTCGTCCAGCAGCCGTCCCGCAAACAAGCCCACAATGCCTCGAGCCTGACCAGAAATACCGGCCTCAATTCCAAGAATCTGCCCTGGCGAGCCCCTCAGCCAACACGTCTACCGTATGTGACATCCCTATACACTATATAGCCTTTCGCGCAGCGAAAGGTTGTTGTCTTGCCAAGATCCCTAGCCAAGATTGGGGCAATAGAGATCCCAACAGCGCAATCAGCGGTAGCAACCACTGCGATGATACTAACGGAGAACTAGGCCGGCCCAACATGCTGTACAGACTCCCTCAGCGCCTCCTCCAAGCGCTCCAGACCCTCCCTCGTCAGACTACGGCTTCGACGATGAGGATGTCATCGATCTCGATGAGCCCTCTTTGATCATTGAGCCTGCTCCCATGCAACCGTCGGTGCAAGCTCCTTACCAACGACGACAATACGGCAGTAAAGCTCCCTTGGATCCCGAGACCGAGGCCGCATTTGCTGCCGCAGATGCCGAACTTGATAGCCAGACCTTTGGCAGATGGCAGCAAGCACCGCCACAGACATACGGGAATCCAAGTGGCGGATCCATTGACATATCTGCTTTGCAAGCGAGGATCGCCGAGCTCGAGGCTGAGCAGGAGAGATTGCGACTATCGGAGCAGGAAGCCCGGAGTGAGGCACTAGCCAAGCAAGGCGAGATCGCCATCGTACGCAGCAACCAGGAGAGGATCACGAAGCAGTATGAGGCCAGGCTATCCGTCATGCAGCATCTGCATGCCGACGAATCGGCGAAGCAAAAGGCCGAGTTGGAGGCACAGCGCAAGGAGAGACAGAAGATGGAGACGGACAATCGCTTTCTGAAGCACGACTTGGCTCAGGAGGCTGACCGTGCGAAGAGAGGGAACGGTACTGGTCGGTCCAGGGCAGGACCAGGCAACACACAGCTAGGGACCCCAAGGAAGAACAAGAAGGGTGTACTTGGCGACGGCTTCGACGATATCGAGATCCAGATGACGAGCCCTAGCCGCAGCAAAGAAAAGTCGAAAGATCAGACCCCTCAAGCTGGTGCCAAGCGGAGGAGGACAGCAAACGACAGCCCTGCTGCACCTCTATCCTTCACGCAGCCGCCGTTGTCCGTTCGCCATGAAAGCTCTGAACAGGCAGGCGCTTCGTTTGATCAACCCCAGGTTGAGGCTGTCGCTGTCAAAGATGGTTCCAGGTACGCGTTCATGCAGCTCCTTCTCAATCATCGCCCTTACGAAGGCCATGAACGATCTGTAGAGGCCATGGCGAAGTATGCGTTCCCATCCAAGCCTCATAAGACGATTTCTTCACTATTTCTCGACGAGATAACCTCACTCACTGTCAAGGACGACGAAGAAATATGTCTACAGGTGGCGCGAGTGCTGCTCCGCATGTGGTGTCGCTGTTTGGAAGAGAAGTACTTCGTCCCGTTTTACTTGGTTCTCGACATGCTTCGTTTTTCGCTTCGAACGGAACTTGCTGCGACCAAGTTGCAATTGATCGAAGAGGCCGTTCCGCTCTGCACCCGGTGCATTGAATACGTTGCTACGGCGCGTGCTCGTGCGACCATCAATCGAAACTTCGCTGCAAGCCTGGATCGCGCAGATATCGAGAAGCTTGCAGACGAGCGGGAAGTTGACGAGACTCTTGACTTCCTACACGAATTGTGCGAGGCTGCTTCGCTTTCTGCCGAGCGCAAGGAAGTCTTTTGGAGCAATCTTGAAGTGTATTTCGTTGTCTCAATGCTCAACAAAGCGCAACCACTCCATGAAATCATGACAATGCTGCGTATGCTTGGCTCGTCTGCCAGGCCGACGTCTCTTGGAGTGATTTCGAGAGAAATCGGAAAGCAGACCGAGCAAGAAAAGCAGCTCGTGGACTGCCTCACGAACCTGCTCTTTGAGAACCTAGACGCGCCGCCGGACGAGCCGAAATATTCCGAGGATGAGACACTCGAAGTGAGAATCGAGGTTTTGAAGGTCTTCAGGGAATTCTGTCAGCGAGATCATGGGACATCCGTACTTGCAGGACATCGAAGCGTTATTGGGAGACTGGTCAGGTTTCTCGATGCGCAGGTTGCTAAGCTGTACCGGATACGCCCACCGGTGGGCCTGGACGACTCAGCTGCTGAAAAAGTCACCTACCGTCTCATTGCCGACACTATCAATCGCACTACCCGACTGCTATACCATCTCCTTTGCACATTTGACGATCCGCAAATCACGATCCAGAAACTGCAGGTCGTCCATGGAGGCTATCACAAATTCATTGTCAGCCTGACTCGTATCGCTTTCACGGAACAAGTCGCCTTTGAGGCTGGCATTGAGAATGAAGTGTCCGAAGCAGCGCATAGCATTCTCGACAACATCCTGAATTCAGAAGGTAAGCTTCATTGTACGCAGCAAGATAAATACATGTCTGACACATCCTAGACGGCGAAGCTGTAATGAAAGCCTTTGAGACGCCTCGCAGTACAAAAGGGCCTACCGCCGAAAATAAGCCCAGCGAGGAGACTCATGACGGCGACATCAGTATGAGCCAGCCGGATTGAGGCGAGACTTGGTCAGATCCCGTCGACGGTTGTGAGCTCAATCCCAACATTTAGATCTACAGCCAGTCACGTGCCAGCTCAGTTTCGACGTCACCTCCCCAGGAAGCTACTTCTACCACCGAGCTCGGCGGAATTGACGCGGGGTTGCTGATACGCGGATATTACTATATGTAACACGCGACTCACCCTTCACGTGCCGTCTCTACTCCTACTTGCAGTTGCATCTCGTCCATACGTTGCAGCACTTCGGCGGTCGAGAATTATGGCCGAGCTACCTAGGAACGTCGGCTGGGTCGGCTTGGGCCTTATGGGCTTCCCGATGGCCAAGAACCTCTTGAAGAAGATGGACGCGGAGACGCAGTTTTACGTGTACGATGTCATGCAAGAGAATGTTGAGAATCTTGTGCGGGAGGGAGAAGGGAGAATACACGCTTGTGAGAGCAGTAAGGAAGTTGCAGATAAGTCCGTATGCACGGATCCTTGCCCCCAAACGTCTCAACACCATCGGCCAAGCTTCTGAACAACGATTATGTGCGGCGTCACCTGCTGACGCACTGGCAGGATATCATTCTTTCCATGGTCCCCGAGGGCTCGCACGTGAAAGCTGTCTACCTGGATGAATCCGATGCCGTTCTCCAATCTCCTCTGGGCAATAAGATTCTCATCGATTGCTCCACCATCGACACCGCCTCCTCTCTTGCTGTCCGCGACGCCGTCGCTTCTCAACATCCCCAGGCTCGCTTCTACGACGCTCCAGTCTCCGGCGGCGTCATTGGAGCCGAGAAAGGAACCTTGACATTCATGCTTGGCTGCGCAGAAAACAATCCAGACAAAGAACTTCTCACGAAACTCCTGCACCTGATGGGCGGTAACGTCTTCGCCTGCGGAGGCGCTAGTCTGGGCCTGGTCGCGAAGCTCTGCAATAACTACTGCTCCGGTCTCATTGCCATTGCCGTCTCGGAGGCCATGAATATCGGTATCAAAAGCGGCATGGATCCCCGCGTCCTGGCCAATGTCTGGCATACGAGTACGGCTCAGAGCGCCATCTGCGATGACTGGTGTCCTGTTCCGGGGCTTTGTCCCGAGGCCCCTGCGAGCAAGGGATACCAGGGTGGGTTTCGGGTGCAGCTGATGAAGAAGGATTTTGGACTTGCGGTTGATGCGGGTCAGATGGTTGGAGCCAGGCTGGCTTTGGGAAAGGAAGGGTTGGGAGTTTATGAGGGGGCTTGTGAGGATGAGAAATGTAGGGATCTGGATTCGAGGGTTGTTTATCGATACCTTGGGGGTGAGGAGGAGTGGAAGAACAAGGGGGAATTTGACGAGCGGGTGGATATGAAGAGGGATGAAACTAGGCGGTTGATTCAGTTGGGCAGAGAGGTTGAGGCCCAGAGGAAGAGGGAGGAAGAGGGAAAGTCGCTGTGATAGTGGCGAAAGGGGAGCGAAGCCGGTGGCGAGAGCAACAGCGTCAGACATTGTGGAGAGATCACGATGTGCTGACTGACTTTAGAGGATTACAGCGTCTTTCCACAGTGGAACGCTATTGTCTTCACGAGAATGATAGCCAAACCCAGAGCAACAGCGAGGCGGATAGAGTAAAATAGAGAATACTCCGATATGCGAAGAGGCTGTATGTCTCAGCCGTGGTTGCATCGTTCGGCATGCGGCGGAGATGCGTCTTCTCAATTGTGGTCTCACAACATACAACAGGACTACTTAGTGTTGAGAGAAGGTCCGCATCGTTTGACACGCTGGTGTCCTCTCTTAACGTGGTCTCGTCCCCAAGAAGCGGTTGGCCTTGCATGCCACATGCTTAAAAGGGGCGCCTCAGGGCGCTCGCGGATCAACTCAATGATTGAGGCAGTGCATTTCTCTCAAGATACCTCCAATCAATTGGGTGGAATAGTACAAGGCACCGGGAAGATGTTGGCTTGCATCCATCAGCCTAGTGTCGTCTGCTGCAGCAGAGGCACAGCAGAATCCGTCCCAACTGAGCGGTTGGCACCGCTCGCTATTGCATACCAATCGCGCAAAGCCGAGGAGGCGAGCTTTACCTTGACAGCGAAGAATTGAGGTGTTCAAGCGCTGCATGCTTGGCAACGTGCATCAGGCAACGTCTAGTTCGCAAGGTCCGGGCTTAACATATCGACGTGGGGTGAAGTACGCAACAGATGGAGGTAGATGACGCTCAAGGGACGTGTTTTAACCTGTGATGGGAGAATGGCACGATCACGGCATTCCGTCTCGTCAGTACTAGTCGCCTCGATCCAACGACGTTCCACGTCCAGAGTCTGTCGACGTTCAATTATCTTGTTCACGCTCTTGCCGGAGTCGGTGGTATCCTCGTCAGTGTTCTGGGTAATCCTGACGCCCAGCTCAGGGTAATGTTGCTAAACAACCTCTAGCAATACCAGCGTTGTTAGCTGCAGACCCGTGCTCAGACAAGTCATTGAAAAGGGTCGAGTTGGGAGCCGTTCAGAACTTCGCGAGTGTGGCATAGCAGTCCCCTATGGCCCTTTACTGGATCGAAATATTGCGCTTCAACTTTTGGGCAATTGCTCAGGAGGAGAGACCACTTTAACAATCTTCCCGTTCGTGGCACGAACATGGCATGCTTCTGTCCCTCCTGCTCTTGTGGGGGTGCGCTTTCGCATCAACTCTCCATTGCGGATGATGAGAAGCGGCCTGGCGATGGCATCGAAGCATGGTAATCGAGATTCGCTTTGAGACAAGTGCGTTTACAACGCATTGGTGCGTGTATGTATCATGATCTCTCCAGCAGAACCAGTAGAGCCTTCAATCAGTACGTCTATTCTACATCACCAATCAAGACATCAGTATCTTGGAAGACCTTCACGCCAGCTGCTTGGATGAAGAAAGGCGACAATTCCAGCTTTCAGGCTCCAGCAAGAGCAGATAGGTACAGCCATGGGGCTCGTGCTAATGTCCGCTGTACTTGCCGAATAAGACATCGGTCTCTTGGACATCCTTCCAGTTAGATCCGTGGACAGAACGAGGCAGCAATATCCGCGTTTCACCATGGGACTCGTGCTGACGGCAGTGGATGGCCAATGTCAGGAACCGGTGATCATAGCGGCAGCGCTGTTGCCGGTGTTGTTTGTCCGGGGTAGAAAGATTTGTGCGCAATGCAGCACGGGCAGCCTCATCAAGAAGGGGTCGCCACAAAGTAAAGTGAGCGTTGGGGGCCAAGAGACCTTGCTGCGATTGCCGCCTCGAGTCTCAGCAGTAACCAACGTCAAGACGAAGGTATCCAGGGACTGGTCACGCGGCTGGCCCGGCGCCTGGTGTCGTACTCTTACATTTTCATCGTCGTCTATATACCCTTCACAAGTTGTCCAAGGGAGACTCGCCGGTCGTAACGCCACGCTCGCGGATCGACTTCAAAATGATCCGATCACCACTCGCCCCTCGAAGATCCAAACTTCAGGTACGACCATTGGTGGTCCCATTAGTACCCGAAGGTTGCGGCGTCATCTCGCGGATCATCTGTTTGAGCTCGGCGATTTCATCCTTGAGCTTCTTGAACTCCACCATGTTCGCGTCTTTCACGACGTTCGGGCTGCTCTCTTTCACGCGCTTGCTCCAGCCGGTTCCCTCCACGTCCAGCTCGCCTTCCAGTTGCTCCCAGTCCTCGATAGTATCGTCGTCTTCTTCCCGGCGGCTGCGGTTGAAACGCACTTTCCTCGCCGTTCTCGTCTCCAGTAGAGCAGTAACGCAGAGGAGAGGCGAGTATATGAATCCCATCACGATGTCGTTGAGCTTCTCATACTGCGCTTTCGGCATCCACCACTCGAAGGGGATGATGAGCAAGAATATCTCGATCAGGTTGAAGGGCGCAATGAAAACGTTCTCATCCGGTGCTCGTACAAATTGCATCGTCTTCGCCGCAAACAGGGCGAGGTACTCGTCGGTTGCATTGTCGTAAATGTCTTCGTACGCCGAGTTGTAGAGCGCAATCAGCACGTTCAACAAGATGACGATAATAACGAAGTTGTAGATGTAGTAAAGAATCAAACCAAATGGGGGCTGGAAGTTGTCCCAGTTATCGAAGTCCGGGTCACCCAAGATTGCAGTGAGCATGGCTTTGATGATGAAGTTCGCAGCCGTGATTTGCTCATCCACTTGATCCATGCCGATGAACCCTTGGAAAAAGCCGATTAAGACCACAATGAGTAGTGCGAAGAAGATCAGCGACTCCTTCATCATCACCTTCAGAACGACCAGCATGGCGCCGAAGAAGCGGACACTGTCCAGATACAAGAGCAACCGCATCCAGAACATGGGTGCTGAGAAGGCCAGGAAGTTGTAACTCTGGGTATTCAACGCAGTACGCGTTTCGTTGCCCCACGGGTGCGCGAGCGCAACGCATCGCAACACGAACGAGACGGTAAGCAAAGTGTACAGCGTCGAGTTGAAAATGTTCCAGAAGCCTGTGATCGTTAGGATTGCGGCACACATAAGACTCGCGCTCTGCATCATCAATCCACGTACCGAAGTAGAATCGACCAATCTTGATAAATTTGGACATCTCGTCACAGATGAAACCAAGAGTGAAGATGTAGAGTAATCCCTCGACCACATCAAGCTCACCTCCAGGGTTGATAGTGTTGATCGCGCCCGTGTACAGTCCCAGGAAGATCAGACTGAACATGATTTGCAACAAGTTCTGGTATTGCGGCACGCGCATTCGGTCGGGGTCAAAGTGATCCCAATAGTTCGTGGAAGTCTTGAGCTTGTAGTCGACGAATCTGTTCGGGTCATCCTCATCTTGGACCAGCCAGCCGCGCCAGAGGTGATTGATACACTTTTGATACCCGGAGCTGCCAATCACACGGACGGCATGCAGGTCCACTGCCTTCTCTATGGCGTTGGCCGACTTGGTGTCCTCCCCATCGACGAAGATACTGTATCTCTTCAACAGCACCTCTTGCATGAGGTAGTGATTGTCCTCTTCCTCCTCTATCAGGTGCTTGGCCAGGACTTCGCAAGCCGTGGCTCTCAGCTGGTGCAGATCGGCGTCCCACAACTCCAGTAGGGCCTGACGTTTGAACCAATGCTGAACAATCAGCAAGCAGAACACCACGCAGGCGCTGTGGTCTTCATTCGAGCCCGAGACCTTGCCGGCGGTCTTGGCCGTCTGGATGACAGCATCGTCGAGAACATCGCTGTGCGGCTTGGTGATGCGGTCTTCGGGCAGTTCGCAAGGAATGACTTGCTCGAGCTGGTATTTCAGGCGGAGGGCTGTGTACGTGACTTGCTTCGCGGGTATAGCTGAGGTGATCTGTTCGTCGCGGTTGCTCGGGAGAAGGTGGGCGAGCTCATCGTGGAGTCCAGGCCGGTTGGACTTGTTGCCGTCGAAGAGTCTATGTATCGTCCGTCAATCACATGCGCGCTGTATGAAATGGGGAGTGAAGTCGAGATACTTGGTCCATTTCACCATCTTGAGAGCTCGGTGGGGCGGCAGTGATACGGTAGCTGTCGAACTCTTTCTCGTCCGGTCTAGGGGATTTAGGCCCGTGTTGGAGCTTTACTCATAGGAATTATGGTATTACTAGGCGTGGGATGGAGTTGTTGGTAGCAGAGTCGGCGATGCACGTCGTCAAACCGGTTTCTCAATGTCGCGGAGCGCTTGGCGATCGTCGTCATGCTCGCTCGCGTGGCTGCATTGACTTCTGCTTCCAGTCTTCTCCGCGTGCCTCGCGTCTTCCCGCTCTATAATCCGTCACGACTTCAGCTGATCACGCAGACACCTCAAGACACTCAACAGTACGAGGCGCGTCACGCCCATCGACATCGAACGCATCAGTGTCACCAGCAGATATGCCGCCCAAGAAGAAAGCGCGTGCGTCTCCCGAACCGCAGGCGGCCAAAACACCGACACCGACATCCACGGCCGCTTCTCCCGACGAAGCAGCGCTCAATGACCCCTGGACAGACGACGAGGAGATTGGCCTGTTCAAGGGCTTGATGAGATGGAAGCCGACCGGTACGCCGTGAAGACGCGCGATCGACACACGCATCGCTGATGGAGCTGCCAGGCTGATGACCTGCAGGAATTCATAAACACTTCCGACTCATGTGTCTCCACGCATGGCTACTGGAGAACAATCATATACATCCTCGAAATGAGCACACGAAGCCAGCCGGGATCTGGCGGAAACTGAGCCAGATGTACGATCTACCCGCACTGGACGCGAGGGAAGACGCGCGACAGCTTTCTCCACTGAGGACGGGCGGAGAGCAAGACGAGATGGACGAGGACAAAGGCAATGCACTCGATGACGACATCTACAGTGTCGCGGCAAACAAGATCGGTACTGACGAATTTGAACTGCCGCCGGATAATGGCTTTGAAGAGGAGATGTGGGAGAGGAGGCTTCCGAAGAAGCCAGACGAGGAGATCGATGCGGAGCTTGTCGAGATCAACATGGCAGCGGAAGCCCCCATACGCTTCACTCCTAGCTTCAGTATTGAGCCAAGTGAAGCGGCAACGCCTTCATCAAAGGCCGTGAAGTCGAAGAGGGGCAAGGGTGGTCGTGCGGGTGTTGCCACAGCTCCGAGGAGGAGTACGCGGAAGACGGAAAGTGTAGCAGACAAAGAAGAAGAGAACGACGAAGAAGACCGAGATGGCGAGGAAGAGAAGGAAGAGGATGGAGAGGACGAGGACGAGGAAGAAAGCGGAGAAGAAGAGGAAGAAGCTTCTCAGGCTAGTACGCCTGGACCAAAGGGAAAGAGGACTTCCAAAGCTACGACAAGAAGCAAGACGGCCAGCAAATCCAAAGGTCGAAGTCGAAAGGGAAGGTAAAGGAAGCTGGTCAACAATTGGCGAATGCTGAATGATACTCATGACATGCCCACTTCCTGTAGCTTCTCCACCTCGTCGAGATGGAACCTCGACCCAGAGGAGTCAGAGAGAGACCATCGGATCGCAGTGTGAGCCTACTCGATGCTCCAAAGTCGCGCACCGACCTCGTCGCGTCTTGCGTCTTAAAGTTGGTCGTCTGAGGATAAGGAGTGGGTAATCTACAGCGCACCCGATATCGCCGTCGTAGTCAGACCTCACATGGTCACTACTTCGTATCGTTTCTTGGACAGAGTTGCTCGAGGCAGAAACGGCGGAATGATTCCGACGGCACTGCCGGCACGCGCATCTACTTCACCTTCAAAGCAGCATTTATCACAAGGTCAATACCAGCGAGCGATGGTTTCATCATGCGTTGGAGACTCGACCTAAGCTCGGTCTTCGTGTACCGCTTCGGAGATTCTGCGCAGGAGACCGACACAAGCCTTCTGATGAACTTCGACCAACGAGCACGCCCGGGTTTTCGGCCTGTCTGATGGAAAGCCGCGAGATGCCCTGGATCGGGTTATCGCCTTAGACTAGAAGCATGCCGAGGAGCAACAACTACCGACGGTAGCAAATTGAAGGCTGCGGAGCTAGCAACCATGGAACCCTCAAACGCTGACAACATGGAAACGAGGACCGTTTCAGCTCGGCTCCCCAGCTGTCGGAGTCCGGCCTTTTCCGCCCACACCTGGCCAAGTACATGGGCACAATGTTGCGCCGATAGACTACATCCTGTAAGTACTATGCGAACACTACCATAATACACGAAACCCTTGGGATGACCAACAGGGCGGACTTCACAGATGATGGCGACGACAAGTCCTACCCGAAGCGGCGTGAGAATTGTGGAGGTGGGACCGAGGGACGGTCTGCAGAATCTCAAGAGCCATGCTTCGACAGAGATGAAGGTCGAACTCATTCAACGCCTGAGGAAGACTGGACTGAAGACGATCGAACTGACTTCGATTGTCTCTCCAAGAGCTGTTCCTCAGCTTGCCGACTGCAGAAGGCTCTTGTCCACCAAGGGTATTCAAGACCTCCAGGAAGATGACGAGCTACGACTTCCGGTCCTGACGCCCAACATGAAAGGATTGGACATCGCCATGGAACATGGAGTGAAGGAAGTTGCCGTCTTTGTTAGCGCCAGCCAAGGTTTCAGTAGAGCCAACATCAACTGCAGCGTTGGAGAAGGACTGAGTCGCGCCCGAAACATCTGTGAACGGGCAGCCATGGAACATATTGCGGTTCGAGGATACGTCAGCTGCATCTTCTCCGATCCATTCGATGGACCAACCCCACGGCAAAAGGTCGTTAGCGTTGTGGAGGAACTGTTGCAGATGGGCTGCTATGAGGTCAGTCTGGGCGACACCTTGGGTGTGGGAACAGCGCTCGATGTGCAGGACCTTCTGCTCTGCCTGTCCGAATCCGGGATTAATATGGAACGTCTGGCCGGTCATTTTCATGATACGTACGGTCAGGCTGTTGCCAATGTCTGGGCTGCTCACCAATGCGGCCTCAGGGTCTTCGATAGCAGTATTGCTGGATTAGGCGGGTGTCCTTACTGCCCTGGTGCCAAGGGTAATGTCGCAACCGAGGACCTGATCTATCTTTTCGGCCGGGCAGGAGTCGAGACCGGTGTCGATCTGGACGAGATCGTCGAGGTCGGCCATTGGATCACGACAATGCTAGACATATCGAACGAAAGTCGAGCCGGCAGCGCGTTGGCTGCCAAACGCGCGTTGTCGCCGCCCAAATTCGAGTACAGCAAGCGTGTAAGGGAATCCTGGAGTACTATGCTTCCCAAAGATGGCAGCTTAGGCATTGAAGTATCCGGCACCAGCATTCAAATTCTGTGGAAACAACTAGATTCGCTGTGGAACGGTCGATATGGGCTTCCTCGTCCTCTGGTATAGTCTTGGCGCTCCTTATTGTCTGATCAAGGGATGATCGATGCATTTGCACGCACGACAAGCGGAACAACCTTCCTGCTGCACCTGTTGCGCTACCTTACGACCTGAGTGTTGTTTCCTATGCCCTGATGATTTGGTATGCTTGTCTTGCTTCGGTCCTGGGCCTCGCAAGTCGTGTCCACTCATCGGCTGTGAACTGAGCACAGCTCTGCGGGAGTACTTGACTCTCGGCCGAGGGAATTACCAGCAAGCACTTTCAATCACTTGAGCTGGAACTCCGGAGGCCTGCCAAGCGCCGGATATGGACGTACGAGATACTGTCCACCTCGACTGTTCTCGATGCTTGAACTTAGCCACTGAACCAGTGCAAACGATCTTCGCAGAGCTTCATGCAAACGGCAAAAGCGTAGAACAGCCAGAGGCTTCCATCCAACATCTAGCGGCAGGAGGCGTCGATTTCAACGAATACCGACAGACGCGCGCTCCGGCACGCATCCGATAGCGATATCTAGTTCGAAGCGGAGACCAGGATCTTCAGAGGTACCGGCTGCTTTGTTGGATAACCGGATGCCGCGCTGCTTCTGGGCGTGGCATTGGCCACGCTGTCGTGATCCTTGCACGACTCGGGTACTTGAGGCAAGGTTGACCACTTACGGTAGATGACCGCAATATCACTGGGCACTTGGACACGTTGTGGCCGGAAAGAGGCCGGAATGGTGAATTCATACCAGTGAGAACTAGTGCCTTAGCTCGCGGGGTCTATCTACATATTTCTGCGCACTAGCTTCTCACGTCGCGTGCATGTGAATGGCGCAACGAGCTACATACATAGCTGGAACATTTGCGCTCGACTACTATGAGGGCATGGGAAAACCCCCACCTGTTCCTCATCATCCGGACAAGGATACATCTTGCTCTTCAACACGAACCAACCCCGAACCTGCCGCACACCCTCTCTTGTCCTTGAACAGTTACTAGCTATCAAAGGCATCTTTTTTCGAGCGGATTGTCTTGTGATATAGCCAAAAAAAACACATCAGTGCTTTGCAACGCCGCCGCCGACTGTAGCGACCTGTAAGGACTTTGAAAGATGAGCCACGACAGGAGAGAGCCCAAGAGGGCGCGACAAGCCTGTTTGAATTGCAGGCGCAAAAAGGCGCGTTGCTCAGGGGAGAAGCCGATTTGCGCCTTCTGTGCTCGTCTCAACCAGCCATGCGAATGGGATAGTCCGTCGTCGGCAGAACTCCCTTCCAAACCTTCGTCGTCTCTCCGAAGAGCCTCCAGCTCTGCGCAGGACAGCGGACTGGCAGCAAGAGTGGCATTGCTCGAGGCCAAACTCAGCCTGTTGAACGACGAACCGACGGGGGCTGTGTCGGGAATCACATCAGCTTCCACGGGCACGCCAACCTCACATCAGACGACTCGGGGCAGAAGAAAGCGCGACATCTCCCTCGAGATTGATCCCTTCAACAGCTCTGCGCCGACTTCGAATGACTTCTCATCGTTGCCGGATAGGGAGATATTCAGACACCTGATCGATGTGTATTTTGAACATAACCATAACCAGCCCTACACTTACTTCCACGAGACATCCTTCAGACGCAGCTTTGAAGACGATGTCCTCCCCGAATACCTCATGCTTGCATTTGCGGCGACAGCCTGTCGCTTTTCCAACCATGAATTTTACGAAGATCGCCGAGTGGAGGCAATGACAACCTATGCGAATTCAGCTTGGCACCGCATCTACGAAGACTCATTTTCCTACGAAACACAGCTGGAGTTCTCGATGGTGCAAGCTACGGGCATGCTGGCAGCAATCGACTTCACATGTAAGAGGAGACACAACCCACGACCGAGCATGAGCTGATGACATGCCAGCTGGCCATTACAAACTTGGATGGGTGAAATTTTCTCTGACGATCCGTTTCGCGCAAGGTCTACGATTGAATGAGGAGATGGGCGACGACTTGCCCATCTACGAACAAGAAGAGCGCCGCCGAACATTCTGGTCTGTGTATCTTCTTGATGCCCTGATCAGCCTCGGCCCGAATCGCCCAAGATCTCTTCTCGACGCGGACTGCAGCGTTCGTCTGCCGTGTCATGAAGACCTGTTCCGGAATGGATTGATCAGTGATGTGGAGCCCACATTGGAGGCTGTCATTGATGATCCCACGGCTCCCAATCACCAGAATCTCGACGTAAGAAAGAATCGAGACAACTTGAATAGAGTTGATCAGACAGGCTGACAGCCAGCAGTACTTTGCAATGACCGTCACGATGGCTTCCGCTCTCGGACGATTCATTCGGATGGCGATGAAGCGTACGCCGAAGAGCCACGTCGTGCCATGGGACCCGCGGTCGCCGTACTACGAAGTCCACAGCATCCTGCTCCACTTCGAGTCGCTGTCGCCCTGCGCGGTATCAACGGTCACCGAAACGCTGCAGTATCAGTTTACCTTCGACGGCGCCGTGGACAAGCAGCGGGCTGGTCACTTTCTCTACTCGCATGCCATGTTCCACCTGATCCATTGTCTCCTCAACCATCCGTTCATCCTCCATCACATCCTCCAGCCTTGCATGGCGCCCGTCCCTCTGAGTTGGGTGCAAGAGGCCTTGACCCGATGTCACAAGCATGCCACGGAGCTGCTAGCGCTGTTACACGATGCACAGCAGTACGGCCGCTTGGTGCAGTCCAGCTTCTACGGATACTGTGCCTTGGCAGCCGGGGTCATCCATCGACTCTACGAGAGCCACGAAGACCCCGCAACGGCAGCAGCGTCTCGCGACCGATCCTGGGCGGCTCTGGCATTCCTGGACGCGAAACCGGTGCGATGGCCGAGCTTCGCCAACATGGCCCTCTCCCTCCGCTCCTTCAAGCCCGACATGGACACGGCCAAGGCCTTGACAAACGCCATGGCGCTCGCGCAGAAAGCGACCATCAAGGACGGAAATGTCCTCTGGACGCTGTTAGACTACGCCAGGATTCCCGAACTGAACCCCGTGGCGTCACCGACCATGATTCCGGCGACGTCAACACCGTCTGCGGGACCCAGCCGAGAGCCTCAGGATCGGTGGGGGAGCCAGACGCCTGGTTGGGCCAGCGCTGCGAACCCCGGTCAGACGCCCTTCGAGCAAGCTGACCCGGCGTACGTACGAGATGTGTACACGGAACCACAAGGTACGGTGGGGACGGCTGGCATGTGGTCTCCCTTCCTCCGGAACGAGCCTGCGGCCGGTTATGCGGATGCTCAGGTGGAAGAGCAGATGGAGCGGCAGATTTGAAATTTGATGCGATGCAGATTCCCGCCAAATAGTCCGCCTCATCATTTGGCCCCAATATCACCGTTCTCGTCAATTCCTTCCAACAAGTGGGATCATGGGCAGGCAGGCAGGCAGGCAGGCAGGGACACAAGGGTCTGAACTCGGCACATTGTCCGACAGACAAGGGATCGAAGATGGAAGCTATGACCAGAAGCTCGTTAGCAGATGCCCACTGAGATTTGCTCCTTGCACGAGGCTCCTTGTGATCCACGACAGACTGTGCAGCGTCTCTGCATATCGGATTATTGTCATACTCGACGACTGCTACCGCTGATTGCGTGCCACTCGAGACACCGTCGGCCCTGGGTTCTGGTCAGGATTCTCGGGGAGATTAGAGCCTTGTGCTGCGGACAGAAGCTGTACCGATAACAAATGATATATGATCATGATGGTATCATTGCCCAAGGACACTACTCCGAACTGCCAAGTGAAATGCTACACAGGAGTCCCCCCGTCCAGCTCCCCGATTGCAGCATCTTCCCCTCGAGCCGTTGCTTTGCGCAACAACTCGACCTCGACCCGTTCGCTCTACATCGCGGAGCGGAAGCGTCTCCGAGCCCACATCAAAGGCATCATGGTAAGTCACCCTCCCCCTCTCCGCAGGCCCCACGAAAACTCGACTCAAAAAGAACCCGGCAGGCGCTCCTCCATCGAAAACCAAATCCGAACGCCGCTCGAAGCCCAAACGCCCATAGAACTCCGGCCTTCCCGCCACGACACACCCAGCAAAACCCCGCGCGACCATCTCGCCGACCGCACGCTCGACCAGCAGGCTGCCGATGCCTCTCCTCTGCCATTGCGGCGCGACGGAGACGGGACCGAGGCCAAGCCAGGCCTTCGCCTCGCCGTCGATGAAAACAGGAGACGCGGCGAGGTGTCCGATGACGCTTTCGTCCCCGTGGTGATAGGCAACGAGCGAGAGGACGAGGGCGTGGTCTTGGCGCAACTTGTCCACGATGTCGCTTTCGCTGTGGTGGAGGTGGGATTTGGATGCGAAGGCGGCGAGGATGAGGTGGCGGATGCGAGGGATGTGTTCTGGTGCTTCCCGATGAATTTGAATGTCCTCCATGTCGCAGGTCCCGCGTATCCTAGTAGCCATTTTTATTATTGTTGTTGTGGGTGTTGCTAGAGGGGAGCTACTAGGTACTCCAGGTCAGTCGAGCTCTCCTTGTTCTGTCGCGGGAAATCGGAGCAACGTTTTTCCGCTCGAGTCTATGCCTTTAGATGATGGTTCGGCTCGGTCTTCCAATAAGTGTTTCACAGACTACAGCTAGGCGGAAATTGAGGAGAAGATGTTCATCATACATACAGCTGAGGTTGGCGGCGCTTAACAATCCCAACCAATCACATGCGTCGGGCAATACTCATGTTCGAACACAACGCAGCACAAACTTGGAAGTATGGGGATTAGATGCACAAGATCGGGACTGCACATTAATATATACTATCAACACTGGCTCGAGCATGCTACACGAGAGCGCCCCGCGCTCAAAACGCACCACTCAGACACCCATTCTACTCTCGCCCAGAAAAACACCCAAATGCAATGCCAATCAGAGTATTTCTGTACCGTCGTTTCCATTTCCAAGACACCCATAATGCGCACATGAGACCACTGTCCGGTCGGTCAATCCATCAATCGCTCAAACATCAGTCAGCCTGACAGGCTCCAACTTCAAAATCCAACTGACATCCTATCTCCAAGAAGCTCCGACTCTTCCTTCCTCCGCGATCTTGCCGCTGACATCTCTTCTATCCCTCAGACTATACGGATTGCCATCCGCAATGTCGGCACCAGTACGGCTGATGACACGGCCCTTCTGCGGACTCGGCGTACGCGACTGCTGAGGAGTAGGAACGCCGTACTGGTTCATACCGCGCGGAACGTGGCGGTCGTCCACCTGGGGGAAATGCGTCTGTCCAAGCGGAACGGCACCACGGACACCACGCGTAGCAGAGGCGAGATCGCCGTAGAATTTACCCTTGGGTGATGCGTTGTTGGGGTGCCCGTTACCACCGGTAAAACTGGGCGAACTTTCCGAGTAGACAGAAGAGGTTGCAGTCTGGTTGGAAGTGACAGTCGCAGTACGAGCAACTCCGATTTCCGCGGGCTCGTGTTTCTCGCCATGATAACGCTGGAAATCATCACCATCGCCTGGATCTGGGTATTCACCTTCGTCTTCACCTGGTGGCGGGGTGGGAGGGTTCATCTTCAATGGCTGCGGCTGGAAAGAATCGTGACGATCGACTTCCACCCGCGGCAGGGTTGGGCTGGCGGCGTAGGAGGGTGCTTGTCTGTGGTGGCGGAGTGGAGTACCGAGATCCGACATGGCCTCTTCGTCGAGCACGTACCAGTTGTCGTTGAGCAAGCCTTGCTTCTGTTGGGACTTGACGACGGCACTCGAAGGCGCGGTGTCAACACGGTGGGGGCTTCCCGGGCGGGCAGAGTAGAAGGACGCAGTCTTTCCCGCGTTGGGACGAGGCAATGGAGGAATGTCCCCGAAGTCAATGACCGATGTGTTCTTTGCATGGCTGACGACGGAGCTCGCACGAGAGCGGTGACCAGCTCCGACTTCTTGACCGGAGGCTCGACCAGAACTTGGTCCCTGGTGCAGGCTGATCTCATCGAAATGCGGCTGTTGATCGTATTGCTGTTGATCGTATTGCTGTCGCGATAGACGAGCGGAGTTGGGGTTGTGTGGCGAATAGGTGTAGTCCGAGTCCGTTCTGCTGTGCCCAAATGGAATGGTCCTTGCCTCGGGAGCCTTGGCTGTCGAGTGCACACTGAGGGTACTCCCGCTGAGGTATCCCGGCTTCTTCTCCGACATGTCGGTGGAGAGGGAGGAGACGGTAGCCTCGCTGTTCTTGTACTTGTGCTTCTGCGACCGCGACCGCGATCGACGGATGCTGCCGGTCAGATTGTCCTCGAGTGGGTTCATATCCGGCGGCATGCGGGCAATCTTCCGGAACATGACGATGAGGTACAGGTCCAAGGCAATGCTGATCAAGTGCAGACCGGCCAGCACGACGCTCGCAATGAATGTTGCGAAGATGAGCTTGGTGGTGGCGACATTGGTGGTGAAGAAGCTCGTCCACCTGCCGTCGACGCCGGGCTGCTCGTTGTAGTTCTGGTTGGCGTAGAGGGCGACGAAGACGTAGAAGGGGATCAGACCCGTGTCCATGAAGAGGGCGAAGAAGTGGTAGCTGGAGCTGGTGGCCGGTGTGCGTCCCTTTGCCGGTCGGAGCAGGTGGTAGATGGCGTACATGGTGATGACCACGTCCCAGGCCGGCTATTGCACGTGATATCAGCATTGATCATTGATTCCGGTGGTAGGATGAGGGATTGAAGGAGAGGAGATACTACTTACGGCAACTCGCGTGATCCAGCCGGGGCCGTCATTGTCCATCTTCAGGCAGATGACGCAGACCAAGACCCCGAGTGCGCCGACCTCTTGGACGACACGCAGCAGCAATTGGCCCCATCGCGACCAGACGATATCGCGCTTTGTGTTGGGCGGCAGTGGCTCGAAGTGTGTGACGGGGTTGTTGACGATCATGTAGCTGTCCGGGTGTTGGTTGAAGTTGATGAGCGGCTTGCCCTCCTGCTGGTGCTGCGCCTTGCGCTTCTGGCGCTCCGCCCGGTCCGCCAGCGCGGCATAGTGCGCCTGAGTGGCAGCTCGCGGATTGAAGTCGGAATATGGGTATGCGATCTGGCTGTTGCGAGGAGCCGGGTCGTAGAGGAAGGGCGGGTCGGAGGCGCCCATCTCTCGCTCGTAGGGAATGTGAGTGTGTGACAGAAGCGAGCCTCACGGTATCATATCATATAATAAGAGTCGGGGAATGCGCGACGAATGGCGGAGGCGGGAAGCAGGCTGGTGAAGATGCGCGGTGGATGCGGTATGGTGGATGGGGGAAGATGGATTGCTGCCGGCATCTTGCTTGCACACTGTATACAAAGATCGGGGACCCTGGCAACCGGCTGATCAATCACCCGCTCCGCCATCGGCTGCAGATCCGAGAGTTCGTCACATGACATGACATCAACGGCGCTGTTTCACCCGATCCGTTTCCGTACATGTATCTCAATTTCAATTTCTCTCCTCCCAACACACATCCATCTGCACATGTCGCGACTTGGTACGACCGCGTTCGTCTCCAGAAGCTGTCGGCAGGCTCAACAGTATGGCACCCTCATCAGGCGACCTACAGGCCATGCAGGTCTCCGAAGATACAGCAGTACGCCCACGCGACAGCGACAGCGACCGCTGCACCTGGCTATCATCGGATCTGGCCCGGCCGGTTTCTACTCGGCATATCGACTGTTGAAGGCGATGCCAGATGCAAGAGTCGACATGTACGAGAGCCTGCCCTCCCCCTACGGTCTCGTCCGATTCGGCATCGCACCCGACCATCCCGAGGCAAAAGTACGATTCTCCCTACCAGACCGACTCTGCCATGGCTGATAGTGGATCGCGCAGTAGAAATGTGCAGAGACATTGCCGGACGTCGCCAAGTACGACGGCTTCAATTACGTCGGGAACGTGCCCATAGGCGATTCGCCTGGTCATCTACCTCTCACATCCATCGCGCCTCATTACAACGCCCTGCTCTTTGCATACGGTGCGTCGAGAGATAAGAAGCTAGGAATACCGGGGGAAGATCTGAAAGGCGTGCTGTCCGCCAGAGCATTCGTAGGATGGTACAATGGTCTGCCCGAATATGCCGACCTCAATCCAGATCTACAGTCCGGAGACACCGCTGTAGTAATAGGACAGGGCAATGTTGCATTGGACGTCGCCCGCATCATGTTCATGCCACTGGGCGAGTTGCGTAAGACAGACATCTCTGAGCATGCCCTGGAAGCGCTCAGCAGGAGTAGAGTCAAAGATATGAAGATCATCGGGCGAAGAGGTCCTCTTCAAGCACCGTATACCATAAAAGAGCTGCGAGAGATGCTACATATCTCGGGGCTTGCATTCGTGCCACCGCCCGAAGGCTGGGAAGCTCTGCTCCAAGTCGAGCCTAAGAAGCTTCCTCGTCAGCTGAAACGAATAACGGAATTGCTGATGAAAGGTTCAAAGACCTCGATCGACCAAGCGGATAAAGCATGGCAACTAGGATACTTACGATCACCGCTCGAGCTCCTCTCGCGCGACAACACACATCTCGCCGCCGTCGGCTTTGAACAACAGGAATATGTGGTGCAGATGCCCGATCTCATCACAGGCGACCCTCAAACAGATCTTAATGCCTTACGAGCCGCCAAGGTCAGAGGTACAGGCAAGAAGACCATGATCACAGCCCAACTGGCTTTCCGCTCCATTGGCTACGAATCAGAGGCTCTGCCTGGCTTCGATCAAATCGGCGTTCCGTTCGATACGAAGAAAGCGATTATCCCCAACGACCGCTACGGTCGCGTCTTGGATCCGGAAAGGGGCTCTGGTGGCCATCTCACAGCAGGCCATGTTCCAGGAATGTACTGCGCTGGCTGGGTCAAGCGAGGTCCAACCGGCGTCATCGCTTCGACTCTAGACGATGCTTTTACCACGGCAGACATCATCGTGAACGACTGGCGGAAGAATGTCAAGTTCAATGAAAATGGACCAGAGCAAAAGGTCGGATGGAACGAGGTGAAGAAGGAAGTCGCAAGGCGCGGAATTCGCAGCATCAATTGGCAGGACTGGGAGAAGATCGACGCGGAGGAGGTGCGAAGGGGAAAGGAGAAGGGCAAAGAGAGAGAGAAGTTCCGAAGTGTGGGAGAGATGTTGCAGGTGCTGGATGGATAGACGCCATTGCATTGTCGAGGGATGTACAGAAATCGTTGTTCTTGTACAAAATTTCTCCCGGTGCCAAATTCCATACCTGCCGTGACCTCTCCCACCCACGTAGGAGGCACCACCGTCTCTCAGTCTCGACACGTTCTGTGTTGGAGCTCTTTCCCTCTCTCTCTCTCTCTCTCTCTCTCTCTCTCTCTCTCTCTCTCTCGTCGCAATCTTTCTCGGTATCAAGCCACTTCTGCTCACCCAAGGCAAATCCGTCCGTCCGCACCAGCTCACAATTCCGCGCAGCGGAGAGAGCGACTGGAACCTCCTCCAAATCATTACCCTTCCCTTCGTCCGCCCATCCGTCCCTATCCCCACCCGAAAAAAAGCTTTCCATAACTCCATCCATCACTTGCACAAAATCCTTCCTTCCTCACTTCAAAGCCCACAGCGTCGCCAGATTGACATTATCCAGCCTCGCGGTTCGCTTTGCGGATTGCGCTTCTCCCGGTGAGAGCTGCTTCTCTGCCCCTGCCTTTGCCTCATCTGCCTCCTTGTTGTTGGATTTCGACGGGAGTTTGAGTTTGTCTTTGATGAGTTGGGCTATGGAGGTGGAGGAGGTGGAAGTGGAGGTGGAGGTTATGGAGGAGGAGGAGGAGGAGGAGGAGGAGGAGGAGGATGATGTGGTGTCGGACTTGTCGTGTTTGCCTTGGCCTTGGGAATGAGTGAGAGGAGAGGTGAGGTTGGAGGAGGGATGTGGTTGGTTCATTGTCTTCGGTGTGGTGTGGTTTCGAAGATATTGGATTTTGATGTTGGTGTTGTTGTTCTTTGGCGAAGAAGTCAGAATGAAAATGTTTTAGCTAGAGAGAGGGAAAGGATTGAAAGGGGAAATGTGTCGTGTACTTATGATCTTTGCCCTTCTCGCTCACCAGTCGAAGAGGATGACATCTTAATCACTCACATAATTTCCACGCAGGCAGACACAGGCAACAGCATATAGCACCATGTGGCTCACACCCTGTCAGGCTACATGCAGTATCGGGCCATGCAGTATCGGGCCATGCAGTATCGGGCCATGCAGTATCGGGACATGCGGTATAGGGTGCAAAGCGAATTAAAACGTTCTTTTCAATGGAGGCCCACGCTGTACTGACCGGGCTGGGAATCCTTCAGGCGGTGACTCAATATGAGCAATCCAGACGCCACAACAGCCGTAGCAATGCGGCTTGCCCCGTATTTCCCGTTCCGGCAAACAACTCACAAGTCGTGTGCGTGTGAACTCCGAGGATTCCGAACACAAGTCTTTGTTCTGGGTAAATGATTGGATTTGAGACTTGGACCGCGAATGTCGTCCTGTTAAGCACTTCGGACAAGCTGCCTAGCGGTCAAGGAGTAGATCGCGGAGCTCGGTTGGGAGCTTCATGCAGGAGAGCAGCATGAAGCGGAGGCATCAAAGGTAGTCTCACGATATTTCGAAATGTTCAGCGACAGAGACAGTGCGGGTGAACCGCCACAGCAATTACGCTCCATCTGCATGTGCGCTGGAGTTCGCGTCGCCATCCACCACAGGCTCATCTCCAAAGTCCGCGTCCCCTGATCGTCGAATCCCAAGCTTAATAAGTGGATTCTCCATGCGATTCTCATACTCGTGCGCCAGCCTCGCTGCGGTCGTCGAGATCTGCATCTCGAGTTTTGCTCTTGGAATCATTTCTCGCTCGTACTGACGGAGGAGCGATGTGAGTGCTTCGGGGGAAGGGTGAGTGCCGACTTCAATGAGAAGTTTCGTGAGAAGGTACGAGTCTTCCAGAGCGTTGTTGAGACCTTGTCCGCCTGGAGCGAAAATTGAGAATCTGTCTCGAATAGGGGATCAGTGATCTTGGTCGACTTACGGTACGGAGGCATGGCGTGGGCAGCATCTCCAGCCAGAGTGACATGGGAAGCTAATGGTTGAGACGACCAGTCCACAGGCTCCCAATAGGCGATGTCATCGACACCGAATCTCGCATCTTCGCGAATGGCATCCAATATGGTTCGCCAGAAGTCACTATACTCTGATGCCTTCGACTTCAGAAATGCGGTGCGTGCCTCTTGGGTGGCAAGTTCTGCCTTGGTAGGTGAGCCGAGCCAGGAGAACATGAGCTGGAAACTCCAAGTCGTCGGATCAGCTGAATCCAATACATTCTGGATAGCAACCCAGAACATCCAATTCCTCGGATGATAGGAATTGATACAGATTGGAGCCTTCGCGCGGATCATCCTGGACATCTCGGGGTCGATTTGAGCTGTGAAGTTGAACATGTTGATGCCCAGAGACGATTTTGGAGACTTGTCGAGGCCCACGAGAAGTTCGCGAACTCTGGAGCTGTTGCCATCGCAGCCGATCAGGAGAGAGCCGGTAGCTTGCGAATTGTCTTCGAAGGCGGCTGTCACACCGGCATCCGACTTGACAATAGACTCTAGGCGCTTTCCGTACTTGGATGCACTGTCAGTGAGGCCGGAGCGGACGGCACGTGAAAGCACGAGCTCACATTGATCTCAATGCCCTCGCTGAACAGCTTTCTGAGTCCTTTGCGCCGGACCCGAAGCGAGCCTCTGGGCATCGGCGTGACGTTGAGCAATTCGCCGGTATGGCCCGCGAATTGAGGCAGAGTCAAGCAGCCGCCGTCTGGAGGATCCCAGAATGGATCAGTGGCAGCCTCTTTGATCCGGGCCTGCAGCTCTGGAGGGAGCACGGTGTTGATGGCCTCCGTACCCCAGTGCAAGCTCATGCCCCAATCCCGCTCGCGGTTCTGATAGTAGTCTGACGTATCGCGTTCGAAGACCGTAGCTTTGATATTGGCCTTCTCGGAATCAAAACTCCTGCCACGCTCTCGTAAACTCGTGCATCGACCTCACCTTCTTCAAGCCCTGGGCGAGGAGAAGACCGGTGGTTCCGGCGCCAATGATCAGGACTTCCATTCTACCGGCAATCTTCTCTCTGTTCTTTGAGAGGAGGCGAAAGGAGTGTCAACTATTGCACGAGCATCCGGGAGATAAAGTAGAGCCATGAGGCATGCCCCATCGCGACCCCACATTGCACGTCATATATAACAGGGAATTGAGTGTGAAGGAACAGATGTGGAGTTGAGACGAGATACCTATCTGCGCACATACCATCAGCTCGGCTTGCCGTTCAAGGTAAGTATCGCAGGAGCCTCCGCTAGCGGAAAAAGGTTTCTCCGAGGAAGCGCCTGATCCAACGTAGACGAGCTCATAAAGGCTGAGAAAGTGATTAATCTCCCGCGATTTAGACCGGTAAATTTGAATGAAATTTTAGCTCGGCTGTTATTAGCTAACAGACTTGTCAGTCCCTCTACAAGTCTCTATAGGCGGAGCTTAATCACCGAAAGAGGCTTAGCCTCTCTCACGATTATCATGATAATCTGTAGGGTTCCTATATCTATACTTCTTAAGGATGATACGTTTAGCTTCCTAGACGATCTGGTATCTCCATCTTGCCTCGTAACAAGACAAGACAAGACAAGTTTTCCTCGGCCGAGAACATCATCGAAGTGCTTCTACTGTTTATTCTTAAGCGTTGTGTAGATCGGAGGGAGTCGCACTCGATTCGCTTCTCTCGCGACGGCTCCCCGTTGTTGAAGGCGAAATAGAGGCATGTCTGTCCAGGGTGACACGATTTACAACAAGAAGTGGAGAGGAATAAAGCAGTGGTAACGGAAGGTAGGAAGTGAGGCGAGTAACCCTAGTTTGGCTTAGCGTCATGCAAGCACTGTGCCCGCGCTATCCAGACGCGCCGGACGCGACTCCCCCTCGACGCGTTTCCTTTCGTTCCGTCTGACGTCTTCACATCTTTCACTCCCTTTTCTACACCCACGATACACGGTACATCCCACAACCTCGACGCACTCTTTCGCTCATCACACTGTCCGTCGCCCAATATGGACGGCATTCAGCTTCGGGATGAGGCCGTCAGAGATCGCATTCGCGCCGCCGAGGAGTTTTTGGATCCGCGTAAGGATACACGGACGATGATGAGCTGTCGTGAAGGCTGCTAACAGGTAGCAGAGGATCCGCGAGCGCGCAGCTATCAAGCAGAGATCCTTCTCATGCTGAACCGGGGATTGCGACGACTCACCGTGAGCATTGACGAGATCCGATCACACAGCAGAGAGATCGCAGATGGCCTGCTGAACCAACCCTTCGAATACTCCCAAGCCTTTGACCGTGCGCTGTTCAACATCGTGCAGACATTGCGAAATCGCGCCACACAGCATGTCGACGAGGAGCAGATGTACTACTGCGCATACATTGGCAGTTTTGGCGAGTACGCGTGCAATCCGCGAACACTCTCCTCCAACCACCTAAACCATATGGTCTCGCTGGAAGGGATCGTGACAAAGTGCTCGCTCGTGCGGCCAAAAGTTGTCAAGAGCGTGCACTGGAATGAGAGGAAGGCGACCTTCCACTTTCGCGAGTACAGGGATCAGACCATGACCGCCAACGGTGCAGCGAGCACCAGCGTATACCCCACAGAAGATGGAGAAGGCAATCCGCTTGTCACGGAATACGGATACTGCACATACAGAGATCACCAGACCATCTCCATTCAGGAGATGCCGGAGCGCGCACCTGCTGGACAGCTGCCACGAGGCGTGGATGTGATCATGGACGACGATATGGTAGACCGCGTGAAGCCAGGAGACAGGATACAGCTTGTTGGTATCTTCCGATCCCTAGGTAACCGCAATGCCGGCCAAGGGAGCTCAACGTTCAAGACTCTGATCTTGGCCAACAACGTGATTCTGTTGTCGTCCAAATCAGGCGGCGGCATCGCTCAGGCTGCAATCACGGATACGGACATCAGGAATATCAACAAGATCTCCAAGCAGAGAAGAGTATTTGATCTGCTCTCCCAATCACTGGCTCCTAGCATTTACGGCCATGACTACATCAAGAAGGCCATTCTTCTTATGCTTCTTGGCGGTATGGAGAAGAACTTGGATAACGGAACTCACTTGCGTGGAGACATCAACATTTTGATGGTTGGTGACCCCTCGACTGCCAAATCTCAGCTTCTGCGCTTCGTCTTGAACACCGCTCCTCTGGCAATTGCTACCACTGGACGAGGATCGTCTGGTGTCGGTCTCACGGCAGCGGTCACCACGGATAAGGAGACCGGCGAGCGACGACTCGAAGCTGGCGCCATGGTCTTAGGAGACCGAGGAGTGGTCTGCATCGACGAGTTCGACAAGATGTCCGACGTCGATCGAGTTGCTATCCACGAAGTCATGGAGCAGCAGACAGTCACCATCGCCAAAGCCGGTATTCACACATCGCTCAACGCACGCTGCTCCGTCATTGCTGCAGCAAATCCAATCTACGGCCAATACGACACACACAAAGACCCTCACAAGAACATTGCCCTGCCAGATTCTCTGCTCTCGCGTTTCGATTTGCTCTTCGTCGTAACAGACGATATTGAGGATGTTCGGGACCGACAAGTCTCGGAACACGTCCTACGTATGCACCGTTACCGTCAGCCTGGCACGGAAGAGGGTGCCCCCGTTCGTGAGCAGCTCAACCAAACGCTTGGTGTTGGTATCGAGGAAGAAGCCGACGCAAATAAGCCAAGCGAGGTCTATGAGAAGTTCAACCCCATGCTTCACGCAGGTGTCACTGTGACCGTCGGTCGCGGCTCACAAAGAAGAACAGAAGTGCTCAGCATTCCTTTCATCAAGAAGTACATCCAGTACGCCAAGTCTCGCATGAAGCCAATTCTGACAAAAGGCGCCGCGGACCACATTGTTGCTACTTACAGCGCACTCCGAAACGATGAAATGGAGGGCAACCAACGCAAGACCTCTCCGATGACTGCCCGTACGCTGGAAACTTTAATTCGTCTAGCTTCTGCACACGCAAAGTCGCGACTGTCAAACAGAGTCGAAGAGAAAGACGCAGAGGTAGCAGAGGGCATTCTGAGATTCGCATTGTTCAAAGAAGTTGTCGAAGATGAGCGAAGACGACGCAAGAGGGCGCGACGATCGCCTGATCCCGACGCTATGTCGACCGACGATGATTCTGAGGATAGCGACGACGATAATGGGGGCGACAAGACCTTCCGAGCCAGTACCGGCCGGAGATCGACGCGTACGCCTGGTCGGAGCACGAGAGGCACGAATGGCAATGCCAATGGCAACTCGGCGGCGGGCGCAGAGGAAGACGACGAAGATCTCTACAACTCCGCTCCTGCTCGGAGGGGTACCCAACGCACAACCCAGAGCAACGGCGCAAATGGCTCCAGTCAGATCAGTATGGCTTCTTCCCAACCCGCCTCACAACTCCTACAGGACGAGTCTCAGGAGCAGCAAGACGGAGAAGACGAAGACGACACCGAGACTAGGCCCATCACCGCAGCTCGTCTACAAGCTTTCCAGACTGCGCTCGGCCAACTCATCGACGGTCCGCTGTTCGGCAACGATGCTGCAGACGTGGAGCCACTCGTAGCCGCGGTCAATGCAAGATTGAGAAGCAGCGAGTCTGCTTTTGAGGACGCAGAAGCGATGAAGGCTCTTAACGCTTTGAATGACCAGAACAAGATTATGCTGAGCGGTGGTATTGTGTACAAAATCTAGTTTCTCTTTCCAGCTGTCGTGAAGATGGAGACGGAGACAAGGACGGCGTTTTGGAGTGGTATGACGGGCTTGCATAGGATGAACGCTTGACTACCCACAACGAATTGCTGAAAGGTGTTTGATACCATCGCTCTGCTTTTCTCTCGAACGCCAGTCAATCATCCACCGGATGCTCCATATCCCTCTCCCCTCTCACGCCCTTCAAGAAACAGATCTCACCATACGTCTGGACACCTTCCGTCAAATTTAGCGTATAACTTACCGCACGGCAACCCCATCTACCAAAGCTTGGGCGTTCGCATTCCGCCATTGCAATCTGTAAAGCCGTACAGAGTCAAAAGCTTTCAAATCATGTACATACATACCTTACCAATCGATCGGTTGGTTGTGTTCCACGCAGGTTTGCCGTTTGGGTAATCGGTATGACCGATCTGTTCATCTGAATGTTGCAGAGGATGTAGCCTCTCTGTCTAGTCTGCCGTAAATTCGCGAAGTCTTTCCAATAGCAAGCCGGGTGCAAGATTGAAATCTATACCATTAGCAAGGCTCCAAGGCCACCACGCTGCTGTAGTAGAGCATATGGACCAAGTGGGCTGGAAAGAGGGTGGCAACGCCTTTCAGATCCTCTACCAGGCCTAGGAGCAACATAACGTGTAGATATCAGTTCTGTGTGTGTATGAGTTGAATTCTCTGACCTCTATCCAAGATATGAGTTTACCCAATTAAAGTCTCAAGAGCTACCCAGACGAGATCTTAAATGCTGCACAACGCCCCCGCCTATGCATTCTCCAAATCGGTATCCTGCCGATTCTGTCCTTGGAAAGCCAAGTCCATCAAACGCTTCGAAAGCAGCGACTCGCTGCGTGTCCCATTCCTTCGCTCTCGGCTCCGATCCCGCTGGAAGTCGAATGGGTCCTCGAGGCGCGGCACGATCTTCGTTGGTGTCTCGCCATTGCTCGATCTTGGCGACTTCACTGACGATGTCCCAGGAGAAACCGAGTCGACGTCCATCCCATCGCCGAAATGCCGGCTTGAAGGCCGAGACTCTAACGTTGGGAGCATCGTAAAGTGACGAGGAAGTGTCGGCATCGGCAGGTCATAGCGCGAGCTGTATTCGTGTGTTGGCAACGACTGTGCCAGAGTCTGCGGATTTACTTTGTTTTGCGGCTCGTCAGCGAGATGTGAGTCGACCACGCTGCGCCTCCGTTCTGCATTCCTCGAATGCGCCACAGCGCTACCAATGTTCGAGTCCCGTCCAGGTTTATAAGCGTTGTATCTCGGCTCGGGCAACTGCGTCTCGTTGCGGAGCTTCTCCTTACCATCAGGCACACGATTCGCAAACACCACACGTACTGACTTGTACAGGAAGTAGCGGCCTTTCGAGGGGCAACATATGTGTAGGTGGATCAAATATCTCAACATCGGTCTGTCGTTTGGGTCTCCGCTTATGCTGAGCGACGCTTCAGGCCTATCTGTGCCGAGGTTTGTACGCGAAGAAAGAGGCATGTCGATTATGGGCCCAGCAGAGTAGCTGCGCTGGCGTATGAAAGTTTTCTGTCCAGGTTCCATGTCGGAGAGGTCGTAGGGTACCAAGAAAAGTTTAACTGCCGTCTTGTTCGGATTCTTGATCACAATCTGGAGCTGGCCCTGTTGGGGTATTCGATAGCTGCCTCCAGGCGGTGCTCTGGGCGAACCGGATCTCCTCTTTGACTTCTGTTTCCTGCGTCTTCTCATCTGGGCATCCGACGTCGATGCGTCGTCTTTCATGCCACGAGGAGAGCTGGCACGGCTTCCCTCAGTACTGTGTAGGCCTTGGTTTCGGGGACGCCGTTTTTCCTGAGTCTCCTCGTACGGCGATAGGCTATTTTCGAGATCTACCAGGCCAACGTATGGGCTTGGCTGGTCGGTTGCAGGATTCTTCGTCCCGGAGCCGTAGCTGTAAAATACGGCCGGGAATGGTACGCTCACGTGAGGCGGACAGCGCAGACTAGATTTGCAATTGCCCTTTCCTAGCACTCCGATCTGTGCCATGAAATTCAACGGCCGAGACGGAATGGTAGACATACGACCGCGAAGAATAGATTCTTCATAAGATCCCACCATTGGGGCATGGTGAAGCGGGGACTCTGCAGAGAAAGAGGGTCGTCTTGAACCAGATGCTGGGGACTGGGGCAAGCTCGAGAAGGAGTTCAAAGACCTCCGTGGCTGATGAGCCTGGTATGGGAAACTTTTCTCGGATCTTAGCGGAGGTGTAGGTCTGCTAGGGCCACGTGCGGATGCCGGGTAATCCAAAGCCGACCCGAACTTGTGGAATGACTGGGGTGAGAACGTATGTCTCCTCGATTTGTCCGGACTTCTGGATCTCTGACGGGAAGGAGGCTCTGGCGTATCCGGTCTGGAAGACTGCACTAGTGGGCTTGTGGGCGCCTTATAGACAAAGCTTGCAGCAAGCGATGCATTTGATACCGCACGATCCCTGATTGTCCGCGAAGGAATTGGCAACCCATCTGGGGTCGTCTGTGTTAGATCGACGTCGCGATTCTGTCTCAGGGCCGACGAAGGGAACTGCGGATGCCACGGTGCCACGGGCGAAGTTGATAGGATCGGACTTGGCTCTTTTGTCCTTGTAGGAGCAAATCCGTGAAATTGCCGTTCGCTTCGTTCTCTCTCCCTGAAGTCTCCTCGATGTAGCGCAGATCGTGGCCTTTCAATTTGCATGCCAATAGACTGATTGTCCTGTTGCACCTCTGGTGATTTTGCTCGCACATCTGAAGACACAGGGGTGGCGGGCCTGGGAGATGGCGGCGTCCTATTTCTACCATGCTCGCTAGAAGACACTCTCTCCAACTCAGGAGACGTGGGCCTCGACTCTCCGCTCTTTATCCTCTTGATCAGCTCTTGCCTATCCACGCTTCCTGACTTGTCCAACTCCGGCGAACTTGGTCTTGATTCCCTGCTCTTGATCCTTCTGATAATCTCCTGTCTATCCACCCCATTCGTCTTGCTCCCACCTGCATACGTACGCGGCCTGCCAGTATAGAAAGGGTTGAAGATGGTCGGACTGGTCGTTCCATGATCCGGGCTGGCCACCCTGGCCCTGTGCAATCCATTTGCTTCCTGCTCACAGGCCGCGCTACTCCCTGGCTGTCCGTACGTCTTGTGGCAGTCAGGACAGCCATTGTTCACAGCCATCCCCCGCTCGGAGCCACTAGAGTAGCTCCGAGCTTCTCGTAGGCCTCAGCGAGCGTAGATATACGGCGGAGGGTCGTCCAGATCGACTGTTTGGGTAGATTGTGACCAGATGCTGATATTCTTGTGTTTCTCGAGGGCGTAGAACTGACTCCTACTGTGGCCGACCAAAGCAAGGAAGAGGGCAGTTGTGGCAGTCTGAGTAATACTCCCGTTTCAGGTTGCGAGCACCCGGATGACTGCGTTGGCCGACAAAGGATCCGGTCGCCCGCTTTCCGTTGTTACAGAATTTTCGTTAGTGCAAATATTCGGGTTGTGCAGCTCTCGAGAGCGGGAGGGGTATATGATGAGGTGAAAGAGGAGAAAGAGGAGTCAAATATGGAGAGAGAGAGAGAGAGAAAGAGGAGCGAATTCACACCGAGTCGAGCATCGCATCCATGTGACGCTCATCATGCTCCAGCTCCACCACGATCCGAGCTTCAACCTTATCCGCCTTATCGCCCACGCTAGCCGCAAATTATCCGACTTTGTCGACATCAACACCTCCATCGCCAACATCACCGTCGCAATCACCGAGAACGGAACGTATCCCAATGTCGGACAAGAGGAAACGCGATCGCGAGGAGGGAGGGAGTGAGAGGAAGAAGCAAAAGAGGGGCTTCGTCGTGGGTCCGGACAATCTCCCAGATGGAACCTACAGACGAAAAAGTGCGCCGAAGAATTCCACGAAAGCACCCCAAAGCCGTCTACTAACATGAAGTCCAGACCAAAAGATCAAACAGAACCTGATCGAAAAGGCGAAACTGAAAAAGGACTACGCAAAACTCAAAAAGCAAGGCAAACTACCCACCGAAGAAGAATCCCTTCCAAAACCTGCCTCCATGGCAGTCGAAGACGAAGCCGAAGCCGAAGAGCCCACCACAGCACCTCATCCAGACCGACAGACTCTCATCGACAACGAAGAAGAAGAGCCTCTACCCCAAGAGAGACCTCCTCGACAGCGCAAGCCCAAAGCGATACCATTTCAAAAGGAGCATGAAGCAGCTCAGAAACGGAAAGCAGAGGCCGAGGAGCGTCGCAAAGCCCGAGAAGAAGCCGAGAAGGAGCGGCAGAGAAAGATCGAAGAGCGTGAGAAATTCAGACGAGCAATGGCGAAAGCGAGGACGGGTGGAAAGAATGGACAGAGGAAATTGGGCAGGGAGAGTAAACCGTTGTTGGAGAAGGTGAAGAGATTAGTTGGGGAGAGCTAAGAGGAAATACATTGTGGGTACATTCGTCTCGGAAATAATCGTGAGAGAACGATGCCAACAGTAAGATGACCGGGTGAGTCGCATGGTTTCCAGAGCTGGGGATCATTGTCCAAGCAGAGTCGAGGTATCACTCAGGCTCCGAACGGCTATGTATATGTATTTATACAGTTCGAATACTGGACAGCGACGCTAAGTCATGGACACCGTTCCGATGCAAATGCTCTCTGCAACCTCCAGGCTTGGAGAGCGCCAGTTTTGTACATCCCACTCATACGAACACAGAACCCTCAAATTCCCCGTCTCGAAGGTATTGCTCCTCTCCAAACCAACGCGGAGCACCGTGACATTAGGATCAATTCCCAAGGCGGAGAAAAGCTGCGTTGACCTCCATCTAGGTGATGACCTCGCCAATGTCAATCATCTGAGGCTTCCATTTCTTCGTGCTTCCACTCGATCCCTCCACTTCCGACGGGTAGACGATCTCGTTGTCTGGCGGGCTGTAGAGGTACCATGCTCGCAGGGCCGCCGACGCAGCACGCACCCTGCCCTCATTCAGAGAGCTGCCGGCGCCTTCGCCGAGCTTGTCATTGCCGCTGAAAACACCGACGATGAAAACGGGGCTGCGAGACAATCGTCCAGTCTCGCTGATGAGTCTCGCAACGGGAGGTTCGAACCCTTCTCGAGCACATAAACGCGAAAGATCTCGTGTCGGGTGTGTAAAGTTGAACATGGTGTGGAGTTGCAGTGTCCGACTCATGACGTGCGCCTTGTGGAAGTCCTTGGCAGCCTGAGAGCCTGCGTGTAGGTATACGGCGCCAGCCAATGCTCTGACGAACCCAGCACTCGCTGCTTCGACTGTGGTGGGTTCTGTGTGCATTGAGCGCACTGGAGGGCTCGTGAGTGTGAAAGGCTCATCAATGGCTGCGTCGGCAGCTACCTCCTTCGGGTCCTCTCCGTTTTCAGCCTCCGAGCTCGTTGATGCCGACCGAGAGATCGGCGCACCAGGGTAAGGTGCCACTTCGGCGGTGAAGTCTCCAAACTGGTCTGCGTAGACAATCCGACTGCTCATTCCGCGCGCGAAATCCCATGCTAGACTCTTCCTCTTGCTCGCTGACGGCACATCCTTCAATCTTCTCTGTCCATCTGGCGCCATTGCGTTTCCTGCCGGCATTCTCTTCAGCTGCAGCAAGCCAGCGTCTACTTCAGGGCCAGGCGCAGCTACCGCTTCCACTCCCCATTCTAATCGCATCGCACCCAATGTCGCAGGCCCCACGTATGCGTACTGCGCGGCGTACAAGACCGGCATTGGCAGACGAGGATATTTACATATAAGGTATTCTGTGGTATGATATCCCAACAGCTCTTGTCCCAGGATTGCAAATGGCGCATTGTTGTAGCCTGGTCTGGGGTCTACGGATGGATCGATCAGACATCTCGCCAGTGTCTGTAAGGGGAGTCTGGCCGGCAATGAGAGTCGAGCGTGTAGGGCAGCTAGTTTGGCTGACCGCCTTGCTTCTTTATGTGTAGGGAAGTTGGGCGGTATCTCAGGTTCATCGACGTCTCCCTGGTAGTATGGCTCGTCTTCTGTCGCCGCCGCGGCGGCCATCGCCTTCCTCTCCGCGCTAACACTGAGATTTCTTTTTTGCGACTGCCATGGTGATTGATCTCGATGTCGTTGTGTGTGAAGCCCCTTCCGCGATGTCGGCCTTGCCTCGTTTCTTAAGGGACATCGTTGTGTGAGGAGGTATAACCGCGGGTTCCTAGGCGGTTGCAATTGAGTTGCCCATCGGTCCAGGCGTAGGGTTTTCATGTGTCACGGCATGCGATAGCAACAGACAAGGAGCAGTGGCGGCGGGCGACGATGTCGAGGACAAGTGCTGCTTCTTGGAGACTTTTTGCCAGCACGCGACAGAGACAAGAGCGTTCTCCAAATGCCAAGACCCCCGAAGCTCCGAGCGACTGGACCTCACCTCGAACTCACATCACCATCGTTCCTTGCCATACACATCCACATCAGACACAATGAGGCCGACACAACTACTACGGAGTGGTGGAGGGAAGATTCCGTGAGTTGACCCGTTCAATCGCTGTCCTGGCGCGCGCAATGGCTGACAACATCTCTTCCGCAGCTACCCCAAGCACGTATGGTCTCCCGCCGGTGGTTGGTACGCGCAACCTCACAACTGGAAGACCAACACCGCTATCATGGGCGCCGTACTCACCGGCATTGTTGCCATGGTCTTCAGCTACAGCGCTGAGGTTGAGTATAGAAACGAGATGCCCCGCGTACGCACATTCCATCCTTGCAGAAGGCCAACCTCTGTCGGGGCAATCGGTGACCTAGAGCCTTGCAGCTAATAATTCTCATTGTAGCCCGACCGATTCTTCCCTTCGCGATACTGGAGCAAACAAATCCGGGAGCACGAGCGAGAACAACGAGAGAAGGCAACGGCCACCGAGGCCGAGTCATGAGGTATCAAGAGCGAAGAAGCTACACAGGCGTTCAGGGGGGAATGAGAGTCTATTCGACAGGAGCACTGTATATACTTTGGGGAGCCTGGTATTGAGACTGGCCAATGCCCGAGATTCTGGTGCGAGTGTCGCGCCATCCCATTCCAGTGTCGCGCCGTGCGTTCGATGTAGGACCGACATGCCGGGAACTTCAGAATCGGGGTTTTGATCACTCTGGCTTCCGTCGTCGCTCAGGCTCGCGGAGATAGAGAGGTCGGTAAATTCTCAACGAGACTCTTGACGACAAGATTGCCAGGCGCGATATATCGCATTCTACGTGTGCTTTTTGGTGTTGTATTCTTATTGCACACAGCCTTCACAGAGCGAAGTGCTGCAACTGATAGCATACAGCGCAGCAACGAGAGAGCACTGAGAGCCTGGAATATACAGGTATCAGCGAGTGACGTATCTTGGACATTCTCATGAACAGAACTCCTCTCTCCGCCCTTCTTCGGCCCAAGGCAGTTGTTCGCGACGGCTTGAAGACTCTGAAATCTACTAATGCCATCCAAGCTCTTGACAACTGCCCGTACTCTTCGAGAATATCTCTGCCGCTTCTAGCATCAAAATCTTCGGCTACCCGTCCATCAGAATCAACACCAAAGGCTTGAACAATCATGCTCTCGCGTAGTGAATTCTTCGTCGAGCTACGTACATGTCTAGCCGACATGGCCCAAGCACTGTCAATCTTCTCACAGCTGTGGCACCTTTGCAGTCTCAGCGTCTGGCTCGCTGTTCATACCGGTTTATGGATCCTCAAAATCCGCCGACGTCTTCGCGATGAAGGAGTCCTCTACCCTTCCGCGTTATTGGCAGTCGGCTTTGTCACGTTATTTTTGCCTCGAGGAGCATACAACACCAAGGGCCATGAGCAGGTCTTTCCTATTTGGATCACTCTGGGAGATATGTTTACCGTCGTGCCAAATCTGGCGATATTTGGAGTGGTGAATGTTGCTGTTTTCGCAATGGTAAAAGCTGGAATCATGCAGTGGGCTACGAGAGCTGGTAGTTTACATCCGCAGCCATTCACATGGTACCACGAATGACCAAAGCGACATGGGAAACCCTCAAGTTTCATTGCCCACGACTACTCACATCGGGCCCGCATCTAGACCGTACTATTCGCGATCTCCAAGAGCCAGCAGTCCAGAAGATCGTATCAAATCAAATCGCATCGCAGCCATACCCGCACATCGACTCACAACCATGCTCAAAACCCTGCTACCAGACCTCGTCCTCATCGGCCACAGCCCCTCCATCTTCCTGGAATAGGCCCAAGGACCGCTCGTCTACTTTCCCCTGACAAACTAGCCTGTCGTGACCCGGAGCTCTTGAAAGAGCTCGCAAGCTTTGACCAAGCTGATGACATCGGCGGATTCTCGGCTGACATGTGAGCAAGCTGTGCGCAAGATGGCTCTCTTCATGTCAAGGTGCCAACTCGGGTAAAGCAGTGCCTTTCGTCGCTCCTTTGCTTTCCGCTGTCCGAACGTGTCTTTTCCATGCTGAGGGAAGGAATTGTCAGAGGGACAAGAACTGTGGTCGTCCGTGTCCCGTCATTTGGCATGTGCATCGTGTATTGGCCAATGTCTGATCGCCATCTGCGCAGAGCTGATCACAGCGCGTCGGAAGCACGTGTTGCGGTGGATATCACAGATATGGCAGACAAAGTTATCGCTTGTTGCAGCACCTCTCGGATGACCGGCAACGGTCTAGTCCTTGGCACAGCTGCGGATGTGATTGGCTGGGAGTGCGCTCCGCCCGTTCCTAGTGGAGCTGGCCTGAACACTCTTGACCTTCAACTTCATCTCCATCCCAAATCCTTTCTAGAAAATAGACGCTCAACTCTCATCTGACACCATACGCCGCCCTCTTGATACTGGAGAAAGAATCGCATAGACCTCAATTTGCCTGGTAAAATGTCTGCGAACGTACCTCCGCGTCAGCTCAGCCGGCTTTTGGATATCGCCGTCACCCTCAGCTGCCTAGCGGCCCCAATGTATCTCAACCTGTGGGTCCTGCCATACTCGTCTTCTTTGCCGACCTCACAAACAGCCTGACATGTGCGTGGCCGTATGCCTGGACGCCCACGGCCGCAGTCACGCCGTACCTCGGTCGCCTCTCCACCATAGATTTTCCTCTTTTGACGCCACCGATGCCCGTCTCGTGTTACACTCGGCAGAAGCAACGAAAATTCTGGAGCGGCTGCAGTGCTCGAATCGGGTAACTGCGAGCACAAGGAAAAAACAATAACGAGGCGGGCCTGTCTTCGTGCTTCTCAGCCGTAAAATCTGAGGTGGGTGGGTGGGGCCCTTGTTCTCCCGGTGCAAGTACTAGATAGACGAGATGCGTCCGCACGCGCGGGTCGAAGTGTTTTGTTTTGCTTTTCTCTCCTCCGTTTGACCTCACAGTGCTGCCATCATGGGTAAAGGAGCTCCAGCGGTATACGCGCACCCCGTGAGCGAGAGCTCTTCAAGACCGATCTCGGAAGCTGTGCAGTCGTTGAAGAGCAGGGAGTCTGTCGACGAAGGGATACAAGAGGCGTTCGGACCTGCGCGAGATGAAGAGATTGGTTTTCACCAGCATGGCGGACATCATGACGACGAGAAAGAAGAACGGGATCCCGACCTTGTCGACTGGGATGGACCTGACGATCCTGCCAACCCAATGAACTGGAGTCGAACCCGCAAGTGGTGGATTTCCATGCTTACGGCGTTCATGACGTTCGTTATCAGTTTTGGGAGTTCAGTATTCTCGGCAACATCGGAAATCACTGCAGAAGAGTTTAGTGTAAGCAGCGAGGTCATGATCCTGGGAGTGACTTTATACGTCGTAGGCTTTGCGTGCGGGTAAGTTCCACAGTCTCTCCAAAAAGTACGCACACGTCGCTGACCAAGTCACAGACCTCTGGTATGGGGACCTCTCAGCGAAATTTACGGCCGCCGAAACCCAATGATGATCGGCTACTTTGGCTTCATCATCTTCCAAATTCCCGTCGCAGTCGCTCAAAACATCGAGACAATCTTCGTCTGCCGCTTCCTCTGCGGCGCCCTTGGATCAGCTCCTCTGGCTATATGTGCAGGCATGTACGTCGACTACTGGGACGCCAAAGACCGCGGAATTCCAACCATTGGCTACGCAGGCGCCGTCTTCGCCGGACCAACCATGGGCCCCATCGTAGGCGAATTCGTCGTCAAGAACACTTCCCTCGGCTGGCGCTGGACAATCTGGTTCACCATGATCATGGGCTCCTTCTTCTTCCTCCTCGCCCTCCCCTCCGTCCCCGAGACGCTTGCTCCAGTAATCCTCCAACGCAAAGCCGCCCGCCTCCGAATCCGAAACAAACACTGGGCCCTACACTCCAAACTCGACGAACAACCCGTGCACTTCAACGCCCTCCTCCGAAAATACGCCCTCAAACCCATCCAGATGATCTACCAAGAGCCCATCCTCATCGTAATGACCATCTACATCTCCCTCGTCTACGGAATCCTGTACCTCATCTTTTTCGCCTTCCCCTACTCCTTCGAATACGACCGCGCCTGGCCCTTTGGGATCTCTTCCCTCCCCTTCATCGCCATCTTCGTCGGAGTCATCATCTCATGCATCTACATGGCCTGGGAGACAACCACCATCTTCCAACCGAAACTGCACCGCGCCAACGGGAAACTCATCCCCGAGGAACGTCTGCCGCCCATGATCGTCGGTTCCGTCGTCATCGTCATCGGTCTGTTCTGGTTCGCCTGGACTTCCTATCCTTCCTTGAATCCGTGGCCGCAGATCATCTCCGGCGCTTTCATCGGTGGAGGCATCATCATGATTTTCATGCCCGCGGTCATCTACCTGGTGGATGTATACCTCTTTGACGCGAATAGTGCTTTGGCGGCAAATGCGTTTGTGAGGAGTATCGTCGCCGCGGCTTTCCCTCTCTTTTCCACGCAGATGTACGAGAGTCTAGGGGTGCAGTGGGCAACGAGTCTGCTTGGATTCCTGTGTCTGGCGTTGGTCCCGGCGCCGATACTGTTCTACTTGTACGGGACGAAAATCAGAGGGTGGAGTAAATTTGCTTTTGTGTTGGATGAGTAGATGATAAGGAAGAAGAAGAGCGTCAGCCATGACAGAATAGATGATGATATGACCTCTGGAGAGGTAAACAGTACTATTCCGCAATTCAAAATGGGATGTGTGATTGGTGACGCGAAGTTGCTTTTCAATGCATATGTCTCATTCATGAGGGAGAGTCCCTTTTGCTACGTCTCGTCTGTCCGTCCGCCTTCCGTATCGCTATGTTACAAGTAAGAGCTTGCCTTTGGAACACCCTGCTCCGCAAACTCCAAACACCGTATGTCGTCTCATGCTGCAGTGCATGCGTGGTATCAAAAATTGCCTTGAATTCCTGAAGTGGAAAGAATCATTCAAGCAGGGACAGCCTCGCCCTCCTTGTCAGCCTTGGCTGGATCAGACTCCTTCTCGGGCTGGACCTCGCCGCCCGTACCCTCATTCTTGCCCGTGTCCGCTCCATCCTCAGCACGCTTGCCATTCGTAGACTGATCCTCGGTCGTCTCGGTGTTGCGGCGGAGTCGGCCAAACTCGTCGAGATTCTCCGAGCCTTGGAATCTATCGCGGCGAGCGCGCCAGTCGTCCGAGTCGTGGTCTTCTTGGCCCTCGAATGGGTATGAGCGCTTGCGATTGCGGTGGCCGTCGTCGAAGCCACCACGGCCACGGCCACGGCCACGGCCGCGACCGCGACCGCGACCGCGATGGTTAGAGTCGCGGTGGTCTGAGTTACGGCGCGATGGCGAGCTCGGCTTGACTTCACCATTGCGAATGCCTTCGTTCTTGATGTCCACGTACTCCTGCTTGGTCATGTAGGTAAGATGAACATTGTCTGGGCCCCACGTTGGCTTATCATCCATGGCGAGGAATTGCTTGGCGGCTTCCTCGGACTCAAACTCGACGAAGACGGAGCCCCTGAAGCTGTTGTCTTCTTTGGAGCGGCGGAGGCGGACACCGTTGATGCCGAAGGGCTCGAAGAAGCTTGAATAGAGATGTCAGCTGATGAGGACTATGGCCGAACCTATGGAGGGAAGATACGAACCTCTCGATGTCGAGTTGGTGATCGTCTTGGCGGAAGCCCTTGGCGTAGATGCTGCGCAGCATGCTATCGGTGGAGAGGAGCTTTTGATTCTTCCCGGTGTCCATGCCAAACTTGCTGTCAAGAGGCTCGCGGCGAGAGACCTGCAGAAAGATTAGGTACTCAACATTGCGATGCGTGGGATGACTTGACCTACCTCATCCTGATCGTTGACAGTCAAGAAGTCGCTCTTCTTGACAGCGTCGACAACGGCGCTGTACGGCTGGAAGTGCCGCATCCGCTTGAAATTGTGAATTTGTTTTAGCGGCACCGGCTTGTTGGCGCTGCCGCCCGTCTCGTCGAGAAGGTAGCGGTCGATCGGCAGGTTTGAGTCTGAGAAGTAGAACTCCACCTGGCGGCGGATTTCCGCCGCGTCGCTGCTCTCATCTTGTCGCTCAAAGCGAGCGTAGTCATTGTAATCACGGCGGTGGTTGTTGAAGTTGCCCCGGCCACCCCGGCCACCTCCACGGCCACGAGACCGGCCGCGCTCGTTGCGACCACGTCCACGACCGCGGCGGTCCTCGTGGGCGTGACCGCCGCCGCGGCGACCCCCCTTCTGGCGGCCGTACTGCTCGTGCTCATCCAGCTCATCGGCTTGCTTCTCTTTTGCCGCTGATGCCTCATGCTGCTGCTGCAGCTGCTCGCTCCGCTGCGGTTCACTGGACTTCTCGTCGCTTACCTTTATGTTGCTCGCTGATGACTCATTGGTCTTGTCGGAGGTACCGTTGGTAGACATGTCGTTGCTTGGCTTGTCGCCGACAGCTTCGGCCATGGTGTGTCGCAGGTCTTGTTCGACGCTTGGTATATGTGTGAGTTTGAACTGTATGGGCGGTGCGGTAGAGCTTGATGTGGTGGTGACAATGAAGTTGGAGTGGTATTGTCAGTGTGGTGCGTGGTGTAAGTCGGAAGTGAGGTGCGAATTGGTGGGTGGTGGGAGGATTTCTGAATCAGATTTTCGAGGGACTCGGAGCTATCCGAAAGTAGTTAGCGGGATCTGATAAGAAAGATTCGCGGGCGTGGGAAGTGTTGGCTCGCTTAATTAGCTGAAAGGGGATGCCAAACTCCGCAGACTTGGAGCTCGAAGGAGAGCACGAGATCGATCATCTGCCATTGACTTCCACTCACATTATCAGGCGCAATGCCTCGCACAAAGCGCTTTCATGCGCTGAAGCGGCCGGTAAGTATCATATGCGCCCAATAGGAATGGCTTGTCTAATCCGACGTAGAAACTACGCCAAACCTGGTCCAAATACAACCTCTACAATCTCTCACGCGTAACGACACCTCCCGCTGCCAATAAGACCTTCTTCCAGCAGAAATGGACTGCCAAGTCGATGCTGCGATCCTATCACAATCCAGACGTTCGAGAAGGGACTTGGACCCGAATGTTCGACCGGCGATTACCGTCAGTAGTCCCTATGGATCACCGATATCTTGCTGCGAATGACGGCAGTGAGATGGCTGGCGGTCGTGGTATGGGCGTGGAAAAAGAGACGTCCCGAAGAGCGCCCGGTGAGCGAGGTCGAGAAAGAGATGTAGGGGAGAAGAGGATAGAAAAGACACCCTACATGCACATGACATTTCATCCGTTGGAGCGCAGACTGGACACCGCCATCTTTAGAGCTATGTTTGCGAGTTCAACGAGAGAAGCACGTCAGTTCGTCGTGCATGGATGGGTGAAGGTCAATGGCAAGAAGATGGTCTACTCCGGCTATCAGCTTAATCCGGGCGACATGTTCCAGGTGGATCCAGACAGAGTGATGTTCGCAACCGGTGCGAAGAAGATTTCATCCAACAGCACGAAGTCTGTGATACATATAAGAAAGGCCAAAGAAGAGGAAGCAGCGATGCGGAAGCGGCGGAGAGAAGAGGCGGAAGACCTCATAGAGGAAGAGGAGTTGGAAGCGGAATTGGAAAGCGAAGCTGCCGCCGCCACGGTGGAGGGAGGCGAAGAAGACAAGAGCGTCCAGCATTCCAGAGATCTTAAAAAGTTGATGCAGAGAGCAAAACGCATCTTGGACGACTCGAAGGGTTCTTTGTCTGGTAAACGTCTGCAAGATCTTAGAGGGTTCCGAAAAGAGGTGAAGCGTGTGTTCGCCAAGATACGTGGCATGGAGGAATCGCAAGTTGAAGAGAGCGTGGACAACCTGGAGACGATGCTTTCAGACATTCTGGTCAAGGTACCAGTCGATGCATTGCCAAAGGACGAGGCACCTGCACTTGGCAGTAAGGAGGCAGCTGAGGCCGCTCAAGCGGTGGCCGAACGAGCACAGCAAAAGTCGGATGCGCAAGTGCAACAAGCATCCTCCAACCCACAAATGAAGGACGGCAAAACAGACAATTACAAAGCGCGAAAAGACGCCGAGCTCCTGGCTGCTGCGTTAGAGAGAGCGCGTGCGAACCCAGTCGACGTCTCGAAGCCCTACGCAACACCCTGGCAGCCACGAGACTGGATGAGCGCCTTTGCTTTCATCCCGAGATATCTCGAAGTGAACCAGAACATCTGCTCCGCCGTGTACCTGCGCCATCCAGTCGCACGGCCTGGGCTGGCAGAAGTGCCTACTCCGTTTTCGGCAGAAACAATGGGCTTGGGATTCAACTGGTACTTGCGAAGGAGATGATCCAGCAGTGCTGGTCTGTATATTTTAGCGTGGAGTGGAAAATGTACAAAAGAAGTTTCTCCACCATCCTCCTCAACTCTGCTCTATCGACTAGGCGCTGTGGTGACGGTGATGATGGCAGCAGCGTTTGCCACCTTGGAAACCCATCAGTATGCCAACTCATGTTGCTCGGCTGCATGGATGCTCTGCCCATGTTGACGTGAAGTCAGCCTCGACCCTCGCTCAGGTATCTCTATGTCCGTTCTTGACGGACATGTGAGCCCTACGAGCATATTTCGACTGGGGGTCTGTTTTCGGCAGTGCTCTGAAGCGTGACTCCAGCCGCGACGGCTCCACTCACTCTTACCGGCAGCATCTTCGCAATGATGGAGCAAGAATCTGCCATTTACCACTGAGACGTGCGGCCTTGTATATGACGAAAACGAGCGGAGTCGTCGAATCTCTCAGACTTCACTTCGCACACCGAACAATTCCCTGGATACCGTGACCTCCCTCGTATAGCGCAAGTCGCTGGCGTGCGATGCCAAGGTCAGTGCGCTCCGAGGCCGAACGGTCCAGTCTGGTCCTGCCGGTTTCTATTTTGGTAAAGCGCGAGCATCGGAGTCGAAACGGTTAGAGAGGTGTAGCATGGCAAGACTAATTTGGGACGGTTTCATCCTTCTACATGGTACCGGGGAGGAAACTCTCCGCATGATGTTGGAGATCTCTCTTGACGTATCTCCACTCACTACTTCTTTACCGTCTCCTTCCTATCCTCAATCCCCGCGAAGTACGCATCCGGATATCACTCTCCCTCTTTTGTCCGATCCATCCTCTCATTACTCTCCTCGCTCCATTCCTCCTTACGATCATTAAACTCCCCAAACACCCTCGCCTCTTCCGGCAGCGCCACCCAATCCTGCTTCGAATTCGTAGAATTATTATAAGTAGATCCGGTACCACAGCACTGGTACCGTGCAGAGTCCCAGAGCTCAAAAATGAAACATTAGCCCCTGCTCCAGGGGTAATTACTTCAGAGTGCTACGAATTTGGGACGTCGGAAAATGGTTTGTCCTTCTTTGCGTTCTGACGGAATCGGGATGGGGAGAAGATGCTCGTGCAGTGGAAGGAGGTGTGACTGGGGTTCAGTGTCTGCAGTGTTGCAAAGTGCATATGCAGACTCGTGGCTCGAGGGTAATCTTTCCACGGCGCTGGCTTCAAAGATCACGTCAATTCAGCATACAGGGACGGGAAAGACGAGCAAACATACCATCGACCCACACTGATCCCTTTACACGACAGGAAGACTGCTCAGTGCTCTGCGACAAGTCTCGAGAGGTCTCCCGGCATTACCCTCTCCTCTTCAGCTGCCGATTCTCCAACAAAAATTATCAAATCATCCAGATCTCAATGCACAAATCAATCAAACTCCAGACACCGCCGACCAAAAGACCTCACTCGGCCTTCTCCTTCCCATCCTCTCCCTTCTTCGCCTCCTTCGCCGCCTTCTTCTCCGCTTTCTTCACGGCCTTCTTATCCTTCTTAACCCACTTCTTAGCCTCCCCAACCCACTCCTCTGCCCCCTTCACAAAACACCTCTCCACATCGTCCCTCATCTGCCTCAACTCCCACTGTCGATCCTCCCAATCCAGCGGCTTGCCCCTCTCGACAGGATCCACATGCGACCATCCAATAGCGTCCATAACCTGGCTCTCGCTCGGCGGAGCGACGTATTCCGGGAACAATTGGGGATTCTTCTCATGACAACGGGCGGCTAGGTATTTTTCCAGAGTGTGAAGTTGTTGAGAGGGCATGAAGGTCAGGCGGAGTTCGAGGTTACGTTTCTTTTCCGCGGCGGGGTCAGCGGAAGCGTATTCGATTGTGTCCGGAGGGATTGAAAGGCGTTTGGTGATAGAGTGGGAAGTTTTGGCTCCTCTGACGCTAGCGTAGAGCCAGACGGCATCGATCTCTGCTAGACCGCCAAAGGGCCAGACGGGTACTGCGAAGGTGTCGACGACGATGGCCGGTGGGAATAGGAGCGCCGCAATAATAGAGTTGCGAAATGCTGTCTTCTTGGTCCGATTCAAGCTTCCCATGAACTCCTCTTTCAATTCCTGTCCTCCAGATCCGCCCTGGTCTTCGTTGGGGAGCAGCTTAGGCGGGTAGACCAAGACAATCTCTTCAGGGCTGACGGCTTTGTGGTAGACATCTGGTGCTTTCTCATTGCTCAAGTCCTGCATCCTCGCGACCCTGTTCAGGAATTCGAGATTGGAAGTCTTCGTCTTGTCGATACCCCAATCTGTACCCTTCGTGGCTCGCCACTTGAGTCGCTTCCATCGTGTCGTCTTGCCGTCTTTGGGTGTCCGCATCTTGGCCTCGCGAAGCTCTTCGGTCCATTTGCGGCGACAGAAGTGCGGAATGCCTTCTTTGCGCCAGCTGTCTGTCCGACTTTCCCCTACAGGCTTGTCCAAAAATGGAGGATGAGGAGGAGTATAAATGACGAAGCGCTGAGGCATGCTAGGGACTCCATCAGGTAACTGAGGTCTCGGACATGGGATCAGGTAGCCTATGAGCTTCTGAAGATCCCTCTCGTACGGTATCGGAGAAGTGACGCCTTCCTGCACAGTCTCCAAGGGTTCCGAATTGACGTTGCGCTGTGGTGGAGGTGGAGGTTCATACCGTGCCGTGTTGACGGTCTGTCCACTGAAGCCTTGTGGACTGAGTCTGGGGAATTGTTCGCCTTTCGGACTGCCGTGATGAGATGGCTGAAAGTACTCTGTAGAAGGTTGCTCTACTGGTACCGATGTACCATTAGGTTCATTCGTTTCATTCGTTTGCTTTGTGGCGGCAGTGGTAGGTGTTGCTTCGTCCAGCGAAGCGTCCGAATCATGGTTGGCCTCAGGAACTGCAACTTCTTTGTTGAACTTATTAGTAGGAGACGCAGAATTCTCATGGGGCTGCAAGTCAGGCGCCGCATCAACGGTGCCGTTCGCCATTACGTCGGTCCAGCCTCCACTGTAGTATCTTTTCCGCGGCGGCATCGTTCCTGCTTTTCAATGACCCGCTCTGACCTGCAGAAACAAGTTGTCCGAGAATCTACGTCAACAGGAAGCGGGCGGGTGTAAATGCACGTTTCTTGTGGCCGATCCAACCAAGCAATCCCTTGTCTCTTCAAACAGCTGAGCGTCATGAGTGGTGTACTTCTTGCAATACAAAGACCGCGTGAAACAACTGTCAAACGTCAACCCACGCCGCAATCTTACTGCCTCACGCACGGACGTTCGACTGGGCGGACAGAAGCCGAGTCGCACGTGAAGTGAGTGAATGAACAGTCTGCACGGTCGTTCGAATTCTGCACCAACTCCTGGCGTTCGTCATCGCAGAACATTTCATTGCAGCTCGCAATCACCCAACCAAAGCAGCCTTCTCTCCGGGGTATTTGCCCTGCGGTCCGTCCAGATGCGCATCCAACACAGCACACCTTCCGCTCTTCACCGCCTCAACAGCTTCTTTTAACTTTGCTTGCAAGTCCTGTGCCGTCCCTGCATGTCCTGCCCAAGCCTTACCACCCGAAGCAGCCTTTGCGATGCCTGCATAGTCTGGTGTGGGCGCGAATGAAATGTTCAGCTCCTCGTTCGACACCTTACTACCTTCACCCTCGGGATGGACCAACAGCAGACTAGCTCTTGGTGCATTCCAGCCCTGGTTATTCAGCACAATCGTCAGCACCGGAATATCGTACTTTTGTGCAATCCAATAAACCGAGCCAGGCACACTGAAGAGGTACGTCCCGTCGCCAACAATCTGGCACACGAATTTGCCTTTGTTTGCCCCGCCCGCCGAGTAGTCTGTTGCAAGTTTTACTCCAAGCGCACCGCCTCCACTCCAGCCGAGACCGCCACCACCACAGTTGATCCAGCTCCCGGGTATAGTAGGCCGGATAGCATCGTTGACCTTTGGCGCATTCGTGACCGCCTCGACTGCCCAGATGGTGTCTGGTGGGCAGACAGCGCGAAGCTGCGAGATCAGATACGGCGTGCCAAAGTAGCCTTCGTCGCTGACCTTGGCCTGTGAAGTGATTGCATCGAGACGTTCTTTGTAGCTCTTTTCTAGAGCAAGGCCGCGATCGACAAAGTCCTGAGAGGTAATTTGGTCCTGGTAGGAGGTTTTGATGTGAGCTGCGATCTGAGATATTGAAGTTTCCGCATCAGCTCGGTATCTTGCGACTGCATTGATGTAGAAGACTGGCATTTGTTGCTTCAGCGGATCGCAATCGATGTGGAAGATTTTGGCGTCTTTCTTTGGCGAGCATTGAGTTGGAATCCAGGGCACATCACATTCAAGTACCAGGATCACGTCCGCAGTCTTGATTCTCTCTTCCACGCCGTATCGTAGTCCGAGCCAGGCAGGATGGTTTGCAGGGAAGTTCAAATCACTTCCTCCAGTGTCGAGGACTCTCAACCCCTTGACAGTTGATGCCAAGTCGACTAGAGCATCAACGCATGCGTGATTCCGTCCACTGTAGCCTGTGATGACTAGCGGCTCTTTCGCATCGACCAGAGCTTCCGATACCAGCTGCACTTGCTTCTTAGTAAGCCCACCAAGCTCGACAGCGGTCCAGTGCGCCTGTTCGATCTGGTATGGCTCGATTTCTTCCTCCATTGCCTCTCGGGCGCCGCAAAGGTAGACAGGTCCTCTTGGCTCGCTCGTTGCAAAGCTCAAAGCTCTGTTGACCAGCTGTTTCACATTCCTGCCTCGCTTGATCTCGCCAGTATACCGGCAATATTGGCTCACAATGGCCTTCTGATCTGGTACGTCCTGGATCCAATGGATGTACTCTGTTCTGCTTCCTCTATATTCTCCCTCTATTGTGTATGGGCTCAACCCTGCAAATATCAAGACCGGTGCTCTTCCGCAACTTGCATTATGAACCGCAGCTCCTAGACCTTGAGTGCCAACATCGACGTGGATGACGACTGCCTGTGGCTTGTTCGTGAGGCGGGCATAGCCGTCTGCCATTGACAAAGCTACCATCTCATTCGGGCAGGTGATGATGCGAGGAAACGCTCCTTGTTTCTCATTTTGGCCCTTGACGATCGCTTCGATAATGGAGGGGTGGTCGGAGCCGAGATTGACGAAGCAGTGGGTTACGCCGGCCTGCTTGAAATATCAGTCCCGGTGCATTGCTTGCGGTGAGATGGCTCTCCGTACCTCCCACAAGGCCTCAAAGAAGGCGAAAGATGCTGTATACATTGGGACGTTCAGTCTGCGAAAGTGAGCGCTGTCAGGGGGATTTGGGTAAGAGAGAAAGAAGAGAATTCTGAAGGAAGTTGCTTCCCTACAGCATAGACACCTGCCGCTTACATTCCCTTGCGGTAGCGGTAATACTAGTGTCGTGGTTGCGGCAACTGATTCGGACTCCAATGCCCCGCAGACGTACAGCTATCCCCTCGTCCTCTGCGGAATAGTGTCCGCAGTGAGTCCGTGGACACCGAAGTCGGCGGAATGGAGTAGTCTCGTGGACACATCATACAGCGCGCTGAGCGGGTTTGCTGCTTTGAACAGTCGGTGTCGGTGTGATGGAAATTCGTAGCAACAGTGGGAGGATTCATTCATCTGCTTTCTGCTTTCACGTGACGCTTAGTAATGGGCTTGGCGCTCAGGGCGCTTACCAGGTTCTGTCCACTTCATCTCGTACACCATTAACATCTCCAATACATCCTCCATCGCCATCGCCATCGCGAGCGTATTGTCGATTATTTCTTCTTGGCATTGCCATCCAACATTCTCTGCGTAGGCTTGCCGAACCAGAGCTGTCGCGTCGGAATACGAACAGCTGAATGATCGATCCTTACCCTTCCTTCTCTGGAAGCCATTGCGCTGGCATGGACCCTCCACAGCTGATACTACTACGTACCGGCAGAGCCCGACAGCCACCTGCACCCAGTATGCCTCATCGGGGAGCGAACGCGGCCTGGTCGAGCGCATCAGCCCCACACTTGTCTACCCTCGGCAATGAACATTGAATATCTTGACATCGTCTTGCACGGCTGTGCATTTCAAACAAATGGAGCAATTCTGTAGACGATACCAACGACCCGGTGTTTGATTTGATGGTAAAGAAGCGCAAAGGATAAGTATTGGCAGCTGTTCTTCATGACCCCTTCGTAGGATCTTCCTCGTCACACACTTCAATCTTTTGCTTGGAAACTCTGCCTACCATGATCGAAACACTCGGTATACGTCCTGGTATCTCTTACCCCGGTCAAAGCGAGGGACAAACACAACAACAGCCTCGGCAGCCTCGCAGAGTACCTCCACCCCTGCCAGCCAGGTCATCGTCCGGAGAGCCTCAATTCTCGACAAGTCCACCAAATCGATGGGAGAAACCTGGCTTCAAGCCACCCCCTCCGTACTCAGAGCTCCCTCCAACTCCTCCGTACAGCGAGCATCACGATTCACATTTAGCAGCACCTCCCTCCTTGTCACCTCAGCCTCCAGCGGGCGACCCTCGATACCATTCGCTTTCTCCAAGCCAGAGCGAAGATGCTCTGTCAAACACTTCCTCGCCAGCTGCCAACGACGATGAGATCCTCCAACAAGCGCTGCAGTTCACCCGCCATCCCGTCTCAGACTATGCCAAGACTGCGCGTCGACTGGAGAAACCCATCGCCATTCCACAAGTCTCTAAGGGCGTCGGCATGCCCTTCGGAAGAGCCTACTCCGACGCCCTGTCCGATTACGGCATCTCCACGCAAGAATTCGTAGAATTAATCGAATCTCAACATTTGCGTCTGCACCGCACCCCTCAATCTCCTCGGCGCAGCTGGCAACGTAATCGGCGTGGTCCCCGAACCCAACTGCCAACTCATCGGAGCCGGAATTCAAGGCTGCGCCAGACTCGGCAAGGCCGCAATGTCCATAACCCGTCAAAAGCTCTTCTCAAGAATATCAACGACGAATTCTTCCTCCCCAGAGGTCTCAGAGTCCAACTTGTCAAAGGCAAAGAACTCAAAGCACACCTTGGACTTCCTCCCGAGACGACGTTCGCCGCTCCTTTCCATCCGAATGTGCAGGTATCCATTCACGAGCGCAGAGTTGCGGGTGTATCGGAATACACGATGCCTCTAAGGTGGGACGTTCCCGATCCGACAGAAGCGACCAACACCCTGGATAGAATGAACGCGAGTGCCCAAAAGCGTCAACTCGCAAAGGAAGCATTGAAAGCCGAAGAAAATCAGGCAAAGCACTCCAAGAAGCTACAGAAACGACCCAAAAATACTGACAAGCAAGATTCTACACGCGACAAACAGCTGGAAAAGCTCGAAGAGGATATTTCGAAGGAAACCCGGAAGCGAGACCAGGCAAAAGCCAAAATCCTACACGAGAAGCAGGGAAACGATGAAGCTGAAAAGGTAGCCAAGGAAATGGCAAAACTCGACTAGGGATTCGACGATGAGATCAAAAAAAATCGAACGGCACAGGAAGAAAGTAGAACATGAGTATCAGGATGCAATGAAACAGATCGACGGTGATGTGGTAAGAGAAGATCGAGCGACCAAGGAGACGAAGAAATTGACGTGGATCTTGGTGCGGAATTTGCAATAAAGTTCATTCGGAACGTGTAGTGTATAGAATACGATATCCCCATTTCACAACTTGTGCTTCTACTCGACAACGAACTCTCCACCGGAAAACTCTCCTTTGCAGAACTTGATGCGGTGCTTGAACGGATTGACGTAGGGATTCGTAGCTTTGAACGCTTGCCTGCTGCCTGAATGGCACAGCACAGCGAAGCAAAAAATAGAAGACACGAATGGTGTGAGGAGAGAGATATCACGGACAACGGACGGCTTGCAGAAAGAAGCTGTAAGATTCCAGAGCCATACTCTGAGGACAGGAATCTGTCAGATGTAACATGTGACGAGCATACGTCAGAATGGAGAGATCACCACGAGCTTCGATTCACGTCACAATCGTACAAGGGAGTTCACATCTTCCCCACCCTCCCCTCCATACACAATTCATCAGATCGCCCTACCAGCCTGCTCCCTCACCAGCTCCGGATCAGACTTCTTCCCACTCGTATCGTGCAGCGCATCCGGGACTTTCTCTTCCACTTTGCTCGGCAAGGACTCTGCTACTTTCTCCGGCACGATGCTATGGCCCTAGAGATCAAGGTAAGTAAGGTGAGCGAGCTAGAAAAGTCATCTGGGAAAATTCGTCTGGGGGCAATGATAAGGTACCTTGTCGTGGGAGTACTTGTCTGGATTTCCGGTGTCGTGGATCTTGTTTGGGAGGGCGTCCTCGACGGCTTCGGGGACTTTGCGCTGGGTTTTGGGGGGAACTGCGGTTTGTTGGCGCTATTCTTGTTAGGGATTAACATGATGGGTGGAAGCGTACTTTTTGATGTTGCCGGGTCGATGGCGTGAGATTGCTTGGTGGAGTCGGACATTTTGGCTTGCTCTTATGACTTTAGGTCGTGGCGTTCTTCGAGATCGTCGTAGTGGCTGGGAAAGTTGTTGTTGATGAGTGATGTTGTTGAAAATGTGCCCGACTGTGCCTACCTTTTACATATAGCACGTTCAGCTGCTTGTTGCGCATGACGTTGTTGTGACGGCGTATTCATGGCAAGATCCATTCCGGGTCAAGTCCGGCAAGAACGACACTCTTATGTCATTCTTGCCTATTGCATGTGATATTTGCAACGCCAAATGAGAGAGCAATCTTTCGCATGCTCTTTTGCAACAGATAGATGATGAGGAAGACACTCAGCGCCCCGTAAAGCCGGTAACAACAGAGATCGAGATCATTCTCCATGCCTTGTATGCGCGCATTCCCAATGTTCGCACTGTCCAGGAAGCACATCAGGTAGAGCGCCAATGCACTAAATCCGCTTTAGCATGTGAAGTCGACACAAGCTCGAAGCCAGTGAACCTTACCGGTGACCATAGGCACAATCTGCCAATCCAACTCCCTCGGTACACGACTCTCCTCCTCTTCCGTCCTGGTCATCTCGCCAGGCGTGCGATCAGTCTTCGCCTCAAGAGCTTCATCGTGAAACACAGCGGCTTTTTCGACGAATCATCAAGTCTCAAGTGCATAGGTAGCGATAGCCTGTCCGCTCCTCTCCGCCGCCAAGATCCCTGGTCACTACGCCAGACTCACGAGGCCTTCAACTCTTCGGATGTGCCTGGCTGCACTCCTCCGTCAAGGCAGCCCGGGCGGTTTTGAGGCCGGAGAATGCCTGTCTTTACCAGGGCTCAGGGGAACGCGGAGAGCACACGCGGATGGGGAGAATATATGCATACGCCGCTTAGGCTTCTAATCCCGACCTTTTTCCACGGAGAGTAGTTGAGAAGTGCTTTCCTTGATTGAAAGGCTCCAGCGGAAATCTTGTGTACCTGCTGCGTTGCTGTCGTCTTCTTCGATGGACCAGAATTCTGGGCTGAAAAGTAGAGGTCTTTTCTCGACGTGCTTTTTTCGCACGTAGAATGCGTGGCAAGCATGGTCCTCGCATGTAGTGGAGCACCGTAAGCGAACCGCTTTCCCTTCCACCTCTTCAACCACGCTTCACAAAGTCCCCGGGAAAGCCAAATGCTTATGCCTCTCCCACCAGACCTCCTCATGCGCAGCAACCAACTCACACCCATCCCCTGTAATCTCATCAAAGTCTCTCAGCCTCTTAATATTCTCCGCCGCAGTCTCCTTATCCACATGGATACAGAGCAACCCATGCGGACTCTCCCACTCTCCAATCTCTTTCTCCCCCGTCAAAAGCCTTCGATCATGAAATGCATCTCCGCAAAGCAACACCCACTTTTCCTCTTTCATCCGACAGAGTAGATTCACATGTCCCGGCAAATGGCCCGGCATGTCTACCACGTACACAGACTCGTCATCGAAGAGATCCAAGGTCGCCGGAAAAGGTCCCAATGGTTTCCATGTCGAGGGATCTGGAAGTTCACGACTCCGCTCATCGGGCAATGTATCGGGTACGAAATGTTGATGGCTCGCTTTGCCACCGAGGCCATACTTCAGCACGTCCATAGCACCAGCTCCGATCCTAAACTGGGCTTTGGGGAAATCCTCCGGGTCGCCGTGGTGGTCGTAATGGACATGACTGAGCAATACCAAATCGATCTCTCCAGGATCCAGACCTCCAGCTTTCAACTGCGCAGCAACTCCTGGTTCGAGTTGATGCGGAGCCCGGTTGTCGATGTGCTTCTGCAGGATTTCTGGATATCTATTCTGTGCCTTTCGGAGACCCAGATCGAACATCATCCGGAAAGGTTTCTTGCCGTCAGATCCGAACGCCGTTGTTCCCGGATGCGTGATCAGAAATGTTAGTGATGGGACGGTCCTCTTCGCTCCTTCGACAGCAGGCTTGACGAAGAAGTTATCTGCCAACGTGATGAATCCTCCAGCAATAGGAGAGACTGTGACATAGGTTTGGTTCGCTGATGGCGATGGCAGTGGATTGGACATTGTCGCTATCTGTTCTTCTCTCCGTTGAATCGCTGTGGTTCTTCATAAAGAGCTCCGATACAGGTTCCGGACATTGCACTAAGCAGACAAGGTATCTCGCGCAAGATTGACACGAACAACGGGTATTGTTGTTCCATCGCCGGCCCTGGTCATCAAGCCTAGGTAGTACATGTACCGAGGAGGTGAGTATTCTGGGGTAGCGGCTTGGCGTCATCTCCGCTTTCACTGAATCGTCGACCTCTTCCGTCTCGCTGCTCGCATGTCGATGGGTACGCTGCTGTGTGTCGATTCTCTGGATGCGGCAGGATGCAAGAGGAAGATTGGATACACACGGCTGCGATGTCCAAAGGCATTCATTCTGTTGTCGACGTGCCGTTGCCGTAGACGATGGTGCCATCCTCGCACCCGCGCAGGTACTTGGCCGACCAGTCGATTTCATGCCAGGCCTCCGCAAAGTCATCAGACCGAGGATCGAGAGATTGGATCGTCTGTCGCGTCACGGCCTCGGCTGCCTCCCGAGTACTCAGACCGTTGAGGCGCAGGACATTCCAACTCGGACCAGACAGGATGGCGAGAAATTTGCCCGCCCCGATTGCTCGCGGCCTGCCTCAGGAGCTTCATCGCTCGCCTCAGGAGCAGCGTGGGCGGTGGGCCACCGAAGCGACCCAAGTTGCCATTGTTATCCATTGCTACGCGATGTGATACAAGCAAGCTGCACGGCTTCATTTCGTCAAAACGCCAAGGCCAGAGTTCGCTCGGGTTGGACCGGTGTGCGAGCTTGGCACAGCGCTGCTTCGGCTTCGGCTCCTGCCTCTGCTTCTGCTCGCCCTCCTGCTCAGGAAGTGGCAATCACTCCGATCTCGAAGCAGATCAAGCGCAGCTCCAGCGAGAGCTCGGAGAGTCGCTCGCTCGTCGAAGTCTAGCACGACAGGCGGCTGCGCAGTACAGCAAAGGCCAGATAGATGGATCATCAACAATCAGAATACCAAAATTCATACACGCCATTACTAATCTTCAGTATCCGGCCAGCCTCCACATTGCTTCCCCGCAGCCGCTAAGTGTGTCAAACGTGGGTAGGTACGTACCTTAGCTTTCTCCAGGTTATAGTATTGACCACGTCCGAAGTCGGTGGTCGTGAGATTGGAAGCTCTGAAAGCTACGTCAACAGCCAGAGAGCTCTATTCTATGAGAGAAGCTCACTGCAGTACATGTAATCTTTCATCCCCCGAACCATTGCGTAAAAACCAGTCAAGACATCCATCAGTAGTCCAAAGACTGCTTCCTCCACTCCCTCTCCACAGACGACAACTCCCCCGCCAAAAGGCGACCGCAATCATGTCCTCAAACTACACCCCGGAAGAAGTCAAAAAAGCCCACGAGATCCTCTACAACGAAGGCATCAAAATGCGCTACCAAGTCGCGGGAAAAGAATACGTCGATCGTTCCCTCGCCGCGGCAGATAACCCTTTTGCCAAAGCGATGCAAGAAGTTCGTCGTTCCCCCTCCCCTTTGCCCCCCCCTTCACACTGCCTAATTCTATTCAATTCAATTCACTCGCTAAAACGTCTTCCGCTCGCTCCCTCCAGTACGTCTCCGAATCCTGCTGGGGCAGCATCTGGACGCGCCCGGGCCTGGAGCTCAAGACGCGCTCCTTTCTGAACATCGCGATGCTCTGCGGGCAGAACCGCGGGACGGAGCTGGCGACGCACGTCAAGGGGGCGCTGAACAACGGGGCGAGCGAGGAGGAGATTCGCGAGGTGATTCTGCAGGCGGCTTGTTACTGCGGGATGCCGGCGGGGATTGAGGGCTTCCGGGTGGCGTGGAAGGCGGTCGAGGAGTGGAGGGAGGCGAATGCCGGGAAGAAGTAAGGTAGACGGTGCGGTGCGTGCTGTACGGTAGGGAAATGTGCTGCTAGCGGGCATCGATGGCTACTAGGTCCCCTACGCTTAGTTTGCTCAGTACTGCCCCTAACATTTGTGAACGCAAGACAGGCCCGAACACGCAGAGAGACACCCTTCGGCAGATGGCGGGGCACTGACAATTGCAAAGCTTAGGCTCGCGCATTTGCAATGGCAGCAAAACCAGTAAGCAGCAATCGACAGACAGTCAGGAGAACTGGTTGAAATGGCTCCAGAGAATTCGAATAGGACATGCCATGGCTGTCATATGCGTAGACATCATCAATCTCAGCCACAACGATAGCCACACCACTGACAAACAGCAGGCAGCTACGCGCGGCGAGGCACCTACCTATATAAAATAGCAACGACTCCACAGAAAGCCGCTGCTACCCACGAGGAGAAGAAAATTAACCTCAGCCACACGACAGCCACACCACTGACAAACAGCAGGCAGCTACGTGCGACGAGGCAACTTCCGTCGTCAATATCTCGCAATCAAGCCAGGTAAGAGAAGGCTTACTTAGCCCTGAGGTTTCGGCTTCACCCAAAAGCCCAACTCATTCCACTGCCTTCCAGCACGCTCGCTCGCCGATAGAGGCACGATTGTAGGCGGTGTAATTTTCGATGACTGATGACACACCCGGAACCGCGAGACGCAGTTAGGGCAAGCCTCGTTGGGCGTCTCGATCTCACTCTGCCCACGTTCCGCGCGCGTGTGGTTACATCTGGTGACCCCAGCTTTCATCACGCGGGACCCGAGACTCTGCTGGAATGCCTTTGGATCTCGGAACTTTTCCATAGACTCGTGCATCGCCTCGCGGACGGCCGGTGGCAGATCCATTGCCGGTCGTAGCTGCCCTGGAGCAATGTACAGCCAGAGTACCTCGAAGATACTCTGGAATGTGTACTTGGGCTCATCGCCATCAGTTGGGGCTCTCTTCCTCTTCCGATGGCCCTGGTGAGGCTTTCCAGTGTTGGCCGTGCTGCCGACGGATGCAGTCAAAGAAGGGACAATGGTGCTTGCAGAATATTGGGCAGGCATCTGCGTGGAAGCGACCGGAGCACTCGGTGCAATTTGTTGGGCGTCAGAAGCGGATGATGTGGACTGTGCTCCGGTGAGAGCAGGATCCAGCCAGTCGTGCGAGTCGGTGTGATGTGACGGCACCAGCTTATGTCTCGAAGCACTACCCGATAGACGTCCGGCCTTGTTGGATGAGCGCAGTGGCATCAACTGCCCTGGACGAGTCTCCGCTTGACCCATCAATCCAACGAAGTCTTCGCCAGGCCCCTCCCGAGCGAGATCGTGGCCCGCTTGAACGCTCTCTGAGTCCGATTGAATTTCGTGATCGAACGCAAAGGCACTGAAGGGGCGCGGGTGATTGTCATGCTCCAATTCGTTGCCGGCTAATGTTGTGGAAGACACCATCGGCAACTGTGGCTGGGCAATGGGCCGAGCGAAGGGCTGGGCAATGGGCGAGGTTGCCTCCGTCGTGGCAGCGACACTGGGACGTCGACGTGGTGTGGGCTTTTGAAGAACGCTGGGCGCTCGATTCTCCGCTGGCTTTGGCTTTTCTGCCGGCTTGGCTGGCCTTGCTTGTCTCGCAAGCTTCATTGTCATGGCTCGCTGGGCATGGTCCGCTTGCCTTTTGGCTTGCCGTGCAGCACGCAGCTCTCTCTCCTTGTGTGCAAGCTGGCGCTGCAAGACTTTCTCCCTGTGTGCGAGCTGGCGGTGCAAGAATCTCTCGCGGCCCTTGCTCGCGTACAGCAGAGCATTAAGCCTTACGACCTTGCCGTTCTTTTCGCTGACAAATGTTCGCTGGGCTTGCTCAAACGACTTCAATCGGTCCGAAAGGTCGTCGATGTGCTGACGCTTCTTTTCATGGAGATCGTTCATGCGATTGACCACGTCGAAGACATTATAGCTGTTGTCCCAGAGCCGCTTCTCCATCTCCTGCACCCTGCCCTCGCGTATCTGTTCCGTGCGAGACATCGAGACACTCCGCAGGAACGTCGTCTCCAGAGACGACGTGAGAGACGACGTGAGAGGCTCTTCCAGCGATTCGACAATTGGGCGGAGGTCCAGTCTTCTGACTTCGTCGAGCAGCCGAGAGGCGTCTTCTCTCGAGGATCGCGCCTCTTCAGCCTGTCTGGTGACGCTGTTTTCGAGCTTCCACAGGTCCTCGGCAATGTCCAAGAGGTGGGCGATGCTGTTTCTCAACGTGGTCGCATGGGCTTGAACGCTCTCCGCGGTGTCCATCGGAGATTGGGCTATTTCGCGCATTGTCGAGGCCACTTTTCTGAGTACGGGCTTGAAGCGGAAGTCCTGAATTAGGGGCTCTTCTCCGTCTTCTTCATCTTCCGCTGCTTCAGCCGAAGATGCACCGTCTTCAGAAGGCTGATCTGGAGATGCGTCTCCCTCGGAAGGCTGATCTGGAAGTGTGTCCACGTCAACAGCCGTTTCAAAATGATCTCTGGGCAACACTTCTCTGTCCTCGTCCCATGCCAGGACTCGTCCAGCTCGCTAGGCTCCTCCTCTACGCTATCGATAGCGATCGGATCGACATCTGACTGCCCTGAGGCTGCCTCTTCAACTGGGCTATGTATTGGGCTGCAGTCCGGGCTACTGGGTCCCTCATCACATGTTTCCCAGGATCCTTGAGAATGGGCATCTGCCTGATCCACGGCCGGTCGAGCCACTGACTCGGGCGGGCTCTGTTGTGCCCGTTGAGGCACAACGCTCGCTTGTGGGCGTCGAGGAGGGAGGATGGGCATCGTGGGCAAGGAAGGCGTGTACTTCCGCGTGGACATGCCGTCCATCCTGTTGGAGGATGTGGGCATTGGTATCTTCGATTGGCCCTTCATGATGATAATGAGTGAGAGGGCAATGTGAAGGGAGAAAGAGAACGAGAGAAATGTTAGATCTGGGGGGGAAAGAAGAAATGAAGTAGTCGCGAAGACCGGGAGCGTGCCTTCCTCCTCTCACAATGGCGCCTGCCATCGTACGTACCCGCAGAAGGAGCACGACGGCGCGCCTTCCTAATTCACACCATCCCCCAGCGACGTGATGCGTGATGTTCCACGATCGCCATATCACGTCGTCTCGGCAAGAGAAGAAGTCGTAACCTAACCAGCAGCTTTCCATCCATCTTCTTGCGCTCTTGCTTGGCGTAACGAGGTATATGTATCGAGCAGCATGGCGAACTCTCCGGTCAGCTTGAGGCGAGTTCCCACTACAAAGTATCATTAGTGCACCGAAGAGATTCGCTCTTGCTCGATTCAACATACATTACTCCTCACGTGGCAGCAACACGTCGTGCCCCATCATCGCATCCGTGTCCGACGCGAGGTTGAAATCGATCCGCGATGCAGGTGCGAATCGTACGATCCGTCCGTCGATGACCAGGAGAATGCCCTTCGTGGGCAACAAGATGGACTACCTAGAATAAGAGAGAAGACCCGCGGAGAGCAACTGCCAAGCAGATGTCACCCGTGTGTGGTCTGTCATACGAATTGCATACCGCTTCTTCCTACCTTACCTCTCGATAATCCCTCTGTGGCGGATTGCAAACATAAATACCCAGGGAGCTTGAACGCGCCCACCTCAGTAACCTGAGGGAGGAAAATACAAAGTCGCAGAAAAGCCTCCTTGTGCCGGCGGTGTCCCAAGCAGAAAACGCGCACTCCTCATACCACCGCACAAGCACACAGCATGCTTTGTAGGGGCAATGTCCCAGTCTTGTCCGTGGTCACGCGAGGTCCCAATTTACTGCGCATCCCTAGCCTTCCTGTACTCACTCTCCTGCTCCTGCTGAATCTCCTCCAAGTTCTTGCCGACATCCTCCATGATCTCGGCGGCCCGGGCGTGGTACTCCGCCTGAGCCTTGGCCAACTCCACCAAGTTCCTGAGCGGCTCTGGGGTGTCCAAGACGTTCCTCATGATGCTTGTTGCTTCGTCGACCTTCTCGACAAAGACATCTTCCGCCTGCTCGATAGCCTTCCTCTGTGCCTCGGTGTAGCTCTCCTCGTGCTTTCCTCCGGCTGCGGCACGCGACTTGGCGGCGTCGAGTTGGAGACGAGCGTTCTGTACTGCGGTACGGGCCTTATCGGCAGCCTTGACGGACTGGTTGAGAGTGGTAGACCAGCCCGCGAGGAACTTGCCTTGGATCTTTTCGTCTTGGTCGAGACGAGCCTCGCCGACCTTCTCTTCGGAGATGGCTAGCTTCTCGAGACCTTGGGCGAGCGGATCGGGCTCGGTAGAGCCTTGTGGTGTTGCCGTGGCGATCGTCTGCGAGCCCGCAAGGCAGGCACGGGCGATCGCGTGGGAGAAGGTCTTGGGCTGTGGTTTGGCGGATGGAGGAGCAGTGAAGGCTGCCTGTGCCTCGGAGGCGTTACCGGCCTTGGAGAGCAGGTTCACCTGCGGACATTCTTATCAGCACTGTGTTCCTTTTTGCCTACCAAGAAAGCGCTTCGACTGATGAATCATTCCTGTAGCTGCTGCCCTGCTGCTTTCGATTCTTCATGGCCTGATCTTCCCTGACTACTGCTGCTGCTATTGCTGTCTTCAAGGAGACAACCGCTCGACACGAAGACCGTGGCTACTGAAAGCGGAAAGAGAAAAAGTACTCACCTTCTCACTAATACTCTTGCCCAAATCCTGGAAGCTCTCCCGCACATTCGGCGGATAATCGTACGCCTCATTAGCATACTGGCTGGTAGCAGCGAGCAACTTCTGATGCGTCGCTTTCAGCGCATCGATCCGCGTCTCCAATTCCACATAATCATGCGGCAATTCCGTCTTCTCCCCCGCGTTGCCCGTCTGCTCTTTGAACCATTGCTGGCTGCGCGTCGCGAAGGGCGTGACCGAGGAGGACACGGTGTTGGTGAAGGCGCGGAACTTGTCCATGGCGGCGTGGGAGTCCGGATTCGAGGTCGAGGGATGCAGGGCGGTGTGGGCGGCGAGGGCTTCGGCTTCGGCCTGGTATGCCAGAGCGTGAGTATTTGCGGTGAAAGAGATGTGTTTGTTCCGGGGTGATTGTGTTTGCTGTTGTGTTTATTGTCACGTTGGCGGTCGCCCGGAAGCAACTCAACGGTGTGGGGCTGTGTGCAATTCGAGCACGTGACCGCATGTGATTGTGGATGTGAGAGCTTTGACTG